AGGAGAATGACCAGGTACGCCTCCTCAGCGTCGAATTTCAGGGACGAGACGAATATGGTGAGATCGTCAGCGTATGAGGCGATTGTTTCGACCGGAAAAGGGTAGTCAGGGATAAAATGGTTGAGCAGTGCAGGGGAAATCACTTAAACAGGATGACCATCTGCATGGACTTATGGGGGCTGGCACCCGACCACATTTTATCGTAGACTCCGTTTCATGCGTTTCATGGCAGGGTAAAAAGAGTTATGCCAATAAGAACAGATTGAAATCAACTATGACGGCCTGATGAAATTAGTTGGTTAATGACAGGAAATAAATAATTACCAGTATATTCTTAGCTCACGATACCTGCTCGATGATGGGAGACAGTTCGTCCACGGGACGAACTGGGAGACAAGGGCTGAGGTGAGAGTGTGGCGCCTGCCGTCAGTGAGGGAGGTTGTCGCGTGCTGCTGTCGGTGCCTGCCGCTCCGTGAATAGTGCTAATATATCGAGTTTACCGTAGTAATTCACATTGGATAATAGTTCCGATGGAATGTTTTTACACGAATTTTTATCGGCGTTTGTGTGTTCTTCCTGACGCCAGGAATGAGGCGGTGTCTTATCTATCTTGCCCTAGCAGCGAATAGCGGAGTCTATCTTGCTTAGCTTGCATGCATCAGGTTAGGAGCGTGAAGGCGAAGAGCTGAGATATGCCGTTATTATCTTACTATTTAGCGCAGATATTCACCTGTTATTGTTGTTATATATTTTGTTGTTGCTGAACTGTTCTGTAGGGCGTGTTAAGTGCCTGTTCTTTTTCACGTCTCGGACCTAACCTGGACTACAACGGGAGACGCTGTCACGACATCGCATGTGCCCCGATTTTTTTTTCTTTTGGGCGCAAACGACAACTTTGTACCCTGCCATTGTTATACCCAAGCTCGGCTCTTAGTTCTTCTCATCTTTGTATAGATACGTGCAATTTATTCAACGTGTATCTGCTCCTTTAATCTGATTGTGTAATGTGTAAATCTAGGTTAAGGTGAGGCTGTGATTAGAATTATACTTTGTTTTTACTGATTTATATATCTTTTTAGGATTCTTCTGGCTCTGTAAACAATAGGTTTCTATATAAACGTCTTCTTATTTCTATAGAAACGTCTTTATATTTTAGGAGTGTGAACTGAGAATCCGCGCGATTAGGTGGTGTGTTGCCTAAGAGCTCTTTCATTGCTAATTGCTTGTTGTTTGCTTTGTAGCCTTGCACGTTCGTTGCCACCATTCTCTCTTCTCGTTCCTGCTGACGCGGCAATTTCATTAGTGGCACGTCTTTCTACTGCTGGTGTACTTGTCATTCTTTTGCGTCGTGCCACTTGCTTGACTAGTTGCACGTAGTATCCGCGTAATTTTGATTGTAGCCACGCAGCAGCCGTTCTGTTTTGGTCGTCGCTTAACCTCATGGAAACGACCGAGGGATGGAGGGGAGAGGACGCGGGTGCCTGAGTTGCTCGACTGTTAACAACAGGAAGAGGACAGTCAGATGTTCTTCGTGTGGAGGAGTTCACCATCTCTCATGCGTGGGGCTGACTAGAGCACAGGCAGACACCTTCGGGCGCTGGCGGTGCCCGGGTTGCTTGGGTAGAGCTAACTAATGTCGGTGTAATAGAAAGACCCGTAGATTTCGACTTCTTGGGGTACGTTTCTCGGTGTTGTGCCAATGGTAGAGCACTGAAGAGGGTGCCCCGGGGAGCTGTGGTCAGCGCAGCAGACGCTCTGCAGAAGCTGCTGGAGGGGGCGATAAGTGAAGACAGTACTCCATTAGCGTGGGGTAGATTGCTGTCATTTGGGTGGATCGCGCTGCGGCAGCTGGAGAGCAGCGGTTCGTCTCGCTCACTAACCACAGTAGTCAAGACTCAAGAGGCAGATTCAAGCATTTATTGAATCTGACCATCTGGTGGCTCCGGAAGAGAGAGCGAGTCGGGCGACGGAAATCAAGAGCTCGGGAGGCGAGTGGCCAGCAGGCTGGACGATGGTGACATAAGGGCTGTCTCTTATACACATCTAGATGTGTATAAGAGACAGGGACAGAGGGGATGGTAAGAGACCAGATGGCTTAACGGTTTTCCCATTTTCTAATGGGAGGTGTTTGTGCTGGGATGCAACCTGCGTCGACACTTTTGCTGAGTCGCACGTCAATAATTCGGCTATTTCTGCTGGGTTCGCTGCTCGTGCAGCGGAGAATAGCAAGAGACGTAAATATGCGGCGTTGGCAGCTCGGTATCGGTTCGAGCCAGTCGCATTAGAAACGACGGGCACATATGGTGAAACGACTGGTCCTTTAATATCACAGATTGGTTGCCGCATAATGGAATTGTCCAGTGAACTTAGAGAGACTTTATGGTTGGAGCAAAGGTTAGGTTTGGCAGTGCAGAGAGGCAATGAAGCTAGCATCCTAACAGCAGTTAGAGAGAGGTTCGACGTGGGCCCGCTCCTCACTCGTGTCACAGCTCGGTGACTCGGAGTCGGTGTAGGCCACGTACCATCAGAGGCGTTAAGGTCGGGGCCCTGATTATTGACACGAAACCATTCCCTGTTTTTAATTAATAAAATTAATTCCTTTTCGTTGGAATGGTGTGTATGAATAAAGTGAATGGTTTCACATACCAACGAGTTACGAAAATTCGTGTATGGACTTGCAACGGTGATTAGACAAATTTTTAATATAATTTTAGGAGTGACAGATGATGTGTTTCTAGGTTTTCTGATGATTGGTTTAGATACAATCGTCTTATTTTTATCTAAGCGTCTGTATATTTTAAATGTGACATACTAATAATTGTAGCTTAGATGTGATTATATCGAATAAACGTTGATTTGCAAAAACTGTTCTGTTGAGCGTGAACGCGTGTAGGGAAAATGATGTGCTTTTTCTCAGACACGTGTAGTGGTTCGAGAAGCCTGCCAATGACTGGAATATTGCAATACTTGTTGAAAAATCGTTCATGAACTTATATAGGATGATTCAATATTACTTTTATACAAATTTGCTGAATTTTTCTGTGTCACTGTTATAAAGTGATTTTTTTAAGTATATATAATTACAGTGGCAATGTGGCATGTATGGTTACGACGGTGGCAGGGTGGCCCAGTGGTTACAGTTCAGAGTACCAAGATTGGTGCAGAGAGGCGCGGGTTCGATCCCAGCTCTGTGCGTCAGTTTCTGGTCAGAATCGGCGAGGAGGCCGGGCGGTTAAGCACATCAAAATTGAAGCAGTGAGTTGCGAGTTCGAGACAGCAAAATGCTGTGAGTGTTCTGCGATGTTAAGAATCGGCGACAGGCCTACGGCCTAATAAACGCTGAAACCGCTATTATTATTTATTATAACCCTTTCGAGAAACTTACAGCAAAACGGCTAAAAGAATCAATATTCATTTACTACTAAGTACGCAAAAGATTTGATGTTAAGGAAAATTGCAGTAAAAGTGTTTAAGAGGGACACGTCGAGTTCTTTTATTCGTTTTCACGAAAAGATAGCTGATTGTGATAGCACGATTAGCGTCGTTCGTTCATTCAGTCTTTAGCTTTCGAAGAGTGTGAATAACCGTATGAGTTGAGTCCTGACCGTGATCGAGGACGCACGTACGTGTTTGCGGGTCCCAGTTTTCTCACTTTTCACTATGCCAGTTTGACTTATCTCTCGAATTTGTACCGAAACGATTTCAGTGAAAAGTTCAATTTTAGTGCAGTTCAGTAAAAATTGTGCGAATAGTGAGAAAAACGGCTAGTACAAGTGTTTTATTCCCGACAAATGCCAGTACATGAATCGAGGGAAAATTTGTAGATTGTCGCGAACCCTCGGCGACCGCCTGTCAACCGGAGAACAACGGTGCCTTCAACACGCTCAGGCCTCGCCTTCCTATACCTCCCCACCCTCTTGGCCCCTACACCTCCCCCTCTCCCCCCGCCTCGCGCGTCGATCCATCGATCCCCCCAGCACACCTCTGTCTTTCCCTCGCTAGCTGGGGAGTGCAGCCGTGCACCACCAATTTTGTGCACCAATAAGCCCTGAATCGAACGCCTTGGATCTCTCCGGACCTACACCAATCAGCCATGCACCACTCGGCTTTGTCCTCTTCCGGCCTTGACCACCACCTGCCGTGCACCACCAGGCCGCGGATCGAATATGACATCCGGGCATCGTTAAATTACAGATGTGTATAAGAGACAGGAGCTGCAGTCACCGTTAGTGGGCGTTCGTTTTCCTCAAAGAAATAAGAGCAATTATGCTNCTTCCTCATTAGCATCCTCCTCATTAGCATCCTCCTCGTTAGCGTCCACCTCGTTGGCATACTCCTGTCTCTTATACACATCTAGATGTGTATAAGAGACAGGTGCAGTCTTGGTGCTGACGTAAAGTTACTGCGAAACAGAGCTTGTTAATTTTGAACACATGATTCAATTGAGTAAGTAAACAAATTATCACATGAGCTTAAGGCATACACACAGAACCTTGCACGGTCTCCAGATTCCATCTATCACGTACGGCTCTACTACATCGAGCACAAATGGAGAGAGACAAGGGCAATCCTAAAAGCAATGTTACTAAGTCAGATTCATTACCACGATCCTGCTGGAGCAGCGGCTGGAATAGAAGTGAGCTGTGAAAGTCAGCAGTGCTTGTAATTTACCGGAAATGAATGTTGCCAACAGATGCGGTGATTACTGATTAGCTGGCATGCATTCTTGCTGCAATCTCTTCTTAAATATAAAAGTGGTTATGTATAAAGATTCGCTATATACAGACTGACCTATAGGATATTGGGTCCTGGTATAGAGGCAGGACGCCAGCCTGTCTTTGAGCGTGTGTTTGCTTATGTTATGTAGCAGCTTATATTTGCTGCTATAATTGGATTTCGCCATCACAAGTGCCGTAAATTCTGTTTTTCTTCATGTAGTACAGGCCGTTTTTTGTTTTGCATGTATGCTAACTTCTTGCTTCTTTTCGTTCACAGGAAATAGGACCACAAATTGCTCTGTTAAATCTCGCTTAGTGTCAGGTGACAATTTGCATACAATAACAACGAGACTCTAGTCAAAATGAGTCATAATTCACTAACTTCCAATGCATTAAACTCAAAAGTAACTGAAGTTAAACATAATTCCCACGACGCGGCTACAGTCAACCCGTGTGGGGCTAAAGCCATCAGCCCTACTGGGGCTAAAGCTATAAGACCTTCTGTGTCTGGTGCAATAATTTCATTTAGGGTCGAAGGAAATTCGCACCACACGCAAACAGTGGGGAGGGACCCTAACTTCCGAGTTCCTCTAAGGCCTTTTGTTCCTCAATCACATCTCAGGACTGGCAGCAATGAAGTCAGACCAGGCCTGAGAGGCCACAAGCAAACCGCCCAAGACGCCGGTCTTGATGATGAACCAAATAGAGGTATTGTACTCCTGTTAAAATTTGTATGTATCCTTGCATTATATAAAATGCTAAGCTATCATGTCACTGGCGCCTGCCTCACGCTGCCTGCCTCACGCTGCCTGCCTCAAGGCGCTAGATCTCAGCGTGTCGGCCAAGCTGCAGTAGCCCTCGTGCTGCTAACCCGAGCCAGTGCTAACCCGAATTTTTCGGCCAAACCTATTATCTTATCTATCATCCAAACACCACGTAAAATTATCGTTTCTTTTGCGCCATGCTGTGTTCTTGTTCGAATTTTAACTCGTCAATTCCATCTCCGTCCCCTGATTTTAGCTGCGAAACGGCGACGTAGCGACGTCTTGGGCGCGTTGCCCGGTTCCAAGAACCCCATCTGGCTCCTGAACGAGATACGACCCGGGCTCGTGTACAGGGATGTGCAGCAGAGTGGGCCAGCGCATGCCCTTACCTTCACTGTTGCCGTCATCGTGAGTACATACACTTTACTGACTTTTTTACGTGAGTACACACGTTAGTATGTACTAACGTAAAAAAGTTAGTACATACTAACGTAAAAAGGTTAGTACATACTAACGTTACTACTAGCGACTTTTCACTAACTACTAACGTTACTACTAACGACTTTTTTACATTAGTTGTACGTTAGTAATTTTGTTATGATATTGTAGTACCGGTTACGTGTAGTAATTTTTAAAAAATTATTCATGTGATGAATTTTTAAAGTTTTAATTGCTCCCATATTTACCTTAAATCGTAGCTATCGAGTCTGCAACGATAAATAATCTTCATGTTAGGTGACTTGGAAATTAACAGCTCTCCTGTTGTGATTCCACCTTTGCCTTTAATTCTGTGGACAGCATCATAACATAACATAACATAGTGATGTCGGCGCTGAAGTGTAGGCCTGATGTGGCCTGTCGCCGATTCTTTTCCTTTGTCGCCGAAAATGTCAACGAATGCAATTACTGTGAATTATTATGTTGAGGCATACCTCTGGGCAGCGTATCTATCATCAATGACGCATAACTAAAGACTTCTAAATTTATCTACAAAAAATCTGAATTACTGACAGGAAAAAATTTAGCTTGTCTATCTACAAAAATATGAAATGCTGATAGAAAAATGTATTCATTTGTTTTTCTCTGTTGTTCAGAAACATTTCATAGGTACAAGAATGTGTCTAGTAAATTCTTATACAGTTTTTGTTGAGTTTAGCTTTTATATGTCACGGCGACCTAGTTATGGTGGCGACTCGTGTAATTCAAGTTGATCTCGTTAAAAAGCTAATAAAAACTGTAAATAGCTTCTTTTTTTTGTTGATATTATAACCTGCATAGTTTTGAAAAAAAAACCATAGGTTAGATGAGCGCCTCTTTTTCAAAGTTTGATGTGTGAGATACTCTGTGTATTTATACACGTGCGAATAATGGCCTGCGTATGTATTCGATTGGAAATTTCTACGAGTCCAACAATTCTTCTATGTGTGTATGCAGACAAATGTTGCAATGTGTTAGCGGTTGAATGTCAAGTTATTTTTGAAGATAAATAATAAGGAGTACCGAGGTACGGGACGGAGGAAGAAGCTGGCTAAGCACAACGCAGCGACAGCCGCGCTTGCTGATCAGTTCCGTTCCGCTCACAGCGTCACTCAGGGGCTAGTGGCCCGCAATCCTAGGTATGTAGAATATTCAACCCATGGTTGAACTAGTAGTATATAGTTCAACCATGTTTCAACCCATGGAATAACTAGTCTTAATATTTCCTCAGTACGTCACTCTCCCACTTGGTTTAGATGAGCCGTGTCGTTAATCCTAGTCTGATCTACTGGCCTGGTCATTTGAGTTATCGTCTGCATACAAAAGGTTTAATTTGAATTAGATGGCAGGATTTGCTTGTTTGCTACCAATGACCAGGGAATGCATTTGATTAAAAATTTGTAGGGAGTCGAACAATTCTTCGGATGACATTGATGATTAATAGTTAGGTTTCGGGAAGTATATATAATATATATAAATATATTTATATAAATACCGTATATCCACGATAATATTACGATGCCAACATTCATTTTCATGTAATTAAATTTAGAGATACATAAGTACATAATACACGTAAATACTAACTTTAAAAACATGAAAAATGAGTACTTATTTGTATTCTGAACAGTTCAAATTAAGGTCCACTAAGTTTGACTTAGTGTCTAGTGATAATTATAAGAAGCTTGAATCAATATGTAATAAGAATGATCGTCGGCTGTTGTAGCCAATACTGCATGATGTGAAGTTTGAACCTCCGCAGCAACTCTGGTACTCCGGATTTCACTGAAGACGACTGCGTTGAGAACTTTGACCTGACCTACGACGCATGGATCACGACTAACAGGGGCGTCCATACAGTGAGCGTTTGTGTTTACCTTGTGCACATTTAATTATATATCTATCGGTAGATCAATTGCTTTGATCTCAACACCTCACGAAGAATATTTGGTATTCTCATGGAAGTTCGTGATTGGCCTGGAGAATTTAGATCAGCACGATCGATCTTCTCTTAGGATTTTATGAACGGTCATGCAATTAGTGAGTTGCTTGAAATTTTCATATTTTTTCGTCATTGTACATTGAAGTTCTATATTGAAATTATTGTTGACCCTGCGAATAATAGGTTTTTAGTTGCATGATACTGGAAATTATAGTCGGGAACTTACATTCAACTGTCTAATCTATAGGAGTTGAACTCTCGCTACATCGCGCTTGAACGATCGTTTTCAGGATTCCAGCGTAACTCCGGTAAACTCAATGACGGAACAATACCAAAACTTCAAAGCCATGCCAGTCAATGCACATCCGGTATCCTCCTCATGGGCATCCTCTTCATGCGCATCCTCCTCATTAGCGTCTTCCTCATTAGCGTCTTCCTCATTAGCGTCTTCCTCATTAGCATCCTCCTCGTTAGCGTCCACCTCGTTGGCATACTCCGCCCCCTATGCCGCTGCAGTTTCAGCTGACGACGTTCCAGCCGTAAGCAACTGCACGACAGACATGGGGGCCAGCATTAGCTCAGCTGCAAAGACCGAGTCTCCTCTGGGCACGATATTCCCTAGAAAAGTTTTACGTGGGCAACGTAGCCGTTTGGCCGGAGGTGCCACTATCTCCCCTGGTGGTTGCTGGGACAGCTCACGCAGCAGCAGCGGCGCCTGTTCGGATGCTGCAGTAGAATCTATGTTAGGAAGCGTTTCTTCATCAGTGCCTGCGTATCCACTTCAGCGCTGCTTCTCCACTCCAGCGATGGACCAGCCAAGTGGCATTAAACTTCATCCCCAGCCTAACCAGTCTCCAGGGGTGAGCAAGGTCACGAGAAAGAACCCTATTAAGTTACTGAAAAAAATGAATGGCGATTGCAAGTACACTTCGGTTCGGGTAGACGGCGATCCTCAAGCGTGCGTCTTCAAGTGCGAACTGCGCTGCGATAAGAAACTCTTCAATGGCACAGGTAATTAATCAGAGACTCGTACGGAATGTTCACTTTTCTCAATCCTTGTCCAGTGTTAGTTAATTATAAGCCTTATCGTTTCCTTCTACTGCATTTGGGATTATTACAATCAAATTTCTAAAGATTTACTAGCACTCTAGTTGCTGGTTTGTTGCAATCTCTCCCTGTGTCCTTGTCCCACTGCAGCCGTTGTTTACAGGCAGCACCAAAAAGCGCGCTCGTGAAGCGGCGGCACGCCAGGCACTTAGCGTGATCTATGGCTTGCAGGCCTGCAGCTCCTACAGCAGATTACAGCAGACGCAGTTTGGTTCTTTGCAGCATCTCCAGATGCCCCAGACCATCGCTGATATGATTGCCAAGTAAGTAACGACCGCCAGAGATAATTCATAATATTGTTAGGGGTGAGGAATGCTCGATTAATAGTTCTACGTTATATTGTTACTGGTAAGGCTGACGGGCATCTAAGATGCTAACTTTTTGTTGAGGTCGTTGCTGGTTGAATACAATTACAATCATCGCTGATATGATTGCCAAGTAAGTAACGACCGCCAGAGATAATTCATAATATTGTTAGGGGTGAGGAATGGTCGATTAATAGTTCTACGTTATATTGTTACTGGTAAAGCTGACGGGCATCTAAGATGCTAAATTTTTGTTGAGGTCGTTGCTGGTTGAATACAATTACAATTACAAATACAAACAATTATCCCTGGTGATTCATATGTTATTTGTTGTGCATCTACCTTTTGTGATTTGTAATTCTAGGTTTGACGATCCAAAAACATTTGTCTCGATTTTTGATAAAAAGTGATACCAGTTTCAACTTCTGTGTAAATCTGGGGCAATACAAGACTAGACGAGATCTCACACAAAGGAAATTGATGTAATTTATCTAAATTTACCTATTTTTATAGTGGCTTAACGAGACATACCAATTGATCTCTAATGTAAGGTTTGAATGATAGATTGTTTCAGACATTGTTTAAACTAATTTTCGCTTATTTTAAACATTTCTTGAATTCCATTGCATTTCTTTGTCTTTCCATGCCCGTCCGACTCATAGTCTGCCCATTAATAATCAAGAGTTTAAGTTGTTGATTAATCCATAACCCCTGCTTTATGAATGCCTTTTTTTGTCCCGTATTGCACTGGAATTATCTCGTCTTGACTTGGGTCCGTGACATTTTATAAATTACATTCTATTTCTTTCAATTCCAAGACTCGTTTGCGAAAAATTCATGACGCTGACCAACAACAACTCGACCATTGCTAAAGGCAAGGTACTGGCGGGCATCGTGGTCACGGACGATGAAGATTCTGATGCCACATTCATCCTGAGTGTCAGCACTGGCACCAAGTGTGTCAGTGGCGAGAGATTGAGCATTACCGGCCAATGTCTCAACGACTGCCACGCTGAAATTGTATCCAGACGATCCCTTGTTCACTTCCTCCTGGCCCAAGTGGAGCTCTATCGTGCAATCATAAGTGGCGGTCTGTGCTTCTTGTATCTACGTATATCTTCTGTACATTTATCTTGTCGTCTATTTGAGGTCTCGTGTATTAAGGACTCAACGGTCTTTCAGATTTTATCTCCAAGGGATGCTAGTTTTTCCATCGTGTTGAAATATATTGAAGTTAGTCTCTATATAATATGTAATTATTGCTTTACAGAGTTGCCGCCTGACACTCCTTGCATGATTGAACAAGTACCCAACTACTCTGAGTTTAGACAACTTCTTAAAGTAAAAGACCGCTACAAGTTTCACCTATACATCAACACAGCTCCTTGTGGGGACGCCAGAATCTTCTCCCCCCACGAGGAAAAAGCCCAGGTCGCGGATCCTCACCCCAACAGGCCTAGTCGCGGTCTTCTTAGGACCAAGATTGAGGCCGGTGAAGGCACCATACCTATTAAGGTACAAACCTGCTGCAATGTATCGTTATTGGGGCTTCAATCATGTGTTTTCATTACATTTATTTCCTTTTTCGAAACTTCTTCTGATTATTAAATGCCGGACTGTTTCTCTGTCAGTTATGATTCGGTGTACCACATTTTGAACAGAACAACACACACGCACAGAACATGTATTATTTCTTGAATCGGAGTTCGCGTTCCTTGGGGTATTGTTCCTGAGCGCCCCACCGCTGAGCTCTCGGTGTCTGACTGCAGATCTCAGTTGTGGGGTTAAGTTATTATGTAGGTAGGACTCCTTACATTAAGTTAAAGTTATTATGTAGGTAGGATACCTTACATTAAGTTATTATGTAGGTAGGATTCCTTACATTTCCATTCCCTGTCTCTCTCGTGCGGGCGGCCGACGTCCCGTGTAAGCGACTTCTTGTTCGAGTGTCTTCGTTTCTGTTACTTTTCACCTGTCCCTCCTTGTCACTTCGTCTCTTTGAGATGCTAACGCTGCTTCTTTCGAGCCAGCTTCAGCGGACTGGACATCTGAGACTTTCCGCCCTTTGTGGGTGATGCACAATTTTTTATTTGAGAAACTTTCCATAAATGAGACCTTCCAACTCTTTGGTGATGTACATATTGACTTCTGCTGCGAGATAGCTAAATAGCTTAAGCGCTATTAAACATGTGGCCACTAAACTAACTATTGCATGAATCTTCCACATTGTTTACTCATTTGTGTACAAGATCTTAGCCTGTCATATTCTCAGCGTTTCAATCATCAAGGATTCGTTACATCAACTAGTTTCCATGAACATATATCATGCTCGTGTCCGTTTGAGTTCATTCTATGCACTTGAAAGTTGCTGGGCATTGTACATAGTTTTGCACCAGGTGATTGAGAGCGTGCAGACCTGGGATGGCGTGATGCGGGGCGAGCGTCTGCGCACGATGTCGTGTTCGGACAAGTTGGCTCGTTGGAACGTGCTGGGGGTGCAGGGTGCGATGCTCTCACACTACCTCATGCCCGTCTACCTAGAGTCCATCGTGCTGGGGTCGCTCTTCAACGCCTCGCACATGTACAGGTACCAACCGTCGTGCTTGGGGCGCTCTTCAACGCCTCGCACATGTACAGGTACCAACCGTCGTGCTGGGGTCTCTCTTCAACGCCTCGCACAAGTACAGGTACCAACCGTCGTGCTACAGGCGCTGTCTAACGCCTAGCACGTACGTACATATATCAACCGGTAGGAACCGAGTTCTTCACTGCATGTGGCTATGTTTCTTTGGATGATATGATGGCGAAATCTACTGTTGAAACTGCAGTTTACCGTGATTCTATTTGATGGGCAGATAATTGTGAATCATGTGTACTACAAAGTTCCTTGGTGTTGACGCAGACCGCTAAGAAGGAATGGAGGAACCTAGTAGATATTCTATACATTAATTATTCTATACATGGGGAGAATAATTATATAATTTATAGGGAGAGAACATATACATGTTCTCTCCATATAAATTAGTTTCGATACCACGCGCTGCTGACTATTATTGTCTTCTTAATGATGAAAATAATGGCTACCTTTAAAACTATATTCTGAACTCGGTTCCGAACGAAATTCGAGTTTAAGCTTGAAATATTCTCAAGTAATAGGGTTGCCTCCTTATGATTACATTTATTGTTTACATTGCTGTGAAGTCAAATTGAGTGTGACAAGTCATGCAGCCACTAGTTACAGTATATAATTTATTATATAGAATAAAAGGTATCGTTGATGGAAAATGTTATAGTCTCATAAACAAAGAAAGAGCTTATAGTTGATATTTATGTCAAGATCATTTGTTTCGGAGCCTCTTGCGCTATACTCAGTTAGCCCTCTACCGCCGTATGTCACTCTCCGGGAACATAACTTTCAAATTAAATTATACGTAAACTATTGAGTGTAGCAACCTGAGGACGTTTGTAAGCAACAGAAAACATTTTGAAGTTGTCGTACGTGGCGGCAACCATCAGTGCAAGTCATTTTGCGGTCGCAAGCAATGTATCCTTTTTGGAGAGGAGGCTTGTGGCAATATTGCTCCGGTTACTCGCGTCAGGCGGTAGAGGGTTAACTGTCTGGAGGGCTTCCTACTAAACTATTGCAAGAGATAGTATATTTATTAGTATAGTATAGTATAGTATCTTCGGCATTAAAGAGTAGGCCTGGATAGGCCTGTCGCCGTGGAAGTAGTTCTATTTATTGTAGTAGTTCTATTTATTTACTTCGTAAATTTTTACAGAGCTTTATATGGGCGCATTGAAAACAGTCTAAAAGGACTACCCGTGCCATTCATGATGCACAAGCCCAAGATGAACAGAGGAAGCAGCGTCGAGAGAAGGCAACCTCAGAAAGCGTCGTCGCTTTCTCTAAACTGGGACTGCGGTTAGTCGATTTTCGGCGTCGCTCAAGATTTTTCATCTATTTCTTATTAAAATATTCGCATCTGTAAACTTCTCTCTAAATTTTATATCGGTTACACTTCCCTGCATATCTGAACTCATATTCATGCACATCCATTACATTTAATTATGCATTTACTGACGTACGGTAGTTTTTAGATCCTTGGTCCCAATAAATGTTGAAGATTTATTTAAAAGATATGCAGCAATTAACTTGCAATTTTCTCCTGCAGTGACCGACAACGTTGAAATCCTGAACGCCGTGACAGGCAAGCAGGAAGATGAACAAACTTCGCGACTGTGCAAGCGTAGTCTCCTGAAGAGGTTCTTGTTGCTGGTGCAGAAAATGCCTCCTGGCTCAGGCCTCACATTCGCAGAGGCCGCTTACTCTCCCTACGATGGCATCAAAGCTAAGGCTAAAAAGTATCAGGTGAATTAAATTAATGATGTCTTAATTAAACTAAATTACACAAATAAGGAGTTTATCCACGATGATATGGGCCTGCTTATCAATAGTTGGCCTATTTCCAGGATAATGATTTTACACGAATTCTTATATTTTCCAATTCCTTTTTGACTTTGGGCAAATTATTTGTTTTGAATTATTTTACTCAAATATTTTATAACTAAGTCACATCTCTTATGAAACCTAATATCAAATTATGAATGCAAGTAAGTGATAGTATTATTTTATGTGTGAAGGAGAGCAAGCGCATTCTGGTCCAGAGCTTCGAGCAAGCCGGCTGTGGGACGTGGATCAAGAAGCCTTATGAACAGGGAGACTTCTGCGTGAGTCTCAACGAGCTCACTTCTACAATTACATATGCCGCGAGCGCCGCCAAGGCTCTCATTACTAATACTACATGGGACACGCTGTCCGATAACGACGTCATAGTTTTAAATTAAAGACCATTCGTAAGGTTTCAGTTACCAATGTATTTACTTATTCCAGTCCACGTGACCATTCTTTAAATCAAAAGCATTGTTTTTGTAGAGCAGTAAGAGGGTTACTATACAAATATTTACGCACTTTGCAAAACTAATTTTGCAGGAACCGTAATCAGGAGAAAATCGATTTTTGTTCTCGTATTTCTGCAGGAAATATATCTCGTATTTTTTCGGGAGCTTCAATGTATTTCTGAGGAGCATCAATGTATTGCTAAGATGCATTACTTTATTGCTAAGGTACATCAACGTATTGCCAAGATGTATCAACGTATTTTAAAGATGCATCAACGTATTGCAAAAAGGCATCAATACTCAACGTATTGCAAAGATGCATCAACGTATTGCCAATATGTATCAACGTATTGCTATGACGTATCAAAATATACTAGGATCAATTGAGTTAATCTGCTTATTTTTTCATATTTCTGTCTGAGCAGACCCATAGAAACAACTGCCTCTTCTGACTTTCCTTGGTCAATTCAAATCGTATTCTGTCATCGAGTGGTACGGCGAGAATTCCATTGGACCTCCCAGCATCGAACTCATCTTTGAAGCTTTATTCCCTGCAACACTTCCAAGGATTAAGTAATTGAATTTCATTAAGACTTCATACATCGTTAACAGTACAAAACTATTAATGCTTCTTGAATCTTCGAAAAACTCATAAGACTTGCCTCGTATCATATTCATACGAATAACTTAATATTAACTAACAATCGTGCCTAAAACGTTTGGGTAAAGCAAGCATAGTGGCTTGTGTATACTCTCTTCACACGAACGCAATTTCTTTCATTTTTCGAAGTTGCCTCTTAGGTCTGAATATTTTTTCAACGATCAATAAACGCATTGTATTTGATAGAAACCTTATGATGGAAATATTACCGCTCTGTATGTAAACATGTCAACCCTGAAAATACGGCGGAACTATCGTGTACAAGAAGTGGTTGGAAACAAATTTAAATGGTGAAAAATCCCGTTTTTTCGGTTTCAAAGCTCAGTGAATAATATCAAAAGGGTAATTCACGTCATAAACACTATTCATTTTCGGAGATATGACCGACTATAAACTGAAATTATGAGCTGCATATGAAAATTTTGAGCAGGAATGAGCTGCTGCGTTGGGTAGAAATGTTCTTGTTTTTCATTCATCGGGCTTCAGTAAAGATAAGTTCAATGGTTCCGTTAGAAAAATCATTGGGAAATAAAGGTCGTTTCAGTCCGTTTGCGGACGATGAATATTTTAGTAATGTCTTGTGGCCATAATTTTAAATTGGATATACAGGTAATTTATGGTCGCCCTTCTCGCTTCGTGTTTATTTATGATATCATTGTGCCGCGTGTGAGTATCGAAGCCGACAGGCGTGAGTAGGTGAGAATATATATTGATGGCTTCATATTATACCGGGAAAATTTATTTACCTAATATTATGAGGAAATCCTGCTGTACTGCATCATTCATGCATGAACTAATTTGATTTTTTAACAATAACCCAATCCGGATGGCCATAATCTCACTCCAAATATTATTTTCGTCGTACCTAATTAATTTTGAAATTTTGATTATATAGAAATAATAACTTTCAAGATTGAATAACCATTGTTATTTGCACTGCCCAGAAAAGATACAGCCACTTTATAAATGTATCATTATAATTTAACAAATGCAAATTTTGATTTGAGGCAGGAATGGAGTTGGCAAACATCCACCATAATCTTCAGACCATTTTGGAGAACAACATATAAGGAACATTAACTTCCCTGGTACATCTGTACAGGGTGATTCACGGAAACTTCCTGATTTGAAAGCTCGATAAAAAAAGAACAAGTTAAGATGTCATTACGATACAATTTTTGTAGAAAGACCTGAATTTTTGTATCATTTAGATGTAAACATGATCTTAACGTAGTAGTATGTTTAGTATCACTTAGTTGTAAACATTGGACAAATGTCGGCTGCCGTTGTCATTTATTCCCCATTTGACGGCCCCCAGTTAGTCGCTTTTTTTTAAGTTCTGTTTAACTCGCTGAAGCATATTGACGGGTATGTTGGCGATGACTTGCGTATGTTGTTCTTCAAATGAGCTACCTAGTGTCCTTGGACAGTCACTATGAACAATTGATTCAAGTTAACACTTTAAAAAATCACACGTAGCCAAATCGGAGGATCGGGCCGACCAAAGAAGGTCACCTCCCAACGAAATGAGACTCCCTGCAAAATGTTTACGTGCTGAACGGTGTGGACAACGCTGAAAGGCCCCTCTAACTCTCTCTTCGTTTTCGGATGTTGTGACAGTCCGCTGACCTCCAGACACTCTTGCATTCACACTTCCACTTGCTCGAAATGTGTTCACTCACGTAACAATCAATTTCCGATCGGGAACCCGACCTGAAGGAGGAATACGGAATTTAGTACTGAATGCTCAATGAGTAGTAATAATGGTACTGCAATATGAAAAGTGCGCCTTGACAATAAACGCATGCTGCACACTTTTCCAAGGTTTTGTAACCCACACGAGGTGGGTTGCAAAACTTCATAACCTTGCCTTTCATATGAAATGCTCCGCGTTCTTTTTATATAACATCTGGCTGCTTGAAGCGATATACAAAACAGGAAGTTTCCGTGAATCACCCAGTATGTATGATAATAGCTCTACTTTCACATAGAGGTTGCGTTCTTGCGCAACAAAAATACTGATGGCTTGGTGGTGTAAATAATGTTTCCTGCAAAGCTCCGATGCGCTCAGTCAAGTTGGTGTATTCACATGCGATAGAGGACGATACTGGCCTGGGTATGCCCTGCTGATTTCCTGAAGGTTTGTCTCTGCAATTCTTATTGTTTGGGTCTTTACTTTTTTTACCCAACTAACCACAGAGACTTGGGCAGTTGAGGTTGGGCAGTGCATAAACACTCGAAGCCTCCAAATCCAATAAATAAATTGTTTCCTGAGGGCTGATTGGTCTATTTCAATGGTTGCGTTCTGTCCTGTGGCTTGCGGTTAATAACGTGATAGTCAGACGTATTGAGGGCTAAGTTATTGGGCCAAGGGATCCTGTTAGTCCTTCAGGAGCGGGGCAGTGAAGGTATACAAACAGGCAATCCATTTGAAGCAGTAACTCGGATACAGATATGACAGGCTGACATTTGGCCTGAAGCCTTTTTTTAACCCTTTTTTGTGAACGTTTCAGAGCATTCTCTATCGATTGATTCGATTAAAAATTTCAATATACTGTGACCTGAATTCGTATTACATGGTTTGCCTAATCTGACATGAATTTATACAAGTAAATTGAAAAAAAAAACGGTATAAATGCTTTATGATTCCTACGCGATTCAGATCATACTTCGTCGATTAGTTTCTTCGAAGATGAACTTTACTAAGACCCTGATGTGATGACCGCTTGAAATTTTTCTAAGTAAACGTTTCAGATGACTTGAAGCCTTTTATTTTTTCATGATCCTGGTCGGCGCAGCGGTCCGAGTTTCAGTCACTTTGTGAGGGTCCGGGTATTAGTCAGTACCAGTTTTGAGCGAAGCTAGGTCCTAGGACAACACGCGAGTGTGACGGTGGGCGGCACTGCGGCAGGCGCCAGTACTTCAGTCGGTGACCGGTGACGCGCCTCATCTTGACCAATTAAATAACACGCGACGTGAATTTCGGTAGTCGAAGACGAACTTCAACGAAGAAAAGTCAACTGACTTACTTTTCTCCCCTTTCCATTCCAAGATCACTGAAATATTGTGTGTAATGTATATTTATCATTACCCTATTATTTTTTTTCTATAATCAGTTGAAGGTCGATTACCCCGTGTCAGCCGTGCGGGCTGTGCTATTCTTTGTCTTGTTCAAGACTTTGCTCCACTCTGCCTCCACACGTAATCTGTAATCATGAACAACAATGCACTAAAGTCTAAACTCTGTCTCTAAAGCTTTTGTGCGCGTTTAGAACTTTAGATCATGCAATTTTTTTCAGATTACTACCACTGCAATGACTGCATTCTCAAGTAAAGTTATATGGCATAATGGCTGATAGGCGATAGCCTGATCATTAGACATTATCAAAACTGTTTTGAATATTAATTGGAAACTAGAATCTACAATAGTTGAATAGAGAAGGCTGAACTGCTGAAGGAATACCTAAATTTTCAATAGAACATTGACTTGAAGTCATAATGAAGTGAAGCCTCTGAGTTTGAGGTCCATAAATTTATTTCTTGCTACCATCAGCAATTCAGCATGCTACAAAATACAAATGTAATGCACCCTTCTGAAAAGAACTGGTAAGGAATCACGGTAATACTTTAGATTAAGTGCATCCAAAAAAGAGTGTTTTTTTAATTATATGTTTTTTGGGGTGTAGATTAAGAATCTGAAATCCATTTTTGGCGGTCGGCATCAGAAATTTTTAATGAAACCTGTTCCTAACTGGACCTAACCTGCAAGGTTTTTGTTGATTGGCTAGGTTTTTCTGGCCGCTGGACGGACTCCAAACCTAGAAAAAACCTATTGGCTAGGTTTTTCACTTTTTCTGGCTGCCGGACATGGTGCCGCATACGGCGCATAGTGGCAAAGCAGAGAGTTTTTTTAGACTCTCCCTCAAGTTCATTTTTGAGTCCTATATGTAGACCAGTAAAGTATCCTGGATACCTGCAGTTTCATACACAAGAAATTGGTTTAAATCTTGAGTAAATAATGAAATTTAAAATGAACTGATTGTAAAAAATCTGTGGTTTGTCACTAGTGCCGGACACCAGGTTTCATAAAGTGGCAAGAGTCGTCGAAATTTCAACGACTTCTTGTAAAGTTAATGACCATTTTTTTGGTCATTACAACTCCAAACCTGGATTAATAGTTAATTTATATATTTCAACAACTATGAATAATTTAATACATGATATTTTCAAAAAATAATACACTGAGTCTGAGTGCTATCACTCCGCATTTTTTTTTTTTGGTTTCAGATACCAGTCACACCACTGCTGGAAACAAATGTACAAGGCAGCATCCGCCAATTATCAGTCACAAGTTTACAAAATTCTGGTTCTGTCTGTTGTATGTGTTCAAGCATGGAAGAAAAATCCAACAGATGGTGCTGGTTGTTGACTTCTTTTCAAGTTGAAATGTGACTACAATAAAATTTTCTGTGTGCCTCTTCTGTAACCTTCAAACCATTTGTACAATGGAGATAGTTTTTGCACAAAGGGGCAAAATTAATCACACAATTATAACCAATATCAACTGATCACAACGATATTCAGAGAAAATTTTAAACTATTACATTCATAACATGCTGACTCTATGTAGCAAGTAATAAATTTCTAGACCTCAAACTTGAAGGCTTTAAGTTGATGTTCTATTCAAAATTTATTCCTTCCCTATAGTTTACAGCTCTTCTCGTATGAATGTAAAGGAAATAAAACGTACCTACGTGACTGAATTCGCCCGTTTGCACCAGTTTTCTTGTTTTATTTGCAATTGAGATGAGGTAAAAAATAAAACAAAAATTATCGCGACTGCACAATAAACATGTGAAACCATGTATTTAATTTCATAATTATTGCTCACGAATTGAAGAAATAAAACGTACCTACGGGACTGAATTTGCCCGTTTGCACCCGTTTTACCATTTTATTTGCAATTGAGATGAGGTAAAAACGTAAAAAAATCATCGCGCCTGCGCAATAAGCATGTGAAAACATGTATTTAATTTCATAATTATTGATTACAAATTGAGGAAATAAAACGTACCTAAAGGGAGAGCAGGTGTAGGGCAGGTTCAGGGCCAGGCTGGCCCACGCTGTAGCCCATGCTAATGCTCACGCGCTTTTGTCCGACTTGTCTATGAAGTGCAATTTTTTTCAACCAGATAAGTATGTATTGAGATCATGAAACCATGATGACCAAACCAAATAAAGCATTACCAGCATTAGAAAGAAATGTATTGTTTTGATATATGATTTGAACAGGGAAGTTATAAATTAATTCGTTTATTCATTATTAAAAATAAAGAATAAAGATTTAATTTTACTGTATATATCAAGTTCTGTTTACATGGAAAATGTTTTCAAATATTTCTAATGCAACAATCGATTAATTCCTGTATTTATTTTTCCAAGAATTTTCAACCTGTAAGATCAAGGCAACATTTGCAATTTATTTCATCGCCATCATTGGAAGATGCAAACCCGTTCGATGCGACATGCTTAGCTTTGGATACGTGATTTTGAATTGGATGTTCATTGTAACTTTAATTGTGCAAGAAGTGCTACTGGTTATGAAATTAAAATAAAAATTCTTAATTTTCTTATAGTAACTGTTCCTGATAAGTTGATAACTGGTCAGTCTGGACCAGGACTGGACCCAAAACTAAAGTAAACTAAACTTCTTGACTAAAGAAAGCCCTTTTAATATCCGAAGAAGTTTGTTGTGGCTTGTTATACATTGCACAAGCTTCATTTGCCTAATCTGTGCTTCTTTTTAATTTCAAGCATTGCCGATTACTCTAACATATTGGAATGTGCTGCATTGATGTCCTTTATTTTATTGTCAGGTGCAGCTGACAACACTGAAAATGAATAAATTCGAATGAATAAATTAAATGCAATCTGCATAGGATAAAGAGTTGAAAATGAAACAAAATTAATATCTTAGTTTTTGTATTTAAAAATGAGTTTGCCATTCCGAGAAAGCTGTATTTTAGCTGTGTAAGCCCTCCGTATTTTAGGGATAGCTTGCGTTTGATTACATGCAATATTTACGTATCACTATCAGAAGCGGTCAGACGTCAGTGTTCAGGAGTAAAGAAGGCACGTGCCCTGTGTGAAGAAATTAAACCATTAATGCATTATACGTGTGGTTTGTTGTATATTAACAATCCAATGTACAAAAACTTGAGGTTATCTACTATTCTTCTTATTAACAATGATTTTTTCGTTACTACTAGTAACGAAAAGACTACTAAGCTACAGTACTAAGAAACCTACCAACCAACAACTGGAAAACCTACCGACCAACGAGTGGCATGTGGATTTTCAATGACCAGTTGACCCCTGAGATACTTTAACAACAACTCTTATGCCACACTATGAAACCTGGGCTGGACGGACTCCAAACACAGAAAAAACCTAGCCGAGCAACGAAAACCTTGCAGGTTAGGTCCAGTTAGGAACAGGTTCCATTAAAAATTTCCGTTGCTGACCGCCAAAAACGGATTTCAGATTCTTAATCTACACCCCAATAAACATATAATTACAAAAAAACACCCTTTTTGGATGCACTTAATCTAAAGTAATACCGAATCACTACAAATCAGCAGCCTAGCAGGTCAGGCTGGAATTCTAAAATTTGTGGTTCACATAAAAAAAGCATTCCGCCTTAAAAAAACGTTCCAGGCAACTAGAAATAGGTTTGCAGGCCGTCAGAAATTGGCTTCGGTTGCGGTAGCTATGATTGTATGAACGTCAAGTCGGGCAACACAGAGAAGGTCCCATGCAAGATTGTTAATTGCACGCATCACTCACAGATGAGCAAGAGGGATGGATCTACGAAGGAAATACTATTTACTCCCAACATAATAGTTTCAAATTAAATATAAAAAAAACATTTATGGCACCTATTCATTACCTCAGCTTTCAAATTGAGGAGGAACTCATTGGCAGTTGGAGAAACTTCTCGAAGAAAAGGCAATGCACAACAAACAACATGACACTTCACAGTTGACTGACTAGAATAGACTCAATAGTCAATAGAGTACTCGAAAGTCAAAAATTTAGCATTCAAACCTTTAGATTCTGTGAACCTTGTGATTTCTTCATTATTAAAACTTTAGAAGGCTCACAATATATCACGTAAAGTTTTCACTCAATTATCGTCTCGAAGTTCAGGAGCTTTATCTGCAGTAATGTTCTGTAGTTACTGCACACGATTGGTTCTGCATGCATGTATAATATTTACAAAGATTATTAAACCATTATGATTTCTGTTGAATGTCAGTTACTGATAAATTTTTAATATAGAAGAATTCATATCTTTTATTTATTCACATGACTATATTGACATGATGATGTCGGTTTCACATTGGTTGCCGGTGCGGTTGGTATCCCTGCTCCCTTCTTTGTTTACGTTTTTTTGTTTGGCTGATCGCAACAAAAGGAGATTGTATGTCTCAGCTGCTTGCATTGTATGTAGGAGATTGTGTAGGTGTATTGTGTAGGAGATTGTATGTCATCAGCCCATTAACATTGTGTTCATTTGAGGCAGTCCCTTCTAGCTTTCTATCGCTGATTGGATTCCAGTGGCTGTGATGTTGCACATGTTCTAGCAATGATTGGATCCCTGTGACAGTACGTTGGACACGTTCAAGTGTTGATTGGATTCTTGTGACTGTTACGTTGGACGCGTTCAAGCGTTGATTGGATTCTTGTTACTGTGATGATGCAAGCGCTGTTTTTTCAATGAAACAGCTGTGGCATCTTGCAGAGACTCATCAGTGATGATGATGGACTTAAAGTGGAAGTGTGCTGGACGTTCCAGATTTTTGGGTCCTGCTTTCCGATTTGCTATGTTTACCAGTTAATATATTACCCCTCTGGATTTCCACACTGTAATAAATGAGCAGGTACTACTGCACACTGCTACTGCATAATAATTTCTATATCATTGTGTTTGTGTGCAGTGTGCTTATATTTGACAGTTGACCTTCATGCAGAAACTATTCCATTGTACAAATGGTATTAAGCTTGCAAAGTGCAGATCCTGCTTGGGATAATGTAGATTTTCTGAGAATTTTTCCATGCATAATGAGTTATTTAACCTAATGGTCAGCGCAGTACCACAGTTCAGGCAAAATAGGCTAAGTCTGAATATTTTCTCTTCGCATATTTTTGGTACGGTACTGTTGTCTGTCAGTGGCTCAGTGCCAATAAATCCATTACAGCACTAATGTTGTCAGCCTTCAAAGGCCACTGTGCAGAGAGTGGATGAATATTGCAAGATCTTTGGCGATGCTTCAGTAGCAAAATTTACGCCTTCAAAAGATCTTGCCGACACATTTTGATTGAAATTCTTGTATTTAATATATTTATCAATCTTTTGGCCAACTATTTAGAAAAAAATATGGTTTCCGGTATGTTGGATGGACCAGGATGCAGTAAAGCTTGTCCGGAAATCAGTTGCGATGAGTTCCTGCCAAAAACAAATGTGAACAAAATTATAGTTGTGGTCACATTAGAGCGGTCAGACTGCATCATCGCATGTTCAGTTGACACTTGCTGTACAATTTGACTGTTTTTAGGGTAAAATTAGTTATTTGGGGTAACACATGCATGTTAATTAGTTATTGGGGTAACACAAGTTCGTGGCTTGTAAATAGTTTTTCATTACTCAGCGTAAATGACTTTTCATTAAAAATTGCCCGGCAAAGCATCTTGAAAATGGTCAGCAACGCTTTGGGCTTAGAAACCCATATATTGGCAACGCTCCTTCCACCTTCTGCACCCTGGTTCAAAGGGAACAATATATTTTGTTATCTGAACTGAGCCAAAAATTTTTAGCACTATAAAAATTATTTTTTGTCATTTGGCAAATTGTAATTATGACCAGAATTCTATATTTTGCATGATTTAAAGTTGTATTCAAGTGCAGCAAGTTGAATGCAAAAGCTGTTGAGTAGTACCTACCATTCATGAATATGGTATTATGTTTATGAACACATAGTTCTACATATGTCTACCAAGTACCAATGTACAGTTTTCATTGAAAAGATTATATAGCATTCATAGCTAATGTTTAAAATAGTCTGGGGAATTAGAATCGTATTTCATATATATCCATGTGTAAATAACCATTAGTGAATCGTTACTAATTTTAAAATCTATGTCTATTGCAGTGTTAGAATTTCTTGATGCATCTTAATTTATTCTGCCATGGAGGGCAATACAGAAGTGGCTGATATTCAATTTTTAGTACCTGAAGAAGAGCTTGCTGAATGGGATGCCCTTGATTTCGAAAGTGATCTACAAGAAGCTGAAAGTTCCTCAGTTAAAGTTCCTGATGGATACAAAGGTGGTAATAATCTAAAATCTCTTATAAGTTTTTACAGCAATTATTACTATTAAGGTTGAATTGTGCTCCTACACTATTATGGTCTGTGATATATTGATATATATATCTGCTTTGGTATAGATAAATTCGATATTCATTTCCATTTTAAGTTATGTGTAAGATTTTTATGCTATGATTTTTAAGTTTTATTGTGTCATTTTTTCAGATTCTTCACCTCCAATCTCTACAAATAAACCAAGATCAGGAATATCAACAGATGGCCTGTGTGCTAAAAATTCAAATTCATCTTCCCCTAAGCAGGGTAGTGATGGTAAAACACATGCAGATGGGAAGTTCAAGGATGAAAAAAGAACACAAATAAATGAAGTGAAGAAGAATACAAGCTCTCACTCAAATAGATACAAGGGAAGATCTGAAATTAGATCAAGTAGACCAAAAACAACTTATAGTTCAAGAAACACTACTGGGAGTACCAGATCAAGAGATAAGTCCTCTGATGACAATTCTAAGTACAGAGCATACAGTTTCAAGTCAAAAGAAAAATTTTCTCAATCTAGGGCTGAGAAAAGTTCTACAAATAGACCCAAGAATGAGTTACAAAACACAGAACATGAAAAAATTGGAACTATCTCGATCTCGAGTAATCCATTGAACAGGTCCACAAAAGTCAACCCAATTGACAAGATAGGAATCCATTCAAGTGATAATTATGTTAATGTGTCATCACCTGCTGTTGATCTCAAACCTCCTGGCAATGATGACTGGGTGAAGGCTGGGACCTATTATACAAATCCAGACATAAAAGAAAATATTCATCATGCATTAAATGAAAATTTACTACCTTCAAACCTGAAGCCACCTGGAGATGATCAATGGAAGCCACAAGAACATACATCTTTGACTAGTGCATTCCAGCTCCAGCAATATCAGCAGACCTCTCTACCACAAGAAAATCAGGGCGTTCATATTCAGTATGCACCTTATCAGCAACCAAGTTACCAGAATTTCCCTCAAAATCAGAGTTATAATTGCTATGAATCAAATGCCCACTATCCACGAAATTCTGCAACATACAACGGATTAAGTAATGCAAATTCTCAATACTCTCAGGCCTGTTCTTATGCAAACCAAGCAGCCCTGGGGCTGTCACTCAGTGGACCTACTACTACAAGTCAGAATATTGCACAGGTGAATGATGAATCAGCTGCCAGGTTTTCTGCTGAGTTATTGCACAGTAGGACTGAAGTCAAGACAGTAACCCATCCTCTCCTACCCAGCACACAGAAACCTCTCGTGGTTAGGACACCAGTTATTGATAATCTAAATGGATTGTCTAATAGCACTGCTACATCCTCAATTACCACTGCATCTCCTTCCAACTCATCAATGGAGAACTCTTTATCTATGTCCTATCAAGAGCAAGATTTGATTCAGAAGGTACTCCAACAGAATAAAATAGATACTGGAAGTGTGAACATTACATGCAAAACCACTCATACTTTGAAAGGAACAACTAAACCTAAAGGAGAGATATCAGTGGTTGTCAAAAATATCCCCAGTAGTGTCAATGCAACATCATTCAAGAAAATCTTCCAAGCATTTGGACGTTTACCTGGCTATACTTTTGTAAAAAATCCTGCTCATGAAACAGGTGAGAGTTGTTACTTTTTAAAGATTTATTATCAATATAAATTTTGAAAATAAGGAGCATAGTATGTGTATTTGTTGTGTTGACTAATCATATACCATTTTCTGTATTAGAGAAGCATACTTTTGAGTTATTTTATGTTTTACATTTTAATCTTTATTTTACAGGTAAAGTTACAGCTGTGTACACTAACATAGAAGGTGCATCTCGTGCTATGCGCGTGTTGTCTACCCTCGTCATGGCAGGACGCAAGCTTGAAATAAATTGTGAAGAGGCTATCAACTACAACATGAAAGAATCAAGTTAGTACTGTGATCGAATTTATGGCCCTAAGTAAGACTATTAGTTCCTCAAAGTCAACCACCTGTGTTGTGCAACTTCCTGTGAAAAGATATTTAAGATCAATTTTAAATAGAATTTTTTTCACATGAAAAAAAAATTTAATCTTTCATTTAATATGATTTTGGGAATGGTATCAACTTCAATTAACTTGATATGGTATTTCTCCATTCTGAATATGTTTCTATGATTTATTTTGCATTGAATTGTTCATTTTTACAGAACTGGAGGAAACACGTGACAAGGACATCAGAAGTTCAGTGACTAAGATCCTTTGCAAAGATGAACCAGAATTATCATTTCAATGGAGTAAGTTTTTCTTTTGCCCACTCCGTCGAATTAATATAAATGAGGTAATATTAGTAGGTACCAATAGTACTAATACTGTAGGCAGCTATGATTTAAGCATTGCTATATTCAAAATTGACTAGCAGTTTTTCCATCAAGCATTGCAGGGGTTAGCATACAGGTAAAAATGTCAGGTGTTCATGATGTTTGACAACAATAAAATATTTGGAGGGATTCGAGTGGTTAATGTAATTTTTTGTTCTTTTCCAGCTGATGGTTCCCCAAATACCTGTGTGATTAATGAGAAGGTGAGCATGTGATCATAAATTGACTCCTGAGTATCTTGAGTTTTAGTTCCAATAATTATGCTAGCATCACCTGGCAGAGTTTTTCTGCCTTGTATTTCCCTGTATGATTATGATCTAGATGCAAATTATATGAAAAGGAAATACCGGTACCTGAATTTAAAATTTAATACATGAAATTTTTACAGGAACTGGTGAATAAGAAATTGGTGCAGGAGTCCAGAGGGGTAAAGCGGGCATCAAGTAAAGATTGTACAAAGTCATCAGAGGCACATAAATCATCAAAATCACATTGTACCAGTCTCCAAAGCAAGTCAAGTAAAAGCCCCCCACGCCAAAATAATTCAATTAATAGTCTCCAGACAAGCCGTTCAAGCAAAAGTCCTCAACAATCAAGGAAATTTGCTAACTTTGGACAATCCAGTAAAAGCCCTTCATCTCCAAGACGGTCTAGCAAAAGCCCATCATATAGACGTCGCCGAAGTAGAAGCTTGCTATCTCGGCGGAAGAGAAGTAGAAGCCTCTCATTCAGACGTCGAAGCAAAAGCCCTTTACGACGCCGGAGAAGTAAAAGCCCACCATCACGACGACGAAGAAGTAGAAGCCGCTCGTTGCAACGCCGGAGAAGAAGGAGCCCTTCATTGCGAAGACGGAGAAGTAGAAGCCGCTCATTACGACGTCGAAGTAGAAGCTCTTCATTGCGACGTCGTAGAAGTAGAAGCTTTTCATTGCGACGTCGTAGAAGCAGAAGCTCTTCATTGCGACGGTACAGAAGTAGAAGCCGTTCATTGCAACGTCGGAGAAGTAGAAGCTCTTCATTGCAGCGTCGGAGAAGTATGAGCCCTCCATATCGTCATCGGTTGAGCAAAGACGAGCAAATCAGTCCTGTGCTGAGCCCAAAGTCAAAAGATATTGAGGTGTCTTCTGTGATGTCACTTTCTTCTGAAGATGAGAGCAAAAATTCGAAGCATGAAAAAGAGGTTGTGAGCCTGCAAGAGTTTCAGAAGGCTCTGGTTTCTGGTCCTAAACCATTAGGTGGAAGTGTGCTGAATGAAGAGAACTTCAACATCAAAATAACGAGCAGTTCAATGAATCTAAGTCAGGTGGCTGTGAATGAACTCAATGACAACTTTGGTGGCACTGTTGATCCGGTTTATGATAATGGTGGGTACTTTAATTAGTAGACTGGCAGATTTAAGACAATTTGTTTGGTTGGATCAAGTTTTTCAGTGCTTACCCTCCATTGTTCCTCTACTTGCATTAAAATCTAATATTGGGTTGCAAATACAATGTTTTTGACGAAAAATTTGATCTGGAAAGATCCAATGCTATACTTCTAAGGCAATCAAAGAAAACGTTTGTAGTTTCAACCAATAATAAAAAATAAACTGTATTTATTGCATGAACCACCTATGTAAAATTATGTTGAATGTTTCAAATTGTTGTTTGTTAAGATCCTCTAAGAGGCTTGACATTTATTTGCTCATTACAGGATGGCTGCTGCAGGTGCCCGATGCACGACTTGCTGCTGTGTTGGTGAAGCTGCTTCACAGACACAGACTTCTTGATGGCGTATTAATTGTATCTCTTCTACGGGCCACTTGTGAGCTTCAATCTGCTAATCTCTCCACCTTGTATCAGAATTGTTTTTTAAAAAAATGTTAAATTTTATGCCTAGGTGATTCAGCATGCTAAAATTTGATTGGAAAGAATTTATTTCCACAAAATTTCAGAAATGTAGTCTTGTCAAAATGATAAAACACGTCATTAAATTAAGTTACCCATACATTCATGAAAAACACTGGGAAAGGTAGTATCTTATCAGAGACAGAATCTTGGTAAACTGGGATTCTGTTGATTGATATTTCTGATGTAATTAGTATCTGGATATCGGGGAAATTTGTGCTTTAGATGAAGTTCTCAAGATCCCATACCGCTATCTTGAAGCATTTTTGGTTTAACCTTGTTTCACTTTATGTATTTTAGTTTATTAGAAATTAAAACTAACACAATTGACAAGTTCAGAAAGAATTAGAGGCCATTGAAAACACCAAGGCATATCAACTACCTGCTCACTTGGTTCAAATACAATTTTGTTGCTTCAACCTAGTCTGACAAAAGTTACAGATGACTTGAATCTAGAATCATCGTAGAAGTACATTGATCAATTCTGATTATAACTGAATATAAGTTTGATTAAGATCATCTCTCAACCTTTTTTCTAATGCATTAAATAATTTAGTTGCATTTCATGTCTAATCTTGCATTAAATAATTTGGTTGCATTTCATGTCTGATCTTGATTCATCAAACATGTTTGTCTGATGGATTATAATATTTTTCTTGTGTAGCTCCTGTGATTGAAGTGACCCAGGAGGAGGTGGAGCAACACGAACACCTCACCAAGGCCCCCATAGAGCTGCACAACAAGGCTGCCGTGCAGCTCATTCAGGACTCTCTTGACCAAGGTTTGCTTATGAACAAAAATAAATCCATTCTAAATTTTCGTAACATCTGTAAAGCTTGTGCTTTTTATGCTGAAAAGCAAAAACTACAACGTTTTTCCAGTTTATAAATTCCTAAGTGTGGGCCATTCTTGAGGTAGCTATGCTATTTTACTGGCACGTTCACTCAGTGTAAGTATGTATCCACAGCAAAAATCCATGGTGAAATCTTGCTAGTTTTTTTTTTGTGAAAAGGAACATTTGGGAAAGAAGTCGTTATTTGTACAAAATTATGTGCCTCATTTGATAGAGGCTGCAAGGCATTATCAGCTACATCTAGCGCTAAATACAAGTACATAACTCGTATGAATATTACCGTAACTCGTGCATAACAATGTATACTTGATAGGTAATCATTATTAGAAAATTCATTTTCAATCTTTTTGCAGTGCAAAGTCTATGGCTGTTATTACATTTATTATGCTGTAATCAAAATACTAAAAAAAATTCTTTTACTTTTTTGACATTTGCCCCAACAAGATATACGTACCTATATATACATCGGAATTTAGCTGTTGTCAGTGAAATCATCCCTGGGAAGTACCCGGTATTATATTACTCATTTTCATAACTTCACTTCAAAGAAACAATATGGAAGAACCAAAATTCAGAGCAACATAAAACCGGTACTATTAATTGGACGTTAATGAATATAAATCATTTGCACTAAAGTATGAAAAGACCAGGAAATATTTTTGGAAATACTTTTATCTCGCATGCATCGTCGCAATAATTATACTGAATTTGAGTAATATCTTTGCAGTGCTGGACATCTTCCTGTACAAACTTGAGCCCTGCACCAAACTCAACTGCAGCTCCACTAACTGCCCAATGTACCACTCACGCAGGGACAGAAGGAGAGACCCTCGCCAGTATTTCTACAGGTTACAATATTTATTTGCAGTGCTCTACTTCGATATGACTTTTGATAAGAAAGATTATTTTGTTTTTCTTATGATATAACAGATTTTTTTTTATTCTTCTCATTATTTGATAAAAGATTGTTTTATTCTTCTTATTATTTGATAGAAGATTTTTGTATTCTTCTCATTATTTGATAAAAAGAATATTTTATTTTTCTTATTATTTCCCAGCTATTCATTTGCTCGTGCTGAAAATTAACTATTCCATCTTATTAACTCCTATACTATGCTGTTCTATCTGTTATCATATCCTATTAGTATTTGGTTCATCATGTTAATACGATGACGTGTTTGCAGGAGTCTGAAGTGTCCTGAGACATGGATGGGCAAGAAGTGCGTGCGAGGTGAAGAGTGTGAACTGTGTCACTCTGAGCTGGAGCTGCTCATGCATCCCGACTCCTTCCTGGTGTCTGTGTGTGACCAACCGTCGCCTTGTGCCGCCCTGCCTGCCTGCCAGCACGTGCATCCTGGTCAGTACAGCTCGCACTGCTTTAACCGTCAGCTACAGGCCTCATTGCTCTCAATTACTTACCAATATAAACTTCCGCCATGGTAACTATTACACACACGATAATTTNGCAATTGCTCTCTATTGTTTCAGGCAATTGCTCTCAATTGTTTCAGGCAATTGCTCTCTATTGTTTCAGGCAATTGCTCCCTATTGTTTCAGGCAATTAATTTCAATTGGAAAAATATGGAAAAATATTTAATTACGACAGAATGTTTGAGTATTATAAATTCACTGAACAGGAACTCCGGACATGTTTTACCACGCCCAGTGGGAGGACCTTTATGTGGGCGGTCTACAGCACACAATTCCCTTCATTGCCGGGGCCATACGGAACCTTCACAAGCTCGACGACGACGCTATTTCTGGTTAGTGAAGAACACTCTTGGTATCGTCAATATTGATTAGAATCTTGTTTATGTTACCGCAATTTGTCTGGTTCTATCATATTAGGAAATTTATTCTTCGCTATGAAAACTAATTCTAAACTGTTACAAAATCTATAAATGTTTTTGCAGCTTTAAAATAAACCGTCACAGACTCTAGCTCGCCTGCGGCTCTTGACTGCCAGGTCCTGACATTTCCTGTCTAGTTCTGTTATTTCTATGGGAAATCAGTTGTGATTTAGGCATGTGTTGAACAGCGAGGAGACAAAAGTCAGTTAATTGATTTTAATCCATATAGCTTTCAACACTCTTTATTGCACTAACAGGAAAAGGTGCATTTAACTGGAGTTGTAAAGCTCTAAGTACTTATTGTATTCTTGTGTTTAATGCCTTGTTACCTTTCATTGTAACATTCATATTTTAAATCTTTTTTATTTTAAGCATATTTTTTCATTACTGCAATAAGTTGTTCACGAAAGCCTCCTCCCAGTCTTTTTCGTAGTTTTAAACTATCATTTATTAATATAATTATTTTTTTGTGTGATCCTAACCTGCATTTGTTTGGTGCAGGAGTTCAGGTGTTGGCTGCCCTGACGGACGACGCTGTGTGCCGGCACGCGGGGGCGATGCTGGAGTCTCTCGCTCAGCGTCACGGCGTCAAGATCTGCGTCGTCATCACCGGCACGGAGGACCCAAGTGAGTCAATGTTACACGAGGATGTTACTTGCAACTTTGCAAGGAGATGTAACTGCAGAACAGTTCGGAATAGAACGTTAAAGAGGCTGAGTTTGAAAGTTGGTCAGGATAAACTTGTTGCTGTATCGTGATGCTCTTAAATTCTTGAGAAATAAAAAACAAATGAATGAAACGGAGGTGTAAATAATTATATGCTTTCAGTTCCATATAATGTAATTTTTCATTTATTTATCGTGTATAGTATAGTAAAGTTAAAAAGTCGTATAGACCAACTGCTGAAGTGAGAGATTTTCCAAATCTCTTAACTGTTGCCATGTCGTGATTGATTACGAAAATGAATTTCGATGATCAGGAAGTTTTGATTTGAGTGAGAGCTTGTGGGTTTGCAAATATATTTATTTAGCGCTTCAAGTGCACTAAAAGTCTAAAACCTTGAATTGTGCTAACAAATTATTTTTTATAAAAATAGTTTAAGAAGCGTAAATTTTTTCTCGCTGTATAAGATTAATTTTCTACTTGTTGATAATTATTATTCTCTGGCTAGGTGGGTCGCATGTGATCATCGGCACCTTGCACGGTCTGCTGACGCTGCTGTCCGTGCTGGGGTCGGGGCCGCTGTCAGGCTTGTGTGCCTTCGTTGTGGACGATATGGCGGCGGTGTTCAAGACCAAGGCTTTGTCTCAGGCCTTCCGTAATCTCATGCTCTTGATAGAAACGGTTCATAGCACGCCAGGTGAGTGTATATTGTGATAGTTTATATCACATGGCATGTTACATGATGCGAGTGCAGCTCGATCCTTGCTATTGTTCCTTTCATCTTAAAGTTTTAATAGGTACGTTGTAGGTCAAAGCTTATAGAGGACTAGAACTCCATTATATTACAACTGAGAGCTTCCACCACTGAAGCTGACTGATACAAAAATTTTGAGACACTTTCAAATCCATTTTAGACCTCGTGTCGAATAATTTATTTAATATGTGCGATTGATGACAGGGTATAGAAATACAACTAATTTCTAAAATCTGGACATAGTTTGTTACCCAATCTCGAATGTAATGCGTACCAGCATTTATCTGTCGTATATTCGTCGGCGTTTCGGTTTTTCAACCTTACAATTGAAATACCTAATATATAGGGGCTGTTTTTATGTTCTATGTCTCACTGACTCGTGAGACATTGAAAAATAGAGTTAGACTCAATTGAAATTCCTTGGCCAGGGCGGGCTAATCTGATAGTTTTCAATAAAATTTTTCAGGTAAATTGAGATCTTTCTCAATGAGCGATTGCAATTTGCTGATGTACCTAATGCAGAGAGAAAAGTTCAGTAGCGTTTTAGTGAAGCAAAACCGAAATTTCAAGGTTTTATCTTGATCGTTTATCCGTTCCTTACGTAATTTTCTTTCCCTTTAATTTCCCTGCAACATCCAGAATTTCCGAGTAATTTATAATAATTATTATATTATAAATGATTTTTTATGTTACACTCGGCATGAACGCTTCGCATCATTCTTATCGTCAAAGGCAGAGGTGCGCCAAACTGCACTCATCTCCCTGTTGTTCAAAGGATGGAAGAGAAGAACCCCGGCTACTGGAAGAGAATAAATGATAAATGTACCGTCTAATGTTGACCTTGCAGATGCGGTGTCAATCTATAGTGTATCTAGAACCTGTCTCGTGTAATGAATTATAGTGATTTAGGTTGGAAACATTCGGGGAACAATCTCGTTTATGACGTTTTTTTGCGTGAAAAAAATACCAGGCTTATAATTTTTAACTGACGTTATAACATATTACTTGAACTTTTTCAACTTAGAAATAAACTAGTTATCTTCGTTGTTTGATTTTTCCTTCAAACTACGATTCGTGAAACAAGAATCGCGTTATTAGCTCTTGGTGATGGATGAAGAAGGTTGTGGGTGTGGACCAGCGCTGTGTGTTCCAGCGACGTGTGGTCCAGCGACGTGTGGTCCAGCGCCGTGTGATCCAGCGCCGTGTGGTCCAGCGACGTGTGGACCAACGCCGTGTGGTCCAGCGACGTGTGGTCCAGCGTCGTGTGGTCCAGCGTTCAACTTGTAAGTATCTCAGCCCAGGACTTCACTGCGGTTCAGCTCGCCGCCAAGGATGAACGGATTACATGACAACGATGAAATCCTTCATCATATGTCGACCGCCCTGTTTGGACTCAACTAAAATGTCAACTACATGATATTTTACTCCGCTTCTGAGTAGGCGAATTCCTACCAGTTTGCTGAGCGTCTTCCGGCTGTTATCATGGATGCATAAAGAAAGGAGCCTCTGGGCGGGGGGGGGGGGTCCCACGAGTATGCCGGGCATCAGGCCGACGTGCAGGCCAGGGTACCCCCACGACGTAGAGATCCGTCCAGCATCTCTCCGCCTTCCCCAGCCTTCTCCACGTCCCTCAGCGTCTCCTCACTGTGGGACAGCCTCGTGGAGGTAGCGGCGTTCCTGGCCACCCTCCCTGCCTTCGCCCATCTCCCCCCTCTTCCGGTGCCCTCCCCCCGACAACCATCTTAGCCTCCCCCCGGCGAGCTTGAATCTGGTCGCAACTAACAACAACAACATCCTGGATGCATAATGCTGCGGTAAATTTTATATTACACTTGCATAAAAAACCTAAATTCATTGTTGAGTATTTTATTTTTTACAGGACGTATCAACAAAGTTGGCGTCTGCGAGCGAGTGAAAAACGTGGACGTACTCGTGGCAAAGGAGCTCTTCTCGAAAAACTTACGCATCGTCCGTCAAGAAGCAGGTGAGGAACCGTTGCGTCCAATGCAGTGTGATGCCTGCTAACGTTCTATACGAGCTCACTCAAATGGTCGACTCCCAACATAGTACAGCTGCCTTGTTGCCTCTCCTCTTCGATAATAGGTCGCACTAACTTCAATTGATATCGATTTCCAGGTCTTCGCGTGAATTTGCATTTCATTTGAGAGATTTTCCAAATTTAAGTTGCTTACCTAATCTTTGGCATGTAGTAAGAAAATTCTCTACGATTGATCCGACATATGCAAGAGCTCAGTCTACTCTCCTTCGCCAGAATTCAACTTTTCATCAGTCAACATGCGCCCACGAATTTGGGATGCTGCAGATCAAGGTAAGGATATTATATACAATTATTACTGCGACCTCATCATGCTCTATTTTCTGCAGATCCCGAGGAGACTTCTTCACGAGACAAAGACAGCGTAAAAATCGACTCGTCTAAAGGTAACGATGCAGCTACAGGTGTCGGAATGGCAAAGAGCGTGCAGGACGTCTGCAATGAAGATTTGCCTCTTGTTTCAAGAGCGGCGGCACCAGAGAAGTCCCAACACCCAAGTTCTACCGGAGAACCGTCTTTGCTGCCGCCTGTAACTCCTACGCCAAAAGTGACTAGTCAGCATAGGAATGAAGAAATCCTAACGGTCGCGTCGAAACATGGAGTTGAAGATGCAGGAACAGTGTCTCATCGATCGAAGGACGCACACAGTTTATCGCCATCAGAGTATGTTGCTGTGATATATATAACCTTGATAGCTATGAACTTTGAATGTTTTCATCTGTACCTATGGGATTTGTTATGCGACCGTGCCATCTAAAACCATGTTTTTTTTTCTTTCAGTGGAAGCGACTCATCTCTCCGCCAGAAGTTCTTGGCTGAAGAACAAGCTCTGCGGGTCCAATTCAACGAAGAGTTCGATGTATTCATCGAAGTGCCGGAGCTTCATCCGAAGTATGAAGAGCTTTATGAAGAGTTCGTGCTGGCCAGGGAGAGAGTCAATGCTGCTGGTGATTTCGAGGAAGAATGGAGTCGTTTTTGGCGATCTGAATTAGAAAAAAATAAACGCGCTTTGTGGTCTGAAAAACGAAAAGAATTGCTAGAAAAGTTTAAAAAGATGATGGATGCAAGATCTGAGAACAAACCGTCTCACCAGAGCTTCGCTCCTTCCATAATTGAGCCACCTGATATACCTGAGGACGCTAAATTGGTCGATCGCTCATTGCGCGATACAAGTCAGGACAGAGTTACGTCGAAGAACAATCCTGAAAAAGTCGCCCATCATAATAAATTCAGCCAGCAGAAGTTCGACGATTCTCGCGGTTCGTTTAGACTTCCTGCTGCTGAATTTAGCAGCATGTCTCGTAACAATGCTGAATTGCGCGTAAGCCAAGTCCCAGAATTTTTGGATCCGCCTATTCATCCTAGCAATTCGTCCGCCGACGATACAAAATTACCCAGCAGCTTTTCAATGGATGAGGCGGTTCGTGCCCTTTCCGGTGTTCAGCAACATCTAGGATTTTTGGGTTCTGCTCTTGCCAGACTACTCTTGGAAACTCCGCGTGAATCGCCAAAGCAATACTACGAGACTCTACTCGAAAAAGACAATTTGTCCCTTTACAACCTTTGTTGTAAAAAACTACAGAACGAGCTTCCACCTTCACGTTCTGCCTTGCGTGAGTACTATGACGTTGCCATCTGGTATCTAACCCAGCTTCCAAAATTTGCAGAGAGTGAATTGGCTTCGCTGCCAAAAAGTTCTCCGACTGAAAGTGTTGAACCTGATTATTTGGGTCTGGATATCAAAGCTATTGCTAGAGCCACTGAGGGGAAAAGTTCGTCGTTCGTAATTAGCTTCATTAAATGTACTCTTGAGCTGCAGAACAAATCTATAAGTAAAGAAGAGTTGAACAAAATATTTTTGGCCATTTCTGAGTTACATTTTGACATGTCACTTAGCTCCAATCCTGAAGAGAAATCTACTGGTGAGGAGGAGCATGTGCCTCAAGAGAACAATCCTTCAAATTTCCCGAAGTCCTTAAATGATAGCGCTAACAACAGAAATGCGACTTCAGTCTCAGCCAGTGTTGATTATGACCCTCCTCAGCCTGAATATTATGCTAGCCGACCTGAGGTTCACGGGCGTCAGCGATTTGACGATTCTTCGCAATATGGTCGTGGGGATTTGTGCGCTGCTGATGATTCTGCATGGCATAGAACTTCGAAATATTTGGGAGCACATTCACCGCCAATAAATGCTGATACAAGTAAGTCATCAAGAGTTCAGAGCCAAACACCGGCTGGTATCTCGCAGACTGCTATCAATGCAAGCAATCTTTTGACCTCAGACTTGGAGTCTTTGAAGCAAGTCTTACGAAATGCAGGCGTATCAACAGCAGTTCCCGGGATTCGAGTGACAAGTTATGAACAAACACCTGATCAGAGCTCTCGAGGTCCTGCTTCTGATTACTCATTTGATATTGATTCCCGTCAAAACCAAAGGTCGCTCGAAGCGTTTCCACCACCGAATGCATCTATTACGCAGCAGCCTTATGTGTCTCAACAGGCTTATCGTGGATGGAACGAAGGTGGTGCCTGCGGTCAAGCTGGTGACATGAGGTCTGGTTCCTTGCTTAGTCAATTCCCCGATTATAATAGATTTGATCAAAAGGAGCGAGTGTCCAGCACGCACTTGGCATCATCATCGTCAGGAAATCCAGGTAGTTCTGGACTACATGTTAGTGATTCTTGGACCACGCCTCGGGTCAGCTATATTCAGGAAGCCAATGCCCCGAGTCATATTGTTCCGACGCAAGTGGTGCCTCAGCAAGCTCCCCAGTTTCCCTCAAATTCTGGATCAGATGTCTATAGGAATCAGGTATTAAACGAACCTACCTCTCGACCTCCTACCGGTGCGGGACGCGCCCCTAGCGACTCGAGTTACTCACAAACCTGGTTTTCCGATAAGGTCAAGTCGATCATTAGTATTCCAAACTTAACATTGAACTTATTTAATGCGCGTTTGTCCACCATGCTGAGTGATAAACCAGCCGGCTACAAATTTTCTCGCTCCGATTTGCGACTTGTAAAAGAATTGCAGGAACTGGGTTCGTTGGATGTCGACGAAAAGTTGTTCTTGTCCACTCTTAAGGCTAAGTTTGCTACTATGTAAGTAATGTGTGTAGGTGAGTAATGAAAGGCATTCTTAGGATGTCATCTTTGTGTGCTACTCTAAGTTGTAATTGCGCATTCATGTTTGAAGAAAGTTTCTGATTTTTTTAGTCAATCTGGCTTCTCAACATTCTCCGCAAATGATACCTTCATCAATATTCAGTTAACAGTTGTATTTTTTCTTAGTGGATTGGAGGCATGTCATTTGCGAGAACTATTGTACAATTTGTTTCCTGCTTTTATTTTAAGGTAGAAATCTTGGCAGTTTGAGTTAAACTCAGGCCTTCATAGTTGTTTAACGCTTTGTTTATGGTTAATTACCACTGCATGTATGAAGAAGATTAGTGTGTATATCGCCTGGATATACACTATATCGCCTGGATTAGAGGCCGTATATCGCCTGGATAGGCGATATACTGCCTCTTCTTAGGATACTCCTTGATTCGGAGGAGTATCCTAAATTGATGTGTGGGTATGTTGGAAACTTCTCGACCTCATGAGTCGTTATATTCTAAGGGTATTTCTCCCTAGCGGCTAGAATTCCACATTTATGTCCAACTTGTGCTGACGAGGCACAACTCTTTTCCATTACTTTTTGAGGATTATTGTTTCTCTGCAAACGGTATATTATTATTTTCTGGGAAAAGTCGCTTATTTCAAATTCTTTCTCGTGTCCTCTAATATCTGTTAAAAACTCCAATATTTCGAAATAATGACCCTGAAAAGTATACAACTATTCATCTATATTAAAACCCGAATCCAGTAGGAAAGGCGTATAAATGGAACGTTTCTTTCTTATTATAATTATTTTTAGTGTCATGACATGGATATATTCTTGGACCTTCTAGCTTTTGATTAACAGCGTAGCCGAGGAAATTTGTGAGACGAGAGCAGCGCATTTTTTGGTAAGTTTTTGAAGTATTTTTCATCAGTTATGTTCATTTCTTTTGCTTGATGCTTTTTGTCGTGTTAATAAATTGACCCGGAGTTGGAATTTTTTCTTATCAATAAGAACTTTGCCTAAGATGACGTCTCTACTGGGTTAGCCCTTTTGAATTGAAGCTCTTTTCAACATGTTATAAATTTCTGGAGTGAAGTGTCAAAGCCGAACGGCACGATAATCAAGTACATTGGTTATTTGCAGCGAGTTGAGAATAGCAGCCGATGCAGAGTTACAGAATTTTACTACCAAGAATCATGCTTCCAGTGATTTGGTATATGATGAGGGTTGTGTCCCCAGGTAGGCAGTAAAGAGGATATCTTTTTTTCTAGATTTCCCGCGGCCTCATTTGTTATATTTTCTCAACTGAATTCAGTCTTCCATAGTTACGGATTTAGCGTCACGTGAAGTCATGAAGCGCCTTGAATGCCGACAAAATATGAGTTTCGTCCGGCACGTTGTTGCGGCATGAATCGCAATCTGAGTGCTACTGCCGCTGCACGCCGTCAACCCAGTAAAGTCCGAAGTACTTGATGCATAACAGAGTTCATGGCCTTCAGGCTGAGTCACGAGTGCAAATTATCTTATAGGCCTATGGGCGATATACGGTCTCTTCAGCTCGTCCTAACTTATTAGAGCTTAAGTCGGTAAACCGTAAATTTGGTTGTAAGCCTCGTTCAGTAATTGTACGTCTGTGCCATTGTACAACCATTGACATTCACTTTGAGCTTGGCCGCTTTGCCTTTGGTCTTGTCAGTACGTAATGTCTCTGTGCTTCTGAAGTTCTGATAGTGACTTGAGTGAATTCTAGGAAAGTGGTCTCCGTTTGTTCAATCACTGAAGTCTGAATCGGTCATTAGTCACTAAGTAGGTAGGCTATTCACTTTAGTGACTCCACCTACGCACCTAGGACCTAGCCACCTACTAATCTGCTGTAATCAGTAATTCACTGAAGCTAATCACTACTACTAGTATTCAGCTAGTGTGTTGCCAAAAAATGTATGCATTTGATCACGGTCACACCTCACTCTCTGAGTCGGACTGCTGTGTCAGACTGTCAGCTCCAGGCCCTGGACCTGGAGGCTGGAGCACAGGAGCAGACGCAGCACAGCAGTCAGACTGTCGGAGAGCTGAGAGTACAGTACAGTAGTGACACTTGGTACACAGCAGTCAGACCTACAACTTTCAAGTACAATTGCCCTGGTCCAGGGCAATCCACAATTGTACTTCTAGGCTAGTCTGGAAAAGTCCTATTTTTGTCTGAAATATCGCGGCTCTAATATCATATAATTTCAGTAGGTATGAAATCTCGCGGCTCGAATCGGAGTGAGGTTGTCAGAGTTTTGTTCTCATATGTTACAGCTTGATTAGGTAAGAAAAACAGTGACCCACGGGTGGGTCCCATCGCATCTGAAGATAATGTTTTTGTTGTAATGCGATGGGACCCACCGGTGGGTCCCATGTTAGAAAATTGTATATGTTGAATTCACGATGCATAAGTTGTTTGTTGGGATGACTGGAGGGATAAAAGGAATGTTGTAACTTTATCAACAGTTCCAGAACATGATGACACTTTGGTAGACACAAGTAGAATCACAAGGGCTGGTTTACCTATCAAAAAGCCTCAAAGTGTGTTAGACTACAATGCTTGCAAAAAAGGGGTTGACGTATCAGACCAAATGTCCTCATATTATTCTCCTCTAAAGAAGTCGAGGAAATGGTACAAAAAAGTTGCCTTAGAATTAATTACTGGACCTTCTATTGTGAATGTGTGGGTACTGTACAATAAATACTACTCAAAAAAGAAAATTACAATCAGAGCATTCAAGGAATCCATTGTACTGTACTATACTTGTGGCGTTATGGAGGAGAAAATAAAGCCTGGAAAATCTTCCCTGAAAATTTCTGCAACATCTGGACATCATCTTCAGGAAGCTGAAGGGCCCAAAAGGAAAACAAGAAAAAGGTGCCGCGGCTGCTATGAAATGATATCTGAAAATGAAGGTTCCAAAGCGGCTAAAACCAAATCTCGAAAAGTTTCTACATTTTGTGACTCATGTGATGGTTCGCCTTATCTCTGCCTACCATGTTTCAATATGAAGCATGAAAAGTAAAATATTTATTTACTAACAAATGTAATCATATTTTTATTCCGCATATTTTGAATAAAATGAAATTTTCATGAATTAGAAGTTTGATAAACCTTCGTTCTTACATTTCTTTCTTTAATTTAACCTTTATATAGTAATACTAGGACACATATATAATGCGTAGTCAATATACTTATATTATTTTGCAAATTATAAAAGGTAGACAAAATTAAAGTGGGACCCACCAGTGGGTCACATCGCAACAATGGAAAGAAGACTGGGACCCACCGGTGGGTCACATTGCAGGTGTCGTGCATAGCAGCAAAAGAGCCGTCGCAGGAAACGTGTTGAATAGACATTTCCATTACCATATATAAACAAGGTTCACAAAATACTTAACAAAGCTAATCATTGTCATTTAATTTAGGATGTATGGACAACAATTTCATCTTTGTTCCTTCAATGCTTATTTCTACCTGCAGCAGCTGTAGAAATGCATGTCAAGGCCTTTAAACCAACAAAAGCATTGGGTTGCCACAGATGTGTTGCATTGTTCTGCCACTGAATGGTCAATACGACCTCAATCCTAAGCAAACCTTGAGCATTCAAATCATAAATACCTCTTGCTTTCTTGTTTAGGGGCTGGTCCTTCAAGTTGTTAAAGCGTTTTAAATCATTTTTCCTAGTATTCATAACTGATCATTAACTTTTGCATCATATTTATCTATATATAAAATTAATTATCTATTTTGTTCATATATTAAATTATGAATTTTAAATGCTCATATAAGAATTTTTTAATCAAATACGAATCAAAATCTCATATACGAATCAAAATTTTGCAAGCATCACTGCTATTAAATTTTAATACCCCACATACCGCATGACTAAATGCTCTTTGATTTATAAAAATAAATTGATTACTGCTCCTAAACAACCATCATTTTCGAAAAGACACGAGATGTACGAAAACTGGCCATGGGAGACAATAAAATCATTCAGAGTATGAAGTGAAGTTATTCGGACAATATCTACAAACATGAATAAGAATACATGAAGTATATACAAAACAAAAGCATGAATAAGATTCATATTTGGATGTGTATCAATAGGTGTTTGAATTTTGAAACAACTTTCCATCATTCAAATCTTGGTGTGGAATGTAGATCAAATCTATTTATTGTGAATTCAAACTTGACCTGAGCAAAACAAGGTGTGTGACACCATCTTGTCAAATGTATTCATGGAAGCACAATGTGCCCATATGCTGTGAAAGAGTTGCAGTTTATCACACCATTTTGTGTGATATCAAAAACTTTGTTGGTATTTGCCAAATCGCAAGAATTTTTGCAAAAGTTGATATAATTTCTTATTATTTTAGAACATATTCATTGCAAAAATTTGTCAATTACAGATAAACGACTAGTGAATATAAATACCAACCCACTATTGGATTCAAAACCAAGGTCCATGCGCGATATAGGATCCACAGCACTTTCTGTTTGGCTCAGTCAACCTCAATGTATCAATTGTCACTGCAGTGGAAGGTATAATGTGGTACACTTTTTGATCCATTTTCTTATATAGGCATGAGAATATATTAACTACCATCAACCGGGATGTCAATTACTTTTCATTCTATGATGCCTGGTGCACAATTCTATATATGACATTCTATGCACAATTTTGTGATGACCAATGATGCACTAATTTTCCAATAAGTGAAATTTTTTTGCTGAGTGAGGTAAATGTAATCAATATTCTTTGTTTTTAATCAATTTTTTTCTTAACTGGAGCCTTTGCTAACTGAGTTTCTACTGTAAATGCGTTGTTGGGGGTGTCCCAAATAGCCCCGGGGGGTGTCCCAAATAGCCCCGGGGGGTGTCCCGAGTAGGCCCGCCGTGTGGAAATGACCACAATTTTTTTTGGAATAAGATAGGCAAAATCTGTCAATTACGTTTTCAAGCCAACACCTGGATGCAACTTTTATGTAAGTAAAATTTTTTAATACGGTGAATATTTTTTTACTACAGACCTTAGCAGAAGTAACTTTTCAAAATATCATTTTTTACCATTTTTTTCAGGAATTTTTCAAACCTAGTAAATGTAGTATTTTTGATATTCCTTTATTCCGTTATATAGATAGGAAAAATGTTGATGTTTATGCCACTATATTTAGTTTTGCAATATTCCAATTAGTTTTGATACTAAAACAGTTTTACGCCGTGTTGGAGGACTGTCCCGAGTTACCCCGCCTGTCCCAAGTAGCCCTGGTTGACGGTATATAGAATTCCACACTGACCTGAACATCCTATAAGAATACGCCAAGATCATCTTGTGACATCACTCTGACCTAATGTAAAACTGTTGAAGATCATTCAATTAATGAAGGTGCACTAAGTGCCCTGTTGAGAGCAACTCCAGTCACCTTAAAAGGGATAACAACAAGTCAACAACTTCTGTATATTGCAAAATGCCAACAATGATTGACAACATTGTAGCAAACCACAGATCTTTTGGAATGAGTTCATTTTAAATTTTAATTGCCTTATTTACTTCTGTGATTGAAACCAATATCTTATGTATGAGAATGCTGGTGTCAATGAAACTTTGTTGTCTACTTATCGTTACTGTAGCCTAGGACTCGAAATCAAACTTACAGGAAGAATCTAAAAACCTCTGCTATGCCACTATGACTGACAAAATGATAATGACCTACTTTTTAGGTACAGTAACTCTAGGTTACACAGCTACTGGTATACCTAACTTCAACTCAAGCACACTTCACTCAATGTTCATATTTCAAGCTTCACGGTTCATGCCACTGGTGCTAAATACGTTAGAACTGTGTATCTCCAGCAATTAGAATTTTGATGCATCACAATTGAACGAATGGAGCATGAATCTAAAAATAGCCTATCCTTCCTTGATTGCAACATTATTGAATCTAATGGCCGGTTTCAAACTTTTGTGTTCTGTAAATCAACTTTCACAGGTCTTAGTACCAATTTTTTTAGCTTTTGCTTGTTTCCATTGAAGGTTATTGGGCTTTAAGCGCTTTTACATCAGGATTTTTGTATTTGTTCTACTTACCATGCTCTGCATGCTGAATTCAAATTTTTACTCAATATCTTCTCACTTGATAGATTTCTGACTAATCTGATGTTTACCCAAACAAAGAAATTCATGTCCAAGCGGTACAATGAGGTTGCTCCTGAGTGCAACAGTAGGAATGTTGTTTTTTGCTCTTTTTCATACTTTAGCCCTAAATCCAAAACTATTTCAATGGAGCTAGAACTTTTCTTCTCAAACTACTTCTAAAATGTTAATGTTCATGTTTTATTGGTGAACAATTTTAAGATTGGTAATTTTTTTAGGTACCTTATGGATACAGGAGCATCTCTAGTGTATAAATATAGTTATGCATGATGTACCTACATCTGTGTATGTCAGGATGACATCTTGCAATCTTTATTCTAGGGTTGCAGAACATAAGGAGAGGAATTGTAGAACTGGTCACTTGCTATGGCACCCTGTGATTTGGCTGTGCATGCTCAGATGGAGCAGTGCAATGTTCCAATTTCTGATAGTGACTTCAAGGTTTTAGCTTCCATTTCTAGTGTTTCTGATTTGCTCATTTTAGAATCCTTGTATATTTTAAAACAGGTCTAGTTTAAATTCAGCTTTTAGCTATTACCCTCTTTAAATTGTAAATAGACGGTTTTTCCCATTTGAGTTTTTTTTTGTAATCTGGACTACTAATTACTGATTTATCCATGTTTCAGAATTTTCAAACTGACAATGGAGCTGAACTCCAAAATGTTTTCTATAGTTTGATTTTTTGGGGAGTTTTCTCTGCTTTTAAGTTTTTAGCAAATTTGCAATTAAAGCAAACAAGTGACATTATTAATCACAATTACAAATATTCACAATATGATGATAGAAAATATTCAAAATATCACTATAAAAAATATTTGCAATATCTGGGAAATGGAGGATGTGCTGCCATGTCCACTCAGGCCCAAATGCAACTAAAGAGTTATTGGCAGGATTGTGCATTAACATCACATGTGACACATGCTGCATATGGCAATGAGGGTCAGCCCCCTCTAGAGGTTGATAGTTAGGCCAGTATAGCACCAGCGCAGGCAAAAAAACTAACTCAGGAGAACAAACAGAGAAAGAACCAAGGTAAAATATATCAAGTAAAACTCAATGGTAAATGAAGATAAAAGGTGAAAATTAGTTAGTTATGAGGCAGCCCAGGGTTATGAGTGCTGGGATGGGCTGAGAAAATAGATTTACTCATGGCAATGTCCCCCATGCCTCACAAAGGTTACATGTCTTATTGTGTATGCTGTGCTGGCTGAAATGGGTGTCCTGCTGCCACCTATTGAGCAGTGCGCAACAACAGTGTGTTTTTTATCACTGGCAATAGGCAATTGCTATGGCCGAATTTATTTGCAACTAACTCAATGTCTACTAATGCTGCTGCTGAGCATTGGCCTATGTCATCTCATAGTCCTCAAAAAAAAAAAACCTGCTTAGCGTTCATGTTGATCACCACTGTGCGCAGCTGTGTTGCCGGTTATTATTTGGCTGCCTCAACATCTGTTCACTGAATAACAAGGTTGATGAGTTTCTCCACATTTGTCATTTGCAGTCACTAGATGTCATATTCCTGACCAAAACCTGGCATGAAGCTGACTTGGTTTGCATTGCATGTCTTTGCGCTGAACGACTCCAGGTAGTCGAGCGCACGCAGCCCCTCATGCAACCCAACACACTGGCGACAAATTACAGTGGAGTAGCTACTGTTGCCAGAGGGGGCCTGTACCTTGCAATTTTGATATAGGTGCCCAACCCACCACTTTTGAGCTGCTATGTGCTAGGGTCACCTGGGCCTTGTTTATGGGTGTTGCAGTCACCATCTACCATCTTGGGTTGGTTGCTTTGTTGCATAATTTTTTTCATGGAATTGAGCGATGTCTTCACCAAACTTGTGACTTTGCCCAATTATGTCCATATCACCTGCAATTTATTTATTTATTTAATATGTACTATCAAAGTTGTCTAAAAATCCTGAAGTTGCCTAAACTTATAGTGAATGCTGCTTTGAAAAGCAAGATATATGGTGAAACAGATTCCCATTCCAAGGATGACAATTGGTTGATTATTTATTTTTCTGTCTTTGTCTTGCTTCAAGACCTGTCATGGAATATATTTACCATTGAAGCTGCAACAGGAGTTTTCCTGCCATCTTTGGAGCTGTGAAATTTCCCACTAGATAAATTATCTCCTATCTAAATGTTAATGAAACTGCAAAATTGGGGGATAAGACTCCATACATATATACATATACTACATGTATCTAAAATTTGTTACTTTGGGGCTGCAAGATTTCATTCATAAGTAGGAAAATTATAATCTAGTCCAGAACTACGTTCATTTGATTCAATAATTTTGTAGCAGGACCCTCAGCAGTTGCTGGTCATGAACTTAATTTGGTCCATCATTGTCAAGTAATAAACTCCTGTATTGCAAACCTTGTTTTTGTAGCATTTCCTTGCGCATCTTTATTATTATGAGCTACAATACATTATGTGATTTTCAGCAAATTTACTCATGCCCACTGATTTTTTTACTATACATACTGATTGTCAAGTGCTCTGGCATTTAATACAGCAATATTTGCCACCAACTTGAGCAGTTTTAGTTTCCTTCTTATGCTTCATCTTGGTGCGGTATTGTAAGGTGTCAACTGATATGATTTATCAACTGATCGCGTAGCAGTATTGTAATCCAGCTTGCTCTGTAACTTGAATTTTGCAGTAACATTCCAATTCCATTTGCCAAAAAACTAGATTATTTCAAAATCAATACCCATGTAATGCACATTTTTATTGGAGTCTTATAATAAATGCAATGTGCCTCATATGCTGCACAGTGCCCAAAGAGATCACAGTTTTGTGTAACATGCACCAATAGAGGCTCACAGTTTCTATGTCAGAATCTTGTAAAGCTCACTTAGACAAGAGCAGCACATTGCCTCCCATGTTGCTGTCATGTCTGTTACCAAAGTTATTCAAATTGGGGAATGTTGCATCAGAGGAATATTGCTTTTTTGGGGAGTTGCAGTCAAAGTTTTGACCTTCAACATGTCTTGCCATTTGCCAAAAATGCATGTAAAGAGGTATTTCACTTTGTCATCACTGGAATGGCAGCTGTTGCTACACTGCTACCCCACCCAACCAAATGCTTCTTCAAGTACTAACTCCTAAGCTAAGGAGAGTGCAGCATTTGCTACAACTTTAACATTTGTAGCAAGCATTTTAGTTTTATAATAGAAGCATCTCACAACTTGAGTACTGTTTCTGAGTCATTGCTGTAAAGAATATGCCTGAGTTTTCAGTTTGTGAGCAGCATGGACTGAAAAGTTTTTGTCTAGGTTAAACATCATTGCTATAAGTTTGCTATCTGGCATTCTTCTGCTAAGAAATCTATAAATAATTCAACTTATTAATCCAGTTCTTGTAATTGTAGCAGACATTTTGTATACATACATCAAAAATTTAGTAAATAGGACTAATTTGGTTTTATTTATTTTTCTCTACAGATTGATTATTTTATGTCTAATCTTGATGACCAAAAACAGGGGGCTCTTGGTGAGCCCTCGGGTGTAGAGTTTTCAGTTACTCCTGATGAGCTATCCATCTTGAATGATTCAGCATCTGAGAAAGCAGGTAATCATGATTAATATCAGTTATTTTAATTCTTTTTGAAGTTATCAGGCATATTAGAAGCACCATTTTAAAATCTTGAATAGTCTGTAATGTTTGCTATTTTAATTTGTGTTGTGTTGGAAATTTGAGATTCAAAATCCTTGAATTTTCAAGTGTATTACAAATCCCAATCTTTACTGGACTTTTTTTTACATATTCTCTTTTATCATCTAGATATACTATTTGTAATATTTATTCTCAGTCATCATTTATATACACTTGGCATTTATGTTTCATTCTCATTTTTAGGAAAGGAGGAATCAGATCAAAAAGATGATGCTGGTGATGCTTCTGAACTGCCTTCTCAGTCTTCTGCTCCAGGAACTGAAATTAAAGCAACTAAAAAGACTTTTGTTCCTGTGGTATTTGACTTGCCAAACTCACCTGTCATTGATTCTAGTACTATCAATGACAGCGATGCAGAGTGTTCATTGATGCCACCAGGAGAGGAGGTTGAACCTCCTAAGACCTCTGTAGAATTTTACAGAGGAACTGGAGTTGTGCTAGGACGTTGCATGGATGGCAAACCTCAGAGTAACAGCATGTCAGCTACTTCATTCTTAGACAAGCTAAATGCTTTAGAAGCAGCAGTGTCAGCTGCTGCATCTGCACAGCCTTACACTATTAGGCAGAACTACAATACTCCATCTTCCAATGCTTTCCCAATGCAGCCCCAACCACGTCCACGAATGCCTTATCGCCCGTTTTTACCAAACAAGATGGCTCCTCAGTTTTACTCCAGTTTCCCTCCGGGATTGCCTCCTGTGCATCCACATGCCATGCCCCTTATGGGTCTTTCAACTCCTGTTGGTGCTCCATTAATGACCCCTTACATGCAGCCATCATATCCTTTTCCAGTTCCTGAGAATGCTTTTCTACCAATGGCCATTCCACCACTTATTCCTGATTCAATGTATTCTTCATTCACATTTTCCCAAAGTCCTCTTAATCATTCCCAAATGCCTGCTGCTGGCTTGAATCAAATGGCTGCTTCTGTCAATGCTCCATCATTGCCTTTGCAATCAGCCACAAACAACCTACAGCCTTCAACATCTCAGGAGTCTGAGCCAGATTCTGGTGCTATCTCAATCCCTTCTCAAGTTTCAAGTACTCATGTGACTTCTCCTGCCAAACCTATAATAAATTTTGTCACCAAACCTAAGAACTTCAGTAATCCAGTTTTGCCAGAATCAACTTGTGCTGCCAGCATACAACCTGGAGTTGCAGCAGGGTCAAACACGTGCCAAACTTCCGAGACTCAAAATCTTAAAGTCAAAATTGAGGACATTTTCCGCTATATGCATGCTATGGAGATGAGGAAGATCCTCGAAGTCTGTGGCAATGTTAAAAACTTCAAATTTGTTCCCTCTTCTAGTGAGACTTATTGTGAGTATTTTTTTATTCTTTATTTTCAGTTACAAGTTAAAGTAAATGTCTGATAAATTAGGTAAATTACCACAATTCAGTTTCAACTAGAGAAAATTCTGAAATTTCCTGTGCCTTTGGTTTTCCTATGAAATTTTTTTCAGCAGTATTGAAATATGTTTCATATTGATGGATTGGTTTGTGGGCCATTCAAAAAGTTTTCTAGAATACATTGCTGAAATCCTTAATTTCTTTCTTTGGTTGTAACTAATTGATTAAAATTTGATTTGGTCTCAGGTTCATGCGAGGCCCAAATGCAGTACTGCTATCAAGCTACCAGGGCAGCCAGACTCTTGTCAGCTCTGACGGTAGGAGGTGTTAGAATGAAGACCTCCACCAACATATCTGTTCTTGATAAACTCTCAGGTTTGTAATCATTTAAAAATTTTGAATAATTATTTTTGGAGGAACAAATGCTTCACTAATGTATAGGTATATTTTGAAATAAATTTTGTTAATCCAATACCTACTTTCAAATAATCTCTTGTGAGATTGATTATTGATTGGTGTAACATTAATTTTTTGCTTATTGTAGAATAAATAATTTAATTACTTCATCTATGGCAGATGCTGCTAAAAGTCTTGATCTGGATTGCATGGTGACCATCGGTGGTATTCTGACTGCCAATAGCCGTTGCTTCAAATGGGGTCAGTTTTATTTATATGAATAATATTCTATGGTCTACTTTCATGAAAACGAGTTTGCAGAATTAAAAAAAAAATTTGTTATGAATATATTGTACTACAAGAGTAATGCAAAGTTTTATAATCATCTTATGATTGAAATTTATAGAGTAATTTCTGACTCAGCTTTTGTTTTCTGCAGATTACAATCCAGACAATCAAACTACAGCAAGTAGCACCAGTCCCGCAGTATTGGTAGCCGTGCCCTCAAAGGTACTTTTAGGGATGAAGTCAATAAAAATATAACTATTTATTAGAGGAGCATGTTCATTTGTTCAAAAGTTTCTTAAATTTTTTCTTCTGCAATCATCACGCATAAGCATTTATTATCTGTTTGTCCATGTTTTATATTTTAGTTCGCAGGAAACAACGTTTTTTAAATCAAGTAGCAAATATGTGCAATATCCCTGAATGTTTCTTTCCAGAGTGAAGTCACATCAATTAAACCTCGCAAAAACTTGATCACGATACGACTTGCTTCATCAACATTACCATCTTTGATCCCTAACAAATCTGGTAACCAAAATACTAACACCGAGTCTGACAAAACCCACATGACGAGTTCTTCATCTCCCTTTGAAGTTTCTCAGGCTCACTATGCTCATCCTCCCGTGATGTATAAAAAAAATAATGCCTCAGTACCGCCTACCGTAAGCACCAATGTATCAAGTTCCGCCTCAAATCCTACTATCTCGCCTGCAAAGCCACCAAAACGCGATATTGTCAGTGCTGTGCAGACCATCAACAAGAAGATTAACGATAGGAAGACGCGCATAAACTTGGAGCTAGAAAAGGTCCTGAGTAGTGTCGATCTGCCGGTTGCCAAGAATGCCTCAGTTAGCAGTTCCAGTGCCGAACAAGGACATGTGATGACGGTGAAGTGGAGCCATAGTTCTCATGCTGGCGCCACGTTAACACACATAGCGAAACTACTCCAGGCGCACGTTGTCTTGGATAAAACAAGTGAGATTTTACCATAAGTGTATGCTCTCTATTTGAAATGTTAATTTTAAAAGTGAAGACTTTTTTTTAACCCTCTAACATGCAAAAATATGGGTTTTTGAGCTGAATCCAGTGCAATTTTTTTTTACTTTTTTGGAAGAAAATTTGTTTCATAATTTGTACTTGGCATTGTATTTATATTTGGGGCTCCTTCTAGAAATTCCAGTCAAACTTTACTTGCATCAAATGTTTTTGAATTCATGGATCTCAAAACATGTTTAATCTGACTCTAAACATCAGCAGTGTAGTGCCCTCCTTTTTGCAGGGTTGTTGATTATTTTTTTCCTTTTCGTTGAGTTTTCTTTATCTTTCCTTTTCTACAAGATTCTAAGGACTCTGACGAGGCCTTTGGCTGCAAACTCTTCATTGGAGACCTCATAACAGCTGAGGCGTGCACTGAGCATCTCAATAACCGCCGTTTGGCTGACACATTAATAACTGCCACGCTTAATAAGAAGGAAGGTAATTACGTTAAATTAATTAATTAAGTATTGAGCTTGTGTTGTCGAGGAAGAAGCCCTCTCGAAATCCAATGCTGGTGTTTTCAACAACTTTTTATTTCATACATACTGATGTTTGGTCTTAATCTGCCTAAAACAATGAAAAAGAGTCAGTTCAGTATGACGCTTCACAGAAAAGTACAAAATGAGTACCCTATGTTTCACAGATGATAAATCTTTAGAAATCTAATGAATAATCGAACCTTGGTAATATGAAGTAAACTTTAGCAGTGATTCAAATTAAGTACTGGCCTGCCTCCAAATGCTATAGAGTATCGCATTCTCATCCTAATCCTATTACGTTATTTACTATTGATACGCGTTCGACGAACGTGTACAATCCAGCAAACAACTTCATGGCTGATTAGATTTACACCGGGCAACAAAAAATTGAGACTGAAAAATCTTTACATATTTGCAATGCTTGCCTCATAAACAAACAATCGGACACAAACCGACACATTCTAAAATGTATTTTACATTCATTATGAACATTTCATCTTAAAAAAATATGTGCCGTCGTTTAATTGCTGTTGCCGTGCAGATGACGTCTCCATTATAGAAGAGTGTGAGGACCGGACTGCTGTGCTGAAAAAGCTCGATGCTGCGCTGCTGAGGCACAACCAGGAAGTCGTACAGACACTGAGCAGACGCGCCTACCTCGGTAATGATGCAGTAATGAACCTGGGCCTATACTTTCAAAAAAAAATTTGAGAAATCGTAAGTTCATCAGCCAATCATTGACGGCCTTTCAAGGAAAATCCACCAATCATAGACAATAAAATATGTTCACTTAGCGAGTTTTGAAAGTATGTCCCCTGATACTTCGTCCACTGTGCAATGGTGGACAAAGGCGTAGCTTGTGTTACATGGTTTGGTTCATTATATTTACAAAATAGCTGGTAACAGTAGTCTCTTAATTAGTTTACTCCTACTCCGTTCATTCATATGAACTCTTAACTTCTGCGTTTCTTGTATTTATTACTGCATTATTGTGGTGTATGGTTCGAAAAGAGATTTTCAGATTAGCAATTTCAATAATACTATTAAGTGTTTAATTTTGCATTATGATTTGTATGGTCATATATGCATGTCTGAATGCAAAGTAATGACATCAGGAGCATTTGATTTCTTGCTTGATTTCTTGTTCTCGTCATTTTTGTGCAAAATGGCTGAATAATTTGTAACCCACTTAACCATGTTAACTTGAAGCCTATAATAATATAATTGATATTTATTCACTCAACACGTTAATTATTTTGTTCCAGCCCTGGACGTGTTTTCTTTCAAGATCGAGGAATGTCAGACCAAATGCAACCACCCGCAGTGTCACGACTATCACTCAGAGAACGACAGGCGTAGAGATCCTCGTCTCATTGAGTACAAGTAAGAATCTAAGGCACAACCTTAGTAAGTAAACTGAGGGTAGAGGGTAACTGCAACCTTAGTAAGCAAGCTACACAAATAAGATGCTAAGGCACCTATATTTCACGATCCTAATTTTTTTTGCTTCATGGCCTTAAACGCAAAAAAAAAAAAAGATTAGTGCATCTCATATTCATGATCTCTATAAATGGACTAGTATCAAAGAACTGCAAATTTTGACTTGAATGATTAAAGTCTCTGTTTATTTTTCTCAAGTTCACGAGAAAACTCATGTATTAATTTTTTTTCTTATACATGAGAAAATTCATATTCATTCTTACCTAAAATGTATTGTATCAAGTTCTATCCACTAGTATTAACAGGAGTCTTATTCTAAGACAGGAAATTTTTTGTCGCATGTCCTGTGTTGCCGGCAGATCGCGTTATTGCCCCCAATAACATCTCTCTACTTCTGTGAATTATTCTAAATTGTGTTGCCGGCAGATCGCGGTATTGCCCCAATAACATCTCTCTCCTTCTGTGAATTATTCTAAATTGTGTTGCCGGCAGATCGCGGTATTGCCCCAACAAGAACGCTTGCTCCGTGGGCGATAAGTGTCCGCTGGTGCACACCTGGACCGAGATGATCGCTCACCCGCGCGTCTTCCGTGCCTCCCTCTGCCTCTCGCACTGTTCCTCCTCCAGACGCGTCTGCTCTTATACTCACTGCGGTCAGTGCCCCATATATTCATTTTAATAATCATAATATTTACAAGATAGCTTGTAATAGGAGTCTCGTAATTAGTTTACTCCTACTCCGTTAGTTCAAAGTGGATTTCAGGGAATTTTGAATGTTCCCTTTAGTACGTTTTAATGAGAGGCTTTCATATTTTTAAGTAACCGGCTCTAGAAATTTTGTGGCATTTCAACCATTCTTTGACCACGCCTTGCAAAAAATTGGAGCTGGACAATAGCAAGAACTAATGCCAAACTAGCAATCAAAGGTGAAAATGTATGTGGCAAGGCTGAAGTTACATAATTGTTGTGTAGGCATCTGCGAGAATTGTCGGGTTGCCAGTGCGTCATCACTGCGACACTTTAGGCCGACCAATACGCGACCGTCGTGCTCACCGCCAGTCTTATTGTTTCATCTGCCACTTCATATGAACTATAAACTTCTGCGTTTCTAGTATAATTTATTACTGCAGTATTGTGATGCGTGTTAACGTGTGTTTTTGTCGTGCCACTTTGAAGTTCGGTGAAATTTTGCTGTAAATTTTGAGTAATTTTGCTGATCGCATCGCGATCAGCATTTTTCTGTTACTTGCGTATTTTTCTGTTACTTGCGTATTTGACCATTAGGGCTTCTTATTCACTAAATTAAATTTAAGTGACCATGGGATTAGTAATGCCTGTTACTATGTCATGCTGATAGCACAAAATAGAAGTTATTATTAATAGGATTTACAGCAAGTTTCTCTTTATCGAGTAAGTAAGACAGATTGACTATGACAGATTGTATGAAATTTCGACTGGAAATGTGTTGAACTTTTTGGAATGCCTGTTAACTATACCTATCGTGCTGAAATTTAATCGTGGATTCATGTTGAGAATTGGTGTAAAAAGGTATATAAAATACGTAACTTATTTACGCGACACGAATTGAACCTACCTAACATATTATTTCATGGTTAACATATGCGTTTTCTTGTTAACGCACTGGTACCTTATTTCATCTCCGACTCGCTTTATTTTTGGACGAAATTAAGCTGTACATATTGTTATTCAAGATATCTATTGTATGTAAGTAAGTAAGAACGTATTAATAATAAATATCCTGTATAAAATGTATCTTCTTGCAGATACTCCTGAGATGTTTTACCACGCGAGCTGGCGCGACTTGCTAGTCACGGGACTCGTTCATTCCTACACTTTCTTCACTGGCGCCGTCAGGAATCTTTTCAGGCGTCAGGAAGCTGCAAAAGGTAAGGAATAATTTTTCATATTCTGTGTTTATGATAGAATAAATTTTATTGTTACGATGAAAAACGCAAACACGATTTTACATTCGTAAAAAATTAACATGGCCTCCACTGTGATTTAAGACTTGAATAGAAGCTAATCTCATTTGGCTTGGAGTAAAATTCTTAATCTCTTACTTCGCTCATGATCCCGTAAAATTTGAGTCTTCTATCGATTATTTGAACTTTTTTCTATCCTGCGCACTGAACATTTATGTTTCAATAATTGTTATTATTGTGCTGTATTAAGTTTTATTTCGAAATTTTCTGGTGTGTTTAATGAATTCGGCAGTTTTTTTAATGAAAATTTAATGGCTCTTTAGTGTTCTCTGTTTCTGCTAACCAGATAGCTGTCCATCTAATTTAATTGTTAGTTGAGTGTGACCTTTCCAATTAACTAACTACCCAACTCTCCACCTAACTGACCAACCAACTCTCTACCTGACTGACCATCCAACTCTCCACCTAACTGACCTCCGAACTAACCACCTAATTGACCATCCAACTCTCCACCTAACTGACCATCCAACTCTCCACCTAACTGACCTCCGAACTAAACACCTAATTGACCATCCAACTCTCCACCTAACTGACCTCCGAACTGACCATCCAACNGGTCACTGCAGCGCTGGCTGTGGTGTTCGTGTCGCCACACCACCACGTGGCTGAGGCGGCCGTCGCTGTGGCGTCCAGCGTGGCGTCGCGCCAAAGACTCAAACTCGCCACCGTGTGCTCGGGCGACGAAGACATCAGTGAGTGCCGTCATTTCCAAACTGGATTGTCCCACATAATGTGTTATGTCTCAAAACCTAACGTGAATGATTTTTCAAGTAAGATTTTGCTCAAATGTTGATTTCTGCGTCTAAATGGATCAACTGTTAGCTTGGATGCATCGAAGAGATTGAATATTTTCACTGTTAATGAAGATCGTTAAAGAGATATTGATAATTTCTCCTGGAACACTTGAAAACCTTCACTTCAAAATTTTTAATAACTACCCCACTACTTCGAGATTGTTCATAAAATGATTTAATGAATAAGTTGAATAAATCGTTCATGGATGCGATTTGTTGGTGCGCGCAGACGGCTGCGTGGGCGTGGCGGGCACCGTGCAAGGCGTCCTGGGCGCCGTGCAGAGGCACGCGCCGCTGTCGCCCATCCAGGCCTTCATCGTGGACGATTTCTCGACCATCGAGCAGGACGATGACCTGCTGGACGCCCTCGCCAGCCTCGTTTCTGCTCTCGCCGAGCCCTGCAATGCCTTATTCAAGAGAGGTGAGTTCATCACTTCATGGTCGGGTGAGTTATCTTTTCTTAATCAGGTGATTTTATTCTTCTTTATTCGGTGAATTCATTTGTTTTTTTTTACCGTGTGAGTTAACTTGTTCTTTATCGGTCAAGTTAATTTTATCTTTATAGAGTGAGTTTATTTCTTCCTTAAGGCATGATTTATTGTATATTTGAATTATTGTATATTTGATTTGATTTGATTTATTGTAAATTTTAGATTCTATAACATAAGTTATCACGACCAGTATCTGTAATATCTCTACTGTGTTTAAAAACTATTTAAACTCCGTTGAATGTATACTAGAAACCGTCGAAGGCAATACTTAACAAAAGAAAAAAAAAAACAGTAGTGTAAATGGCAATCATGGTTTATATATGTACCTATAACATAATTGGTTTCTAGACTATTCAGATATTTCACTTCGAAGCGATTAATCGATTTATTGTGTCGACTAAAGCCTCTGTAATTGAGCAGTGAACAAAGTGGCGGTGTCTCAGCAGCCTTCCGACGACGACCTCAAGAGCGTCTCTGCGTTGTTCGGGACCGAGGTGACGCTGGTGCCCTCGGTGCCTGGTGAGTGCAGGCTTATTATCACTTATGTTTGGACTGGTTTACTAACTTCAGTTACACGCCTATAAATATTATTATTAGCATGTCTGCCTCCATTCTTTCTTTGATCAAATTTGGCATCCAGCAGCTGAGCTCTTGTACTTGATTCCTATAAGACCATAAGTTTATAGCGGTAACCATGTTCTCTTTGTTGTTCTATCCGTGAGACTTGAAAGGGATGTTCTGTTGAATATAACGAAATTAATTTCTTGACAGATGTTGAACAAATCAGTGTTGCACCAGGAAAAAGTATAAAACAATGTACTTCTGAATCAAAATTCACGAAGTCAAACGAGGTTGCAAACCTTGTACATTCAAAGCCAAACATCGCACTGGACGCCAAAGCCGTGCAAGATATCACTGTGTACAGTCATCGAGAAGGGATCAAAGAGTCGTCTAGTCAACCATCAAGAGAGCCTTCTGGTAAACGCAGAGCAGAAGAAACAGACGATGCATCATCTACTGCTGGCAGTATTCAACTAAGTCTTGAGACACTACCGAAGAGATTGAGAAAATCCGTGCCTATCACAACAAAAAGGTATTCTTGCGGATGCTATATTTTTTGCTGCAGGTAAGAGGTGACCTATATACATTTTTGAACCACTAACCGTATATGGCATAATATTTCGGGGACTTGTAGCACTTGATGCATTTGCCTATGTTTTTTGAGACGCATGACGTGTAGTTATGTAATTTTCTCAGCTCATGTTTAGTTTTGTACCGAACATAAGTTGTAGGAAATCTTTTTAGTCGTGTTCTGTTGTTCTAGGTCCTCAAACTTGGCATTTAAATTGTGCTCGGATTATTTATCTTGTTTAATGCATTCAGTTTTTATTTCTATAAAGTATTCAATTATCATCTATCTCTGTAATTCGTAATTCGTCACGTCATAGTTGTAAGAAATGTATGTTAGTTATTTTAATGTTTCTTTCAGTGAACCCGTTGGACTTTCACCGAAACTGTTCCTCGTGGAAGAGCGTCAGCTGAAGCTAGAAGTTGACGATGAATATAAAGTATTCCATGACATGCCCGAGATGCACCCCGACTACGAAGAAATTCTCGAGACGTTCTCTGCAAAGTACGGCAGGCTGCCTGAGGGCACTGAAGACGATTTGTGGGTCCGCTTTTGGGCAGAAAAAATGGATCTTCTCCAAGAAGAAGACCTTCGCAAACGGCGTGGGGAGCTCGTCGAAAAATTCAAACATGCTTCACTCGAGCAGAAACGTTCTAAACTGGTATCGGAAAACCGCCAGTATTTGCTCGCAGATGTTGACCGCAGTTATGTATCAATGAAAGAATTTTGCGTGCGGGACGCATTGGATGCTCTGGACAGCGTCACAGATGAGCTTGGTGTGCTGGGGCCGCCGCTGCGACGGCTGCTGCGCTGCGCCCGCGATGCTGGAAGTTCCAGCCACAAAGCAATGCAGTTTTTCACGAGCCGCGACAACGCTGCGCTTCTCAGAATGTGTATAGGCAAGCTTCAAAAAATGGGCGTTCTGGCGCCTAAAAGCAAAGAAATCTTGCTCAACCGAACTGCCGCACTTGCTGAAAAGCTGCTTCAATACTCCGAAGATTGTGATAGAAAATACGAGATTTCTCGGAAGAAACTATTTGATCTTGACGTTCCCAGTTTAGCAAAAGAGACAGTTGGTCTTCCACCTGCTAAAATAGTGCAGTTAATTCGGAAGGCTCTGGGGTGTGAAAACGAAGATTTCTTGACGAAAGAAGAGCTACAAGAAGTTTATATGAGCATATCTTCAATCCACCTGAAAATTGCGCTTGGAGACGACGCTGAAGAGAATGAACTAGCGGAGAAATCATTAGAAAAAGAACGGAACTCACGAAAAGCCTCTAGTAAGAAATTGGACAACCCTGATGATGGTTGCCTTCAATCTTGTACTCGGCCTTTAACGTCAAAAATAGCTTCGAACACCAACCGATACACTATCCGCAGCCCCGAATTCACTAAAAAACGCTCGAGATCACGATCCGTTGATGAGGATACTGCGGAATGTAATAGTTCGAATGCTGGAAAATCGCTTGAGTTCCGACGAACGATGGACGGAATGCGAGAAGCGCCTGTGGAAATTGACGATGCAGCAAGTAATCCTGGTCCCCGCCGAGTGGTGGATCTTTATTCGAAATTAAGGAAGAACCAACTCGAGATTGAAATTAAATCTGTAGGACTCAACCCAACTATTCCTAACCATCTAAACAAATTCGGTGACAAACCATTGGCTGAAAATAACTTGAATTCAAAAATTCTACAAACAATAGATTCAAACAATAGAAAAAGACTGTCCCTCGACGGTGATGATGATGATGAATACATGTCTTCACGAAGCACTGCTGGAGGGAATTCTCAACCATCATCTGTTGGTTACATCGAACAAAGTTCACCATCTCAGCGAAGCGATTTGCCTCGTTCCTGTATGACGCTAAATCGAACCGTCATCGACGGGAAAAATTTATTAAGCTCATCTGCAATAGCAAAAGAAAGTCCACGTTTGTCTGAAACTATTATTGACTTGTGCAACAAGGTGGCATTGCATTTTGCTGAGAAACAAAAGAACCTGGAAAACGAATCACGTCGTCAGCCATACCCAGAGTCCAGACTTCACGCTGGTGTGGCGCCAACGTCATCAAGTCTGCAAAATAATTATTATCCATCGCTATCGAGTAACGCTAGCCAATATGACAGACAAGAATACCGCTCATATAATGAAGACGTCAATGTTGCAAATGAAGAACATTATAGTACGAAAAACAGAGAGGTCAAGGACGTACTGACCTATCAAAAACCTTCTACTTCCCGTGACAGTTTTTCTTATAAGAATAATGAAAGCTCTTCTGGCATGAATATCAACACCGTGGTGAAATCATATAATGTCAGGGAGATGGATGCACATCATCCTGGTGATAAGAATGAATTGCAGCCGAGGCTGCAGAACTATTCGACAAGTGACCATTCAAGAAGTACTAACGATGACACAGGATGCCCAATAGCGATTGGAGCGAACAATCCTGCTCTTCAGTACAAGCCTAGCCATGAATTGAAATTGCATGCTGACTCGATGGTTGACTGCACTGCTTCAACCGAAATAGCAGAATCTGTTATTCCATCTCCAGAGGTTTTGAATCACCGATCTAGAAACAATCCACCGCAGAAACGAACTCCTTCGCCTCCCTTAATTCCTTCTGAGAAAAAAGAGCAAGATTCCTGGTTTGTGTCAGAGGTTAGAAAATGTGTTCAAAAACCTAATCTGACCGTTGATGAATTTAATGTTAGTCTCAGCAATATATTCTCTAACAAGCCTCACGGCTACGTTTTGCAGCGTCAAGACCGAACGTTAGCCGAGGGGCTACAGCAACTCACGACGCTGCATTTGACGCAGAGTGTGTTTATATGTGCGCTCAAGAAGCTCCTCGATGAACTGTGAAAGAAGAGAATTATTCGTTCTTCACAAAGTTGTAAGTTTTCTTTATGCCCATAGCTGGCTTGTCTGCATTCATTTTGAAAGGTTCCTCTTGATCTGTTTGAGTTAAAATGAAATTGTTATTGTTTGCTATTGAGATATTATTCGGTGAACATGTGAAACTTGATTTTGCTGCATTTATTTTGTACCCTGATTTATTACGTCTTTATCGACGTTCAAACTCTATTCAGAAGATGAAGTGACTAAAAACATATGTAATGTAATAGGAACTAAAATCAATAAAAATGTGTGAATGGAAACATTTATGTGATATTCATAGCTTGAGCGATTGTCCAGCAAGTGTCACTTTATGCTTGAACGCACCTTCAACAATAACTTTACGCATGGTTCGTGAGCGTTACACAAGTGTTCTTATTAAAGTGATACATTAGGAAGGAATAGCTATCACCATCCTCCTAGTACATTAGGAAGGAAAATAGCTAACTCTGCTCTAAACATTTGTCACGGATAAATTTGCACGTGAAATGGCTAAGACCTTCTCAAAGAATGACGGCCGTTATGTTTGTACGTGGTTGGCGCACGCTTGACTTGAACGCCTACTTGGCTGACGAATTTTGGGTTTCCTGCGATTGTATCTCTCCTCCCTATTTATAACCCAAACCTTTACACAGAACTAATTATAATACCATTGGAATCAGTAAGGTAACAAACTTGAGGTAAGCAATTTTTTTTAAACGTTGGACCTTGTTGATTACATGTGTTGCGAGTTGTCAAGTGCAGGTTGACTTGCAGTGTATTTTTGGATCACTACGAAATTATTTATTTTTGTGCCTGTTTATAAAAGTTATTACTTTACAAAGTTTTCCTCAACATTATGCTGTTTAGTGTAGCTAAATTCTTCATTTTCGGAAAACATTTGGTAGTATGATACATTTTCCCACCAGTTGTTATTCAACTCAAATTTGAGACGCGCGAACTTCTGGATTGTGACCATCATGGTGAAAAGAGGAGACGATGCAGAAAGCGCTCATTGATCCTTTATCAGGAGAAGGTATCCTTTCGTGGCGGGACTGAAGTCCCGGTGGAGTTCTTCCTGGAGCACCTCCATGGGACTTAAAGCGCTCCTTGAGCGTCTACCACTGCATCATCCCTGAGCGTCCGTCGTTGCATCATTCTTAATCGACCGCCTCTGAATCACCTCTAAGCGTTCGTCGTTGCTTCATCACTGATCGTCCGCTTCGGTACCATCCCTGATCATCTGCCGGAGCACCATTCAGATCGTCCGCCCCCTGCAACATCAGTGATCGTCCGTCTCTGCCACACTACTATCCATGAAAGCAAGCCTGGCGCAGCAGTTTGACCAACAGAGCAGATGAGAGGCAGTAGTCACTGTGATAGAAATCTTCCTACCTCCCACAGGACCGCGGTGGCGAGCAGGACCTACCTGCGTCTTGAGGACAGCGTGCGACGAAGGCTGCACACCAGCGCCATCCTCGACGGATTCCGCTGTGTATTTTTAAATTCCGTAAATCTTGTTTGCTGTCAATTTGTTGGCTAACCTAACGAAATGTCATTAATGAAGTTAATTTAGTCTAAGTCTAAGAAATTATCAATTCATATAATTATTTTTCAATTGGTGACAAGTGACTGTAGATATTAACTTGCTAGTCCTGTCTCGATCACAGTGTAAGCTTGAATGTAAATAAGTGTCGATAGATTTCCTAGAGAGTTAAGTGATATCATACTCGTTATTTACTAGTGTTCGCTGCCAAATTTATATTTTTTCAAGAATGTGATTGATTTCACTTGGAAGATTATTATATACAAAAAATGGCTTGATCACATCTCAAATTTTCTCGGATGTACAGAAAAATCTGTCATGTTTACGCTAAAAATTGCTTTTTTCGCATATTCTATTGGTCTGGGACGTAAAGACAGCTTGCTTTCAAAGCCAGTCTTCAAGTGCGCCAACAAGCGTTCAACGATGAGCCTGTGAAGCGATCACATTCATTGCTATTCAGTTTTAGGTGGCCGTCAACGTGAGCATCAAGAGACTTCAGAGGCAGCCCTCATGTCCACGACCAAAAATCGGCCAACCTCAAGATTTAATCGTATATAATTCAGTGACGTCGATATTGAATACTATACTTTCAAATCTAGCTTGGTCTCTATCACGTTTAAATCTTGATCTAGAAAAAACTTTGGACGCAGCAGAAGCTTCAATCCCAAGCAGGGCCGATTGTCGGGAGCTACATTTAAACATTAATTTAAAATTGTACTTAGTTATTTTTTCTCTTCATTTATAACAGTGAAGGAATTTAATTGGAGTTCTCAATCAATAGACAACTTAAGTGTACCCTTTCATCGGTGATGCTCCCATACCATGAAGAGTATTCAGTAGCCTGAGCTGGATGTCTGGCGGCACCTTATGTGTGAACGTTAAATTTCTGGAGGTTCTAAGCGATCGGTGAAGGTCCTTTCCCTGGGAACCGATGATCTGTTAAGTGCTTGACTGTATTTTCAAGAATAGAGCAAGCTGTCGTCAAAGAGGCACGTGACTTGATATGCAATGCTACAACTATGTCATTGGCGTCATCTCAAAAGTCACCAGCAAGGAACTCAGTGTGCTTTCACAGACATCTATTAAAGAGCGCGCTCTTCTGTGAGACACACTTGATCTCAGAGTGTTTATTTGTCTTGGTCATTTGAATCTTCATACGTACTTAGATTTTGAACGTAAGTGAAAGGGTGGCTTCTAGTCTATGACAACAATAATTACTCCAGCATCATGAAACCTTTACTGACAACAAATACAATGGCCGTTGCTAGCTAGATACGAAAATGTTTCCAGCGCGTCCTTCAACGTAGTTCGTGCGCAATTAACAGTGAAAACTTATAACCTCGCTAGCGCATGACTCGAATGGTACACATAATGTGCATTACAAAAAAATTTGTACGAATATCACATAAGAATTTCACTGTGAAAAACTATATTAGAAAATAAAAAACTGGCCCAATTCACGGCATTTCAACACAACGCGTCAAACGCACGGCAGACGTAAAAAAAAAAATAAAAGAGCAGAACAATATACAATGTTCAAAAGATAATCCCATCAAAACATGCATGTCCACCCGAAAGTATCAAGGTATTCCTTTCTGTTCGTATTGTTAGATTGGTTCTATAACTAATGATAAAACAAAGCAGGAAAGACAATGACAAGCGAATTGTTAAAATTATAACACTTAAATTTTAATAAAGCTTGGCATTTTTCGATCGCTGATCTAAGATTCGGTTTGCGTGCATTGCTGAGACCTCTAGGAAAATGGCAAAGTAATCACCTTCACACAAATCATTCGGTGCATTTGAGTTCCTACGATAACATTTATCTACAGCCTGTCTAACAGCTTGCCACAGTTGCTCAGCGTTACTATGCTCGGTCGAGGCAGCAAGATGTTCCAAGCTCAAGCGTGGGTGTTGACTAAGCGACGTTAGAAGCACACTTTTAGAAGTTAGCTCTGAATCTTTCTCTGTACCCTTGCTTGCCCGGTGAATAACAGAAGTTGATGCTACAATGAAGTTACCAACAACGAACGCAGCCTGCATAAGTTCTTCGCGTTTTTTGACGTCCCTTTCTCTCCGAGCATAGAACTGAAGCCGGTCTCTGGCACATTCAAGCAAGTCGCAAATTTCAGGTCGTTCACAGAAGGCCTTGTTAGTAGAAATTTCATTCGCGATGTCATTAAAAGAACCAATATCGTCTAATATTGCGGAAGTGTTTTTAAGAACCGTAACAATGTCACGGTCCCCATCCACACCAAAACTTGATGAAGCTTCTATGCTGTTCATAGTTTTTCGTGATTTACACAGGTATTCTTCGTGATGGGAGCTAATGGAGTTATGCGGCCCAGCAACATTTTTTGATAATTTTGAAGACTTTAAATTACGGTTACTCGACTCATTAGCATGACTACTTTTGGTCTGGAACCAACCCAGACTAGAGTCTGATGCGTGACTTTTAATTTGCTCAAGAGGTTGGGAGGCATATAATTCATTTCGAGACGAAACTGAACTGGTCGTATCATTCAGGCGTATTTTCTTGGATGTATTTTCGTTATCAGACGATTGTCTGCAACGTTTCTTGGGTTGCTTACTACAATCCAACTCATCTTCACTTTTTGAGGGACCACATACCGAGTTTTCTTCGAAAGTCTCGAAAAGTGAGGGCAACTCATAGCTGGTATAATCATCATGCATTTTTGTCTTATTACTCAAGTGTTCGCTACTTCTGGTCGGCCATTTTGTACTTCTGCCACTTGATTGACTAATATCCTTCGTAGATATTGACTTTCTATGTTCAAGTTTTTGAACACTGGCTCGATTACTACTTTGTTCATGGTCTAGCGTCATTCCGTTACCTTCAAAGCGTTCGATCGCTTTCTCTGGAATGAATTGTGAAACTTTATTTACTTTAGTCTCGCAATTTACGGGCAAAGAGACTAGAGTTCGACCAGAAGAGGAACGCGATTCGAGGTTTTTGCATTTGGATTTCTGTTTGGATAAGCTAATTGGTTCAACACTATAATGTGTTTTTAGTGGAGACAAGACGATTCGTAACTTCGGCAAAGGGGATTTCTCGCCGACCAACACTTCACAAGTTTCTTGAGAAAACTGGACCTCGCTACGCAAAATTCCATCATGTGCCTGTTCAGCCTTGACATCTCTTTCGGCGTCTTCGTTAGATTCTGGGCACAAACCTTTCTCTTGAAGCGAAGGAAGCACATTTGTAGTTATTTCGTTATGTTCTTTTCTCACATTCTGTTTTGCATTTTCTGATGGTTCGTTTCCGGCTGAAACTGAAGCCGCCTTCAACGTTGGCAAATCTGCAAATGAGAAATAAGGCATAATAACATTACCAGCAATATACTCTTAGAAAATGAAGTAATTACATTACGGACTGAGTCCGTAAATCACGAAGCCCGATAAAAAACAAAAAAAGTCAACGAGAAATTTATTTGATGATTATTTTTAGCGCATTTTCTCATTTATGGAAAAAAAATTAACTATTGTGCTCGTCATGTCCGTTCGTCCGTGACTTCACGTTTTCGTCGATTTTGAAGAAATGCGCTCTGTCACTCACTGCAGTGAGTGAGTACAGAGTTATATTTATAATTTTTTAGGTTTTTGGAAGCGAAGAAATTCCTGCTGTCATTTGGGTGTCATCTGAGTTGAAGGTGTCATCTTCAACTCAGTCTCTCAAGATTATTTTTTTTTTGTCAGAAATGCTCAGGAATCAGAATGTTCCCTTCTAGCACTTTGTAACTTCCGTCACTTTTCAATTTTGTCGCGCTTTCTAATTTTCCTATTACCCACATATATAATGAAAATTTTCTGCTTGAGCGAAGAAAATAGAATTTTATTGTTTGGTATTTTTACCTGTCGACAGTCAGAGAGTAATGTTATGTTTCACAACTAGCAAAACAAGTTGTTCGCTGTCTTGGTTACGCTGAACGACGTTTTTATTACAACTTTTTATTTTTATAATCGCACGTGACATTTTAGTGACGCACAACCATAACACAACTGCACTGATTGCTGTGGCGAACCTCGCGTATTAAGCATAAGGAGTTGTAGCACTGAAGGCGGATATTTTTTCGACTGCCGGCAAAACTCTCATGTACGTAGCCGGTGGAATTTCGGTGGAAAGTTTATATTTTTTTCGACGAATCGAAAGACGTGATTTGAATAACTCAATACAACTAGAATTCAATCGACCCGATACCATGATTAGAAGAAACCACATTATGAATATCTTGAATCAATCAATTCATTGCCAGAGTGAACGAGAGTTAAGCAATTACTTACCAAAGTTTGCATAGTTAGACGAATTATCGCAATCTTAAGGGAAGCGTCTGGCAAAATTTTTTGAATTTGGGCGTTTCTGGTTTTTAGTCTCATCTTAAAGCTGACATTCTGCTCTATCCAATGGTACCAAAATCATCTCTGTACGTTGATTTATGCGTTCAGGACAGATCATGAAAGGGGGAGGGTGGGGGAGTTCTTCAACAAATTAGATAGGAGGTAATTCGGTTCCCAGCACATTAAATACAGTATCTGCTTGAGGTGCAGCTTAGTTACCCGTTTAGTCTCATCTTCAGCGTCTGAAGCATGAGCGCCACATAAGCTTGAGGTGAAGTATTCTCTCCTCGCGCCATAGCTCCATTTTAAGGCGCCAGAAAGCCTCCCAAGGCATAGTGGGATCTTGGCGAGTACCATAACTACGATGAGCATTATGATAGTCTGGAGACTTTTCAGGTGATTTCAAATAGTCGACGAACTGGTTCTCTGCAGTTCGCGCTATTTCGTATCCACTTGTGTCACTGTAATTGAGAAAACGCGGCTTTTATGTTACTGCAATAATTCGTCAATTTTACGTAACATCAACGTTTTTCGTTACAATTATTGGCATTAGGGCTAATACCGCCATTTTTATACGTACTCACATCATTTTGAACATACGCGAGTACATTCTAAATTTCATAGACTAACACGCAAGTTAGAGAAGAAAGTTACTCACCCAATGCGTTTGACGCATTTCATTAATGCAATTTCATCATTATTCTTGTGATAGTGTTGCAAGGCCTGTATGTAGCAATCGCGAACATCATCCAAGATTCTTCCGAGGGAGTTGTAAACCAAGAATTCCTTCGTCTGTTCAAACGCTTCCTTGAAACTCTCCACGATTTCATCAGCTGAAGATGGCAGGGTAGTGGTGTCGTTTGTGACTTCAGGATCAACTATTTTTATGTTAGATTTCTCAGGAATTGCAATGTCAAACTCGTCAGGGTCTGTATCCACAGAAGGTTTACCATTTTCACAGAATGTACTTGCCCTATCACTCAATTTTCTCGAATTTTTTTCAGACGACTTTTTGGTATCCTTGAAATTTTCTTCTAAGGTTTTATTGTGAGCTTGCTGCACAGTTTCTACTTCACTTTCTTTTCCAGATATCACTTCTGGAATTTTGTTTTTGACGCTTGCATTTTTCCGTAAATTACTTTCACCCGACAAAACCTTCGATTGCTCCAATAATTTCCTATCACTCTTTTCTGAAGCCTTGCATGGCTTACTGCTTTTTCCAGCAGAATCTTTGATCTTACTTTCACTGAGAATCTTTGTCGGTGTATCGTCTTTCCTGAGGTCTTTAAATCCGCTAACTTTGTGACCTGATCTCTTTGATTCGTGCTTTGATGTCACAACGGACTTCTTAGGATTTTTTTCAAAAATTTTACTTGAATGTCGCGGCGTGGTCGCCACATCATGCGAGCGCACAGGAGAAGTTGAGGAATTTTTAGGGGCATTTGATTTGTCATTAGAAGTTTTGAATTTTTTTACGGTGTGACCCATTTTGTTATCGGGTGGAAATTCACATTCCTTTCGTTTGTTCTGTAGTTGTTGAGATGCATTTGAGCCTAGCAACTCGTCACTTGTTTTTCTTTTATTTCCTACCGAACACTTGACATTCTGTGATTTTTTCTCAATATTAATGGAATGATGGTCGAACGCAATCGGAATGTCTGTCGTTTCTTTCGTTTCACACTTGGTACTTCTATGTTTCTTATCGGGCTTCAAATGTTTTTCCTTATGCGATTCTTTAGCTAATTTTGCACCCGAATCATGTTTTGAAGTTTTACAAGTATCTGAGGCAACCTTGCTAGAAGAACCAATTTTACACACAGCACCTGGCGAGCCGAGCGTTTTCTTACCCTCCTTCTGCCTCGAATGGTTCAGAGAATTTGGGTAGCATTTGCCAATGGTAGCGGGTGCAGTAGCGCCAATTCTGCCGCCGCGACTAATCTCACTTGTATCTTGTTCATCCTGCATTCGCGCTTTCTTTTTTGGTTTCTGGCTATTAGAAGGTTCTTCAGAATTGCAAAATGACTCGACCACTCTGTTCTTTTCTAATGAAGACTTCGACGTTTCCTCTTTCATTCGAGGAACAAGCCGATTTCCACTTCGCTTTACAGATGAGTTTTCCTTGTTGACTTTTTGCGAAGACGATTGCTTATGAGGAATCGAAGCTGAGGGGCTGACACAAGTAGATTTGTTTCTTCTGTCCGCATGTGCTGGATAGTGAGTAATAGGCGATACTTGTTTTTTGGATAAGATTTCTCTGAATTCTTGCTTATCAGCAATTGTATTGCAGACTGATGATGATACCTCGGTAATCTTTTTTTGGCTTCCACCGGACATATTAGCATTATTAACTGGATCCGAAGATTCGATCGAGAGCGCCGACTTCACATCACATCTACTTTTCATCAATGAATTCTTCTGATACGTCGCTGGATGGCTTATCAGAGGCTTTTTGGGCGATATAAATACAGGTGGCGACGGATGATTACTGGGACTGCGTATTTTCGTCGACGAAGCCAATTTACTGGCAAAAAGTAGTTTTTTAGGCGTTTTACTTGTAGCTTCTGATTCTTTATCAGTCTTTTGTGTACAATCCCGAATCTTGGAGGAAAGTTCGGAATTCCCGGTAATTTTTGTAGAAGATTTAAAACTAACAAGTTCCTTTTTCCCACCCAACTCCTTACTGAGATTTAAATCAAATAGTGACCCTGTTTCAAGACCAGACGATACTTTCTTCAACATAGACGAATCTGGCAATGACTTACGATGGGACACTGATTTGGTAAGAGCAGTTTTTGACGCGGAATCTTTGATTGAGATGACTTTTTCGTGTGTAGATGCTGCAACAATGGCCGATTTTCCGTGAGGTGATGTCGAATCGTAGTGGTTTTGAGTAGTTTTCTTCGAAGTCGTTGTTTCGCGCGGTGACTTTGTGAATGAATTAGTTCTTTCCAGCAGTTCTTTTGCCGCGACTTCCGTAAGAGAGCACAACCGGTCATTCTGCGACGGTGCGGGATAGCTAATAGTCGACCCCGTACAAGGACTGTGGTCTTGCCTGCAGGAAGTGTAACCTGGAAGAGTCTCCGGGTTTTTACGGGGTCGTTGCATTGAGTCAATTCCTGCGGCTGAAAACGAATTCAGGGTCGGCGATCCTTTTTTAACATTCGATACATGATGTGAATTAGATTTCACAGACTCTTTGTGAGAAATTATCTCTTTTGATTGAGCTGATTGGACAGATGAACATTCCGTACCGGCTATCTTTGATGAAGACACGGTCTGGTCACTAACAGAGTTTTCCCCCAGCGCTTTCGATTTTTCAAGCTTGTCAGGTTTATTAACCTGCAATTCATGCTGTTTGATAGACGGACGTTTCTGCAGCAAACTTTGGGAATGGCAGGATTTTGGTGGAAGTTTGGACGATTTCGAGGAAGCGTCTAATTTATGGCATGAATCTTCTGCCATGTTTGAATACGGCGACGGCGTCACATAAATTTGGCGGTTTTTAGATGAAATTTCTTGCGCAGTGTTACAATTACCATAGGAATGAGATTGCGTGATAATCGTTGAGCTGTGTTGACGTGAGTTGTCGATATGAGACGCCTCAGTGGCATCTTCACGAGACAAGTTTGCTGTAGAATTAGCATTGGAACCACAAAACTTTGAACTCGATAACAGGTTATTTGACGCGATCGCGTTCAAGTGGTTAGTTTTCACTGGTGAATGACAACTTGTTTCTGCTTTTGTTTTTTCTGAAGCCTCGCTGCGTACTGGAGCGTGATTTTCATTTGTAACATCAGGGTTTGATAATCGTGATGCATTATTTACAGAGATACCCGCAGAACTTGTTATACTGGAATTATTACCAGATAATGACGGATCGCCGTACTTGGCAAGGAGCGTCTGAAAAGCTGTAGACTTCAAAATTTTCTCCCTTATTGTAGATGTTAAAATTGAATTTTGACTGTCAGTATAAGAAGTTGAGGTTATTTGTGGGCTTCGTCCGCGTTCTGTAGTGGACCCTCTTTCCAATTTCTCACCAGGAAGTGCTGTCAATGTCTGTTTCACAACATCAAGCGGCGATGTAACATTATTGTCAGGTTCGACCGCAGCAGTGGAAATGATAGATTTCTGAGAAACTATCGAACTTACAGTTTGAATGTTCATATCTGCCGACGATATGCTTTCTGTTAGCGTTGCTTTGGGTGTCGATTCCGCAGCAGGAAATGCATCATGAGGAACTTGAACGAGCTTCAATGTTTTTTGTTTTTCGGTACTTAGGATCGCCACATGTCCAGAAGAGTTTTCTGAATCCGGGGATGTTGATGGATCATTTCCGTCTTTAGGCTCTACTTTTGATGAAATTTGAATCTCTGCATTTGAACGAGCGATCTTCATCAAGGTGTTAGGGTTGGTGATTCTTCCTCGATTTTCAAAAAAATCAGTTAGGGCAGAAGTAGGACAATTATTTATAACTTCAACATCCGATTCTTCGATACCTCCTTCGTCCCCAATCATTTTTGGAGTCGAAGAAACAGTCGAACCTTCAGAACTAGTGACCCGTTCTTCCAACGTCACAGGGGAAGCAGTAAGAGAAGGATTCTCGAGAACGCGGAGAATCTTTGCATGGATATCATTGTCTTCATCACGATTCAAGTGTGGCTCAAGAAATGTCGAATTCACAGTGATGGTTTTCAGAAGCATATCTTCATTTTCGATCAGAAGTTTTCCGGGAATCACATTTAGGGATTTCACCAGAGTCTTGCATTCCCAATCATCGAATGATAAATTTCTGGCAAATTTTGTACGAGTTTGACGAATTTCATTTTCTGAAGTAGAGTCATCATCACTAATTACAATAGTTTCGATGATAGCGTTCTTTCTGAACAGATCACCAACGTTCACTAAACTTTCGGCACTCTTTAAATACGTTACCGGTCTACACGACACACTTTCTTGACACACCTCGGAACCTACGAGCACCTTGCTTTTTTCGCCGACTTTATTAGTCCTCGCACAGTCAACTTCCTTGTTCAGAACTTCAAAAGCAGAGCGACTGGTGGTAGCAACACATGGAGTTTCCGTTTTACTTCCATTTCTGTTTCCACTATTATCGGTTCCCGTTCTATTTTCATTATCACGAAAACATTCCAGAGCAGATGACACCGGTAGATTTTGCTCTGTTAACGGGCTGCTTACAAATGATAAGTCCAGAGCTGAAAGATTTTGACTACAGGAAACCGAAGTATTTTTCGAGGTTCCCAACTTTGTCTGTGTAGAAGAGCTTAAACACGGCGAGTTTCGCGAAGTGGTCGTCGTATGCTTGACGATAGCTTCTTCTGAACTAAGAACGTTAAGAAAGTTTTCGTTTTCTTCGTCGTTGCCACTTTTATTACAGCTTGGAGGCATATTTTTAGGCTCCGCGACGGATGAACATTTCTTCGCAGAAACATCATCGCAAGAACCGTAACCCACATCTAAATTCTTACGAAGGAATGCGTAACTGAATCGAGATGAAATTGATGATGAACGCATATGATTGTCTGGCCTCGAATATTCAAATTTCGAGGTCTCATCCAGCTTATTTGACTCCAGAAATGTGTTTGGAACTGAAGTAGAAATAGACTCGCTTCTTGGCTCTGTCTGTGGATCTTCGACAATGCTAGTGCTGGTCATACGAGGAACCGGTGTACAGGCACTGGCATCGGCTGAGAAACCAATACCGACTGTACCGGTCTTTGAATTAGGCTGCTGTTCCTTTACCGACTCAATACGGCCAGCTGACGTCGTCAACCGTTGAACTTCGGGCCCTGAACTACACGACGCAGATTGGTCACTGGATGATGATGTTTTCGACGTCGGTTGAGGGCTTCCAGCCGATTGCTGTTTGAAGCTCGTGTTAGGTATATCCTTAGCTGGAGCGCTGTTTGTTGTACGAAGAGCAGCCAAAAACCGTTTGACAACTCGATCTATCAGCAGAAATCAAGAAAGAATTAATTACGACGAAGTATACTTGAAGAACTTTCAGTTAAATAACGCAACAAAAAATACTGATAACCAGAGTGTAAATGATGCCCTTGATGGCCTCTTAACAATTCAAATAGTAAAAAGTAACGCTGAGTCATGCACACGAAGATTTAAATATTTTTGTTACGATTCATTACCGTAGTCATTTCCAAGCTGAGAATGCGCCCAATCTGTACATCGGTGATCAATAAAAAAATATTAATCGATGAGCTTACCATCAATAAAAGCTGACTCGAGATATTGTCCCAGAAGAGCGCTGATGTTTTTCCGATAATCCAAGGAATTGTTTTCTCCAACAACAACAGTCTTGATCCGATCCCGAGCTGATGAAGAATTTCATGTTTCAACGTTCAAATTACGTCCACACATACCGCAGGACTTGGTTGCAGTGATATATCAACATACAACAAGATATCGACCGGTATGAGGTTCAAACACTTGTTTCCACAAATTACAGATCTAAGCTCAGTGATTGAGTTAAAAAATCAATTTTAGTCTAATTGCATCCAAAGATCACAGAATTAGTCACGTTGGGTTATTAATCAACACGTCGAGTGCGGTGCGACCCACCAGGTTTTCCAGTTTGCCTAAAAACGGGTAAGTCCGTGGACAAAAAAAGGCCAATAAGTCCATAGATACTAGTAAATTGCAAAAATTAGATTTTTATCTTTTCCTTGCTGTTCAAATTTAATAAGGATGTACCACTATCCTAAATTTTTGTCGGTCAAAGCAATTGAAAATTAATAAATAGCGGAATTTGTCCGAAAAAAATACCCTGCAACCCACCGGTGGGTCGTGCCGCACTCAACGTGTTAAGAGCGAACGACGTGCATACGAGTTAAATCCTCACTCATTAAAAAATTCTGGTGCGAGGAAGGACCCCAAAAAAACGGCCTGACTGTGTGGTGGGCAAAGTTATGGCATCACCGCATTCTCCCAGTATGTGCACATGCTACTGACATTCCTCATCCAGTGTGCCAAGCATCGCTGCCCCAGAAGGCCGTGTTCATACTCGAAATTTTTAAATAAACCTGCTAAAAAATCAGTCCGGTTTATTTTGGGTCCCCCTTCGTAACTAAGATACTACATACATGTGCACACGTCCAGCTTGGAAAGAATTGATTGGATGAGAGTTTCCTCGTTACGATACTCGATGATGAGATATTGAAGGGAGGCAACGCGAGCTGGATGGCAGTGCAACCAGTCAGCAACAAGTCCAGCCCGCCCTACCACGATGTTGGTGTCTGCACATATAACCATAATTTATGAATAAAATCAGCCTACATCATTCAGGATGCTGATCAATATGAAAGAGAATATCCCAAGGTAAAAATTGAGTAAAAATTCCACTGTTGATTAGTTTCATGAATTGAAACACAAGAGCTTTTAATAATGTGAGATTTTCAACAAATGAAAAATATCTATGGGAAACGAGTCGCTTTAACTTATTTAGGTAGTAAAATATTCAACAGAAAAGCTAAGGGGACTTGTTCTACATGAGCGTTAATAATAATAGAAATTCAAAGATTAAATTCAATCGGTACATTTTCAAATCAAGCAAACTTCGTCTTTGCAATAAATTGTTATATGGGTCCTCTTGTAAACCACAAGCATCTAATCCTCACCGGAGACATGAGAGTTTTTATTAACAGGGCGGAGAATGGTTGATTGCGCACTGCTGTCGGGAGCGACGAGCAGCTCGCTGATCACGACCTCGTAGCATTTGGCGAGGTCAGCGACGCTTTCAAGAAACGCCTCCTGGAAAAAGTCTTTGTCTACCACAAAGATGGCTCGCACGGCGCCTCCATGTCGGTTTTGCAAAGGTTTCGGAAACGTTTGAAGACATTTTCCGGGAAAAAATATAGATTCTGCTTTCGAGGAGCAAAGACGTACAACAGCGCTCAGAAAGAAAAGCGTGTTGGAATACCCAGGGCAGTACATCCGCATGGCACCTGAAGTCAGGTTGTGTATTGCCGTACCTGCAATTTGGTTATTATAAATCTCATACGAGTCTACGCAGTAATAAAAAAATATTATCAAGTCATTGTGAGGAATGGCCAGGTAAGACGCTACTTCAGTTGCGCCTGGAGTAAAAACAAATACAATAAGCAATCTGATATTAGTCACAGTAACGATAAACTAAAAAATAACCCTATAGGGTAACATTGGTAGTACATACCCGGGTGTCTTCGTGGACAAAAGTTTTTCTCATTACAGTTTGGCTTGCACATGTACTTGAAATAATACGGATGGTACAGGCTCTCGAAGCGATTTTGCGAGTATGCACATTCGTTTCCGTACTGGCAGTTTCCCGTAGCAGCAAACTTCTTGTGATTACAAAGCTGAGGACTATATGGATGATGAAGAACGTTGCGTCTTTTATCTTTCGCAGAGTGGTAATCCAAACATACCTCACTTGCGCAGTTCTGCACCTTGCACTTGCGAGTTTTGAATTGCACCAAGTCGTACTCTGTAATCCAATGTGCAAGGCAATAAATGAATTAAGTATTTTTTTCAAACGGTCGAAGATGTTTATTTGTTAGTAAATAGTAATGGAAGGCTGTTTTGCTTTATTGTTCCAATATTTTGTAATGGTCAGAACTATGGTTTTAATTGCTTTGCTTGTTACATATATTTGACATCCAAGTCAATATTGAACAACTGAGGTGAATAGACGATGCTATCTTCTAGGGATATAAACAGATATTTTGTATCTAACTTCGATATTAAGTGTAGCCGAAGTTATCCCGTTGTAATATCAATTACTCAACCATAATCAGACTTGAGCTAACAACTCGTTGCACAAGTAATCGTGATTCCACATCAGTGTAATAATTATATGCTTGCACCAACTCACTCGTTCTATATGCACCAAGAACTTCTATCAACATGTGACGTTACTGTTCTTTGGTGGGAGGAGTTAAACGCAGTCTAATAGTACCTTCGTTTCCTAAGATAAAAATGCTGTGGTATATTTACATTCTATGATAAATTTGACCGAACAAGACGAGGTAAGACAAGGTTTTCACTTACCAGCCTGCACCACAATAGTGAGATACTCCCGTACGTCATTGCTACACGCGGCGAACGCTGCATCCACTACACCGCGCTCAGAGTTGGTGAACTGCTCGCTTTCAATTAATGGCACCGGGAATACTGCACAATGGAGTCAAGTGAAACTATCGTGGCAAGAAAATGTAGTCGAATGCAGCTAACTAACATACTAGAATCCGGGTTTCTTAGCCAGAACCCTTGCTCTAAGTGTATTCAAATGATTAGTATGATTTGTAGGCTAGAAGTTTGCCTACCGAGTTCAAAGCATGGCATTGGTGTAGTCACGTGCAAGATAAATAATATGCGGTTGAAAATTACTTTCTAAAGTCAACACTTCTATAGAATTCAGTGTCTCCGATGTTACACATGTACAATGAATTTCTCATTTTACTATCAATAGTAAAAAATTAATTTTTTAATTTTATTTTTAAAATTAAAAAAGATATTTAAATTTTTCAAAATTACTTATTCTATCAATTGATACATGCTTTTTGTCTCCGACTTTACGCAAGTGTGCAAAATTTTAGATCGATTGGACAGGTAGAAGTGTGTTAAATACGGATGATAAAATTTGTAGCAGACAGACAAACAAACGACAAGAAGTTAAAGAGAAGTGTTGTAAAATACGTACCACTTCGCAGACGGTTGAGCCGCATGAGGGGACCCAACCAGGTCATTTTGGAGATCTTCAGCAGAAGAACTTCATCAGCGACGGTCTTCAAACCCACCTTCAGAGCGTTACCTGCTTTACATAATTACCACCTGTTACGTTACATTTGATCACAGCGCATTGCTATAACAACGCAACATTAATAAGCAAAAATGTAAGCACAAAAACTTTAAATCGAAACGTTTGAATTGTCACTATCTTGTGAATTTTCACTTGTCAGGAGCAGAGCAAAGAAAATACTTCTGCCAATAATGTCCAATATGCGTAATATTAAATTTAGCAATGAAATACGTCAACGCCAGAAACATCATGATAAGAAATTCAACAAACAACAATTCAACACGGGTAGCGTTGGTAAGACTATTTTTTTTAACTCCCGTAGCAACATATTAAGGAAATGTAAATTTTTCGAATTGGCAGTAGAAAAATACACAAATAATCATACATATACATGTCGTAATGAAGAACAAAAATATGAATATTAGAACAAAATAATGAACAACGAACATAGATAAGACTCACAAAAAGAGTTGTCCGTCAGCAAAGTACCACAAGCTTCGAGTAAACGCGTGAGCAGCGAGCGCGGTATGTACGGGGAGATTTCGGTGACACGATACCAAGTCAGGTGCTCATCCGGGCTAGGGTGACTCCGAATGTTATCAACATTTCGATTGTCAAACTTGTCCTCCGAAGAACTTTCATTTGAAGGCCCGAGACTCGTGAAAGAAGTGGACGAGTTTGAAGATCGAAAATCAATTTCGGCTGTGGAGGACTTGGACGATTGAGACGTGTGCAGCATGATAGTGGCGTTGGGAGAACTATTTTGAGGCAAAAATTGGGTTTTCGAATTAATCATTGGCCCATCACTTGATGCGCTGCAAACGGTTTCAGTTTGAAAACTAGCATCCAGATCTTGCATTGAATGGCCATAACTCCCTGAAATCATCACAGGCATTGAAGAAGTCTCAATGGGCGAACGTCCAATGGGACTTCTTCCGTGAATTTCGAACGAAACTTTATGTCTTGTATTCGATATGGTAGAATTTTCTCTGACCTCATTGAACGTATTCACAAAATTTGAAGAATTAGTACCCTTCGGCGTACAAGCCAGAGTAGAGTTCATGGAGTTGGCTGCAATGGTCGAGGTTCCTCTGTTATCACTGTCTATGGCATGCGCGGTTTGCGATGCGGTACATGCAACAGCTGAATACTCCAACACAAGCTTCAATTTTTTCATCAGATTAGGGCTTAGCGAATTTACTACATCAGAACTGATGAACTGTGAATCATTCACATGAATTTCAGAATTTTTTATGCAAGAATGCTTACTGATCGCAGCTGAATATGTGGACTTCGAAGTTGCTTCGACTGAGACTGAATTTCTTGGATTCATAAAAGTATAGGTTGAGCTAGAACTGGGAGTGCGCATTTTATTAGCAGGTGTTGATGGTTGAACCAAAGTTTCGTTGCATGACGTCGACGTTGTAGAGGGAACAGAAATCGAATTACAAGACTTGCTGGCGTGAATTGTGGATAAGCCAACGGCGGATGTTGAAGTAGTCACCGACGTGGTATCGGTATCGTTACCAACATTCAACCGGTTGACGGTTGAATTTAATATCTCAAATGAAGAAATTTTGTTCATTAACGGTGCCGCGGAAACACGATTAGATGCAACTCCTGAAGATTGGTTCGTAATAATAGGGCAGGGTTCTGTTAGTGCATTAATGGTGGTGGGAGTGGCGGAAAGAAGTGTGGGCGCGGCACTGAAAACCTCTGTACATCTAGTGGAATTGTATGCAGGCAATGCAGCCAAATCAGGATTTGCGAAATTTACGACATCTTTGGAGGTGGAAGCCATATCGCGCTTACGACGATAATCACTACTTTCCCAGTAGAGAGCAGCACGGCTCGGTCTCCTCCCATGCCGATTGAAAGGTTTGCTCAACTCAGCATCGTCAGTAGGTAATTCGTTTAACTCTGTTCTTCTTGTTGAAACATCTGCAGTTATATTTTTAAGCAAACGAAGTCTGTCACCAAACGAGGTGTCAAAGTACTTCTGCAGTTTCCAGAATAATTTTAGATCTTTTAGTGCATCTTCGGGTGGCACATCTTGTGAATGCGGTAGCTTCGGATGATGCAATAACGAGAGCGTTAAAATGTGTCGGTTTTCTTGTGGCCGACCGGTGCCCTTACCGACTTGTTTAAACGGTTTAGTAGAGCGAAGACGCGTATCTTTCAATACGCGGTAGCATCTTTTGCTGTCTTCGAGAGAGCTGAAAATGCCCTTGATGCCCTCAACTTTGGTAACCTGATGTTCTACCACGGAACACTGGCGTGCTTTACAAAATTTCAAGACTTGGCGCAGTTCAGTCAAGTACTTGGTAGGAAATCCAAACACTATGACAAAATTACGGTTTCTTTTCCTTCTTCGAGGACTAGGAAATGATGAGTCGTTTCTTTTCCTTCTTCGAGGACTAGGAAATGATGAGTCGTTTCTTTTCCTTCTTCGAGGACTAGGAAGGATAGATGATGGTGCAAGTGGAATATCATTGGAGGGAGATTGCGCCAATGAACATCCATAAGGAGCTACGGAATCAGATGGACTAGATGAGTCATCAACTTTGTTTAAACTTTCTTCACTTTCCTTCGCTCCATCTTTATCTGCACGAGCTTTCTCTAAACGAATATGCTTGGAACACTCAGGTTTCTCGCGAAGTTCATTAGTTTTACTTTTGCTGGAAGTGGAAGATTTCCGACTAGAATTATCTTGAGCTCGAATCGCATGTGAAATAGTCACTTTGTCTTTCTTTTGCTTCTCTTTCTGTTCACCGATAACTTTACAAGACTCTTGAAGATATTTCCCACCCGAATGCTCTTCTTCGTTCATTTTGCGTTTACCCGAATTTTTTTCGGTTTCAAGAGCTGCAGTTTCAGTTTGTTGAGGTATGTCGTACAGGAAATCAGAATCATCAGAGCTTGATTGATGCCCAAGCAACAATGCACTGTGAGAAGTAGAGTAGCAACGAACATCAAAATCGGATTTACTAACATCAGGAGAAAATTCGTAGCTGAAATCTGCATCGCTGCTTTCGTCATCATTATTGGTGCACGGATCATTTGAATCTGGCCCATTCGCTGGAGGATCCAAGAGAGCGTGACTTGCTTTTCCAATTTCATCAACCGAGTTCTGTTTAGAATCGGACAAAGTCGTGGCTTCAGCTTCTAGTTTTTCGACAGATTCAGATCTTTGGTTCGATGTGTTGAAATCATCAGAATTTACCGCAGAATTCGGATTGATATTTTGAACAATTTTATCGCAGCATGTCATCGCCAATGAAGTTGTGTCAACACTAGTCACTTCATTTAGACAAAGCACTGATTCTTCACACGCTGACTTTGTCCCGGACAGCGCTGAAGTTGTTCGGGTCTTAATATTGCTTTCGCCTTGAGAGCTTTTTCCAGAAATAGCTGGCGACAAGAGAGTTGTTCTTTCAGTAATGGAATCATTCGGACTGGGACAATTTGCATTCTGCTTCGTACTGAATAAAATAATGTCGTGAATATCAGATTTGAAATCAATTTCGTCTTTGATAGGCAAGGCTACTTTATTTACTGCCTTTGAATCAAGAAGGTTATCATCTGACTGCAGTTCAAACAAAGGCCGTTCGGAGAAAGTTGTATCGCTGCTGAAGGTTTCGAATTTAATTGAGGTGCTGTTTAAATGTCTTAGGGTCAATTCTTCATCTTTCGGATCCTTGATAGACGAGTGTTCCGAGTTGCTAAGAGAAGTAGCTGGAGAGTTATTCAGGAGATTAGTAATACTATCCGAGGCATTCACATTAGTTGGGTCGTCGGGTTCTTTCTTAATGTATCCAAGCGCACTTGTAACCAAATTTTCTTTCGGCGCATCACGCTTTTCTGCCGTTTCAAAAACAAGACCAGACTTGACGCTATTGGACGGCGACCACGTTTCTCTTAGCAGTTCAGAAACACGCCTGAGCCAAATTACTTCGAACGACACCAAATTCTCCGAAGGGTCCACACACGTTCGTAGCTGCATTGCATCGAGCATGTTTTCAAACGACGGCTCTCTGGCATTTACTGACAGAAATTGGTCGTAGTAGTGTCTAAGGAATGATGTAAAGGACTCTTTAAGGGAGAGTACTTCATCTCGTGCGACAACGTGCATGTTCGATACCTTTTGGTTGAGACGATGAATAGTCGACCAAGACCAGTCATTGGGACAAGCAACGATTGGTCGATCGTACATGAAATACACGGTGCAGTTCTTGAAGAGGATGTCGAATTCGGCTTTCAGTTTATCTATGAAATTAATCTTTTCTGCACGGAGATCCTCCGAGAAATGAATTGCGCGGACCATCTCAGGACATTTGGAGTTGCAACGACACGACTGCATACACACATCGCTTATCACTTCCACCCCCAGCATCACCAGCCATGTCACGGATCCGAGCTTGTCTCGCTTCAACGCCAACGATGACATGAATTCCTTGCAGTTTGCAGCCTTCAAGTTGTCCGTCAAAATGAATTCTGACTAGAAAAAAAAAAGAGTTTTGAGTTAAGAACCCTAGTCGACTATTATATAGTAATTGTCCGGTGTCAATTCACTTGACCTGATATAGATTAAGGACGAGTCAACATCTGATAGATACGTGATAGATCACGCGATTAAGCCCTCAGTAGTGGGCGGAAGCGAAGCTTATAAAAGGTCTAGCAACCTTAATTAAGCAGGCCCCCAGTAGCTGATGAGCACTCCGCGATGTAGCGTGTCGGTAGAGTTCTCCGACCTTACGGTCGATGCCGTAGCTTATGCCTCTGTATCGCAACTCTGTATTACCACCCCGTATACAAGATACGCTATCTGGACTTATTACCACGTTTTTCTTAGCTCGCTTTCGTGTCTGTGATGATCAAATCTTGCAATCGATATTTCACCAACTTTCCCATTAGCTAGCGCTCTGAAACTTTTAGGGAAGCTCAGCTCCCGATAACAATACAATAATCAATAATTTGTTGCACGTTTCCAGGCGTATAAACTCTAAAGGAACTCACAATGATATGTGATTAGATTATTTATTAAAGCCAAAACTTGCATGACCGCCTAATAAGTATGCACACTTCAGAGTTTAATACCTCAATTTGTGACATCATTTCGGTTCTTGCCTCGACATGTCGAGAACTTTTTGATTAATAATGCGATTGAGCCCTCATTTGTTGATGAGGGTGAATATAAAGATGATGAATTGTAGCCGAATTTCTTCCCCTTTTTGTTAACGAGTGCGTTATCTATATTGTCCGGTGTCAATTCACTTGACCTGATAGAGATTGAGGACGAGTCAACATCTGATAGATACGTGATAGATCACGCGATCAAGACCTCAGTAGTGGGCGGAAGCGAACGTTATAAAAGGTCTAGCAACCTTAATTAAGCAGGCTCCCAGTAGCTGATTGTCCGGTGTCAATTCACTTGACCTGACGAGTCAACATCTGATAGATACGTGATAGATCACGCGATCAAGACCTCAGTAGTGGGCGGAAGCGAAGCTTATAAAAGGTCTAGCAACCTTAATTAAGCAGGCTCCCAGTAGCTGATGAGCACTCCCCGATGTAGCGTGTCGGTACAGTTCTCCGACCTTACGGTCGATGCCGTAGCTTATGCCTCTGTATCGCAACTCTGTATTACCACCCCGTACCGGTATACAAGATACGTTATCTGGACTTATAAGTCCAGATAAAGTATCTTGTTCAGGTCAGGTGAATCTCTATCAGGTCAGATGAATCTATCAGGTCAGATGAATCTATCAGGTCAGATGAATCTATCAGGTCAGGTGAATCTATCAGGTCAGGTGAATCTTTCAGGTCAGGTGAATCTATCAGGTCAGGTGAATCTATCAGGTCAGGTGAATCTATCAGGTCAAGTGAATCTCTATCAGGTCAAGTGAATTGACACCGGACATAATGATTATGAAACACTTTCTGCAATATGAAAATACTGCTTCAAAATAAATATTGTACTAGACAACTAAGAGAATAATAGACAATTAAAAAAATACTAGGTTTTATAATCTCAAAATAATTAGCTGATTCGAATCTTCTACGCATATGCCAACCGAATTTCTCCCACGTAACAGTTAAATTTAAAACAGTTAGTCGGTAATAAAACTTACGTTCATGTCACGCATAAGCGGAGTTAGCACAGTGGCAGTGGCTTGGTTACACAGCACTGCCACGTGGCATTTCTCTGATCTACAAAAGATACAAACGCTTTCATTACATAACTAATCACATATATCGTAATCAAGCTAATCTTTACAAACTTTCACAGGAGGGAACTGTTGACTGTAAATGATAAACAGAAATACTGTGACAAATAACAGCTTATCTGAATTCAACTCTATGAAAACTGTAAGTCTTGGTGCGATGAGTTTCACGAATTAAATATAATTAACTGACATTCATTACGATTACCTGATTGAAACGATCAAAATATAGCATTATCAAGGTAGAACCAATTAATATAATGAATAAATTCTATGCAAGAACTTGCATTAACACCGTAATTACTTGGATTGGCCAGGAGACTCGGCAAAGCTTGAAGAACCGCTCAGGTTTTCGAGCCGTTTACGCAGCTTCCAGTCGTTATCCTCACTACACTGAAGCGCCGGAAGTTCATGACTGATCAAAAGTTTATCCTCAGCCACAGAGGTAAGGTTGCCGGTTGTAGGGTCAAGCACAAACGGCTTCAAAGTGCCAGGAGATGCAGACGAGTTATTGCCGGAATGTTTATTAGAATGGTCTGATAGTTCGATAGCTGAAGGATTATTATTAGTACATCCATCAATTGCGTTCGAATAAATTGAGCTCAATCGCTTCTGCACACAAGTTAGATTTGCCTTTTTAAGCGTGTTGCTGCCAATGAGAATCTTTTTAGTGGAGCTTTCCTCACGAGGGAAATTTGTTTGAGGATTTTTCACCGTAATGTTATTGTTAAACATCGTCTGGTGAGATTTATCAGAGCACGTAGTTTGAGTAGATGGTTGTAATGAAGAGATGATAGATGATGGGCAAACATGGTGTGGCCCATGTTCTGGCTGCAAGTGGAAATTTTGCTGGATGAAGTAGTTGAGCTGAATTTGCTGCTAGGAGATGCAGCTGTAGTTTGATTCAATGAAGAGACACTTGATGCACATGAAAATGAATTTTTGATTAAAGAAAAGGTACTTCGGTCCTTTGGCTTACACACACCAGGTAACTGAGTCAGATTGAGTGATGATGCGCTTTGGCTAGGCAAAGAGGCTTTTTGGCTAGATGGACATGGATTTATGCCACGAGAAATTGCTTTCTGACCAGACAAAGTAGGGATTGAGCAAGAATTGTTTCTCACAGCCATTTCAGAATTTTGAGATAGCCTTCGTTTCACCAGTTCCTTTCTCCTCAAACGATTATTTTTTATTTGATCTTCATTTTTGGGAAATTTCATGCATTGACCATCTTTGTTATTTGGCTTGGTATTTTTTGGGAAGTGTCTATTCACTTGCGTCTCAAGCTGAATATTTTTGGCAGCAACAGTAATTTGGCATTTTTCACCTGCAAAAATAATTCCTTTTTCACATTCTGAGTTTTTATCCATGGGCTTGTAAGAAAGTCTCTGCTTAATTGAAGAGACAGGATACATGGAAGGACGTGGAGACTTTGAGTTCTCATGCATCAGGCATGGAAGATCATGTTCTCTACTATTATAAAAAAGTTCTCTACTCTGGAAAGGATGTAAGGAATGCTTACTTTCAAGCTTATGGCATAAGGTTTCATGTTCTCCAGAGGAGAAAGCTTCAACCCGTTTGTTTACTTGACCATAGTTGCAGAATTGCTGGGTTCCTTCTAAACCACTAACAAATTCATGCTCTGGAAATGGTCTGGTATGATCTTTGCAATATGGGTTTTGATTGGTCTGAATCAAAAGTTGGCGGTTTTCTTGAAATGCAGACACTAGTGCAGGTTGGTATGGGGCAAGATGAGCGAGCCTGGAGTTATACAAAGCTTGTTCATAATTCTGCTCCTTGCTAATCTCATTATTATAAGAAAGTCTATTAAGTATTGTGCCAAAGTTTCCAGTAGACAATGAACTTGCCCCAACTCTATTAGACTTGTAAGCCAAAGATGAACATCTTGCATCTACCCATGGTGTTGAGCTATAATTTTTCCCACTCCAATTTTCAGCGTGGTTTCTTTCACTCTCACGAATGATTCTACTCGTTTCAACGACAGTTCTCCAAACTAACGTCCCTTTATGGTGATGAACAAAGTTCTTGCGACAATCAGTTGTGTCCCCGCACCAAATAGGATTGAAATCAGCTTCAGGACTTTGAAGACAGGGAATAAGTGGAGACTCAATATCTCTTACTCTACTGAAGATTTCAACATCTCTACTTCTGTTATCTGTGATTTGGCCAGAATATGGCATAAGTGGTATAGCACCAGCGCTGTTTATCCTAGCATAAACAAAATTATCAGTATTGGTAGTTAGATGATTGTTGTCAAATTGATTGTGGTCATCTATTGAATTGTGGTTCGACACAAATCTGTGGCAACTTGCATCAGGGTCTGCAATTAAGCGTACTTTGTAATCATCCAGGACTAACTGAGCTAACTGAGTGAATGCCTCTTTCTGTTTCAAGGTTTTCATAAGGGAACTGCGTAGAGTGTGCAACACTTTTTTGGCAGTTTTTGGATAAGCAGAAATAGAAGTGTTCCCTGTAGGAATCTGAACAGCCTGAAACATTGAAAATATATATTAGTTCATGGAGCTGCTGCATAATAATACAAATAGCAGAATTTAGGTTTTTGCAATAAAAATCAACTTGTGACCACAGAGTAAACATATCACAAATAAAACTTTTATCCAATGAACACCATTAGCATAAACTACATAACTTTTTCACAACAAAAGGGAAAATTCAATACAAAAACTATTTAGGCAATAGTTCCATAAAAATACTTATATACAAATTTCAGATCATTCAAGCAATTAACATGTTGATTCTTTCAAAAACATGCAGAGCATCATGAAACTGTTCTGTAGAGAGTGCACCTGACAAGAAACTATATTACAAAATAACTTCAATTCAAGTCTAGATAAGAATACTTGTAACTGCCTAAAATGACGGACAGCACGCCATTGTCACCTACCTGAACAGCTTCAAGTATTTTCTGATCCTTGGTGAGCTCATAAAGTTCAGAGTATTCAGGGAAATTCAGTAACTGCAATGAAATGAAAAGGAAATTTTAGAAAAAGTGGGTCAGTGGACAGTTGATAATTTTATTTTCAAATCAATTGATAAAATACAGGGATTTTTTTCTTGTGTTCATGCATCACACATTTGTGGCTCTGTGGGATTTTTATATTTATCCACACAGCAGATATTTGGGACAAACCAAAGATAATGTTGTTAGTGGGGCAGTAAATAAGCACATGCACTAGTTAGTATAAGTTGAAAAAAACAATCTAGAAAGATTTTATTGGGTTGTTGAAAAAAGTGACAGTAAACAAAGGACCAATGCTATTTACATACATTTTAGAAATCTTTTTGTAAATTTTCCCAAAATTCATCTTTTTTAAGAGGTCATGGAACCCATCAGCAATGACATAAGAAAAACAGTATAGGTGAAATAGCCTCTTAACAATTAGAAACATTCACTAGAATAACAAATTAATTTTTTAATATTCTAGGATATTAAACTAAAATTCTCTTCAAGACTTCTACCCAGGTAATTAATTACTAGTAACTTCTACCCAGGTAATTGATTATTATCAACTGACAATAAATATATACCTGTGCTGAAGCTAGGGTAATTCAGCATTAGGCAAGATAAGATAAAACTGCTAAAAAGTACAAGCAAGCTTCCATTCTTCAAATTATGATAACACACAAAAAGGGTTAGGTTGAGTAACAAATTAAAATTTATATATGTCAATAAAAATACAACAATGTCAACTACAAAAAAATCTATATATACCAGGTCTTGAAGGCAGTAAATAAAACTTGAGACAAGCTAAATAGGGATCAATAAGATCTACAAGCTTTAAGGCTAGTTGCTTACAAGTAGGGATAGAAGATGTTCATGTTTGCTCAGATGTCGAAAATACTCTGCCTTGGTGTAAAACTTGATGCCATCACAAGCTAGGCATTCAGACCACAATATTTTCTTCTTTCCACGAACTATAAGCAAGTAAATGACACCTGGAATAGGGAAACAAATTTTCAGGGATTATCACAAACATAGGCATTCTGAAACAATGATGTTTCAACCAAAACCTGGTAACATAAAATTTGCACTAGAAAATGCATCCAGGTAGGAAGATAAAATGATCAAAATCAACCATGAAAGGCAAGTAAATGTCTCAAGTTAAGAACATATATATCCTGCTGAAAAAGTGAATTTCACGCAGACACATCTTAGTTACCAGAAATGTAACATCATCCATCAGAACATTCCAAAGCCTAAGCTGTTCTTCATTGAAATGAACTTTTAAAATAGATAACTTGACATATATATTAAAATATTAATATTATTTCAAAAGCAGTTATCAGATTGTATTAAATCAATTAAATACCCTTCAACATAATTTTTGATGAATCAACTGAAAGAGATTTATATTTATACTGGCTGCTTGTGAAGTATACCTGACTCCTGTTGAAGTAAACTTAAAGTAAAATAAAATACTTAAAAAAACTTTTTAAAAAAACACGTTTTTCTTGTGGACTAAAAAGTAGAAAATAAATTATGGTTTGCCCCAAAAAAACGTGTTTTTAAAATAGATAACTTGACATATATATTAAAATATTAATATCATTTTAAAAACCGTTATCAAATTGTATTAAATCAGTTAAATACCCTCAATATAATTTTTTGATGAATCAACCGAAAGATATTTATATTTATACCGGAAAGTAAAAAAAATAGAAGTAAAGATCACACGAGACATTCAAATAATTTGAAACGTTGCAAGTGAGGCATGTTCAAGTGAGGCATGTTCAAGTGACTGAAACCAGGACATTTTTTAATATCTCACCTCTGTTTGACTCCTCAATTGTAGGCCATCCATTGATGAGGTTTCTAGTAGCATCCATCATATAAATAAGAAAAAGCAGGAACCCACAGCAAAGAGTAACTCCACAATTGAAAACATATCTGAAGTAAGTAAACGAATAACACACAAAATTACAACAAATTAAAATGACAAGGTTAAGTATATATACAAAAAGAATTTTAAATTAAAGGGGATGCAAAAATAAGAGCTTAATGAGGGATGTAAAAAGAGCATTAGAGAGAGCAAGCAATAGACTAAAACAGAATGCTTAACTTGCCAAGTAAATACCTAAAACAGAAAACAACAACAGGAATTTATTGAGTCAAAATATTGCCTGCTTTTCATGCAAGTTCTATCTATAATCTATATATCTATAGCTACTTCTGGATATCTTTATTAGCAGCAACTAAAATTTAAGGATGAAATTGTTTTTGTTCAATTGTTAGTACCAAGTAGAACAATGAATTTGATAATAAAGCTGTTAATTTTGCTTGAATAAAAATGAGGAAGAGAACCAAATTAAAGGCAAGTTAGTGGCAGGTTAGTTGCACTAACTACAGAACAGGGACTGATGGAGAAGCTACAGATAATTATAAAACCAAATGTTACTGAAGACTACTAAACGACCAATAAAGGGACAGAATATTTAGTCGTGATGAAATAGCTTATAAAAAAGGTTAAGATGAAGCAACAGGCTTAAACCATCCTCAAGGGAGGATAAAGAAACTGACAGAAATAAAATGATAGAGGAAACTGACAGAAACAAAATAATAAAGGAAACTAACAGAAACAAAATAATAAAGGAAGCTGACAACTAGAAATAAAGTTATAAAGGAAAAAATAATAAAATAAAAATAAAATTAAGGAAACTGACGGAGTTAAATTAATAAAGGAAACTGAATGATAGAAATTAAATAATAAAGGAGACTGATATAGAAATAAAATAATGGAAACTGACAGATAGAAATAAAATAATAAAGAAAATTGAGATAGAATTAAAATAATAAAGGAAACTGACAGATAACAGATAAAAATATAATAATAAAGGAAAGTGACAGAAATAAAATGATAAGAACTACAATGAAGGAGAACTGAGCAGAGGAAGTCAATGAGTAAACAAATATTTGATGCAACAACAATACTACAAATAAGATGTAAAATTTTGTAGATAAAACTACATAGCAATAGAAAAATTTGGTTAAAAATCAGAAAACTGCATGCACCAGTACATATAAGACAGTAAACAAGCACATTTAGAGCAATCAAATCACAATAATGGAGAATTCTGATGATCTAGAGCCATGGGTCCCAAAAAGAGCAGTTCTGCCCCTGTGGGGGTGGAGGAAAGATCTGGGAAGGCGGCAGTCCAAAGTCAAAGTCAGAAATTTGAATGTTCATTAGTAGATTTGTGATTTGTACACAACATGTGCAGCAAACGGCTCCCAGCAAAAGGGGGTTTTCATACAGATCTTGGCATTTTGAACCTCTCCATGGTTTCTAGTGTAAATTTTTGAAAATATTACAAATCTGGGTTTTTTGTGCATGTCTGTGGGGGCGCTATATATATGTGTGTGAATATTATGTGTCTGTGGGAGGTGCTAAGAATTCACTGGGGAGCCAAGGAGGTGCCAGCCTGCAGAAGTTTGGGAACCACTGATCTAAAGTAACATTATGAGTGGCAACAAGACATCAAGATAATATTAAAGCCAATCTAGCTCATGTTGATACATGTATCATATTAATCTGTTTTGCCCTTCCATGGTTTTAGTAGTTTCCACTCATTTCAAACATATGTCCATTTTTTCTTTGATCCCATCATAAATGTCAGTTAATTGTGTTTACAATTGGAGTTATGAGTACTTGTCTTATTTCAAGGACTGAATGACCATTATGAAACTAACTGTAGCAGGCAAATATGTTTCGAGGCCCCCAATATCTGCCATGTCTACGTCGTGGGGGTACCCTGGCCTGCGCGTCGGCCGGATACTCGGCTCTCTCGTGGGTCAGGCCAAACGACAGAGGCCCCCCCCCCCCCCCAGATCGCTGCCGGATGGAGGCTCCTCCGCTTTTCCTCCTAAGGGTAGGGGAGCCTAGGCCTCCCCTTCCCCCTACCCACATCTTTGGCTGCCTATCTTTCCTGGGGCACCTCATGTCCTCCTCCCCTCCATCTTTTCTTCCTATTCATCCTTCTCCTGACCCAGGGTATCCATCCCAACCCTGTCCTGTACCCCTGCTCAGTCTGCTCCCTCCCAGTTACATGGCAAGGATATTCATTCAAGTGCTCTAGGTGCAATGCCTGGACCCACAAGCTATGCTTTGGACTGCGCTCCATTAGTCTCTACTCCAAAGATTGGATCTGCCCAACATGCAGATGGTCTGACACAATCCCAGCCAGACCTTCCTCCCCCTTGCCTCAGACCTTCCTCTCAACTTTGACCCCCTGCCCATTCTGATTTGTTCTTTCATCAACTCTCCGGCCCCCTGGGCCGCCTGCTCATACATCAATTGAAAGCATGCATGCATGCTTTCATTGTATTTGCATGTACACAATTTTGCTCTCTCAGCCTCTGCGGTGTGTGTGCATCATGTTGAACTCTAATTGGTGTTGCGATTTATTACTTTTTGAAGGTTAATTTGTTGTTTTCAATTCAGAAAAAAATTGTAGATGAATCTATATTTATTATTTAGTCTAATTGAAATCTTCAAGTGTTGCAACATGCAACTTTAATTCCAACATTTTTTCTTTTTATCTAAACTGAAATTTTTTGACCAAAAAACTAACCAAGTTGGATTGAAAATAATATATTAACTATGATTTCTAGATTTCTATTTTGCCAGTTAGTGAGTCAGATGAATAACCTGCTCATCATCCAATTATCTTATTATGTGTCTAATCACCATATTGCAAACCATTGTGCTACCATCAAACAGGGTGATAAGGGATGACATTGAGCATTTATTGTTGAGAACTTCTTACCTTATGCTTACCTTCATTCATTGACTGCTTCATGCTCAAAGTCATGCATCATACATATATTGTGATAACAATTTTAAACTAGATCAGCATATCAAAAATTGACTGGCAACTAAGAAGTCCCATGTTTGCCATTGCCACTACGTACACCACAGGGCACAGCACACGAGTCTGCACAAAGATGCTAAACTCAATATAACATAACATAGTGATCTCGGCACTGCAGTGTAGGCCTGATGTGGCCTGTCGCTAATTCTTTTCCTTTTCGTGCGTTGTTCACAGAAGGTCTAAAATTGTGTCATTTGACCGGATCTTTTCACAACTGACAAAAGTTTGAAATATCTACTCTACTTCCACCAGGTTTGATATGGTGCTAGGCATTTCAAATCTGAACATATATTTTTCCATAGCTTTATCTAGTCCCTTCTTGAACACGTTTATACTTGGAGTTCCAATGATGTCATCAGGGAGGCTGTTCCACATGATACCATTTAAGAAAAGTGTTAAAAACAATGTAAAATTGGTTAGTCAATTTCAAATATCTGGCAACATTTCCCAAAAATCATTAGTAATTATATAGCAAATTTTTAAAAAATGCAGGCAAAAACGTGTCATTTCCTTTTTTTTAATAAATCAGACAATAACAACAAAAATAGATTTAATCATTAAATTGATTAATCAACCACAAGTAAGGTCATTTTTTGCCTTATTCATAGGTGGTTTCTGCCCAATTTCCTACAATAGCAATTGGCTAGTTAGAAATAAAGACTAAACTACATATTTTTACTCTGGCACTGCACTTGAATTGTGCAGTTTAATCAATCTCTATACACTATACAGCCAATATACTTAATATAGGATATAGATCAGTGGTTCCCACAGTGAGCAATATCACCCCCTAGGGGCAGTGGAATGATTTTGGGGGGCGGTAAGGAAGAAGAGGGCATTTGGGGGGACGGCAGTACGAAGTCCAAAGTTCCAGTTTTTTGACAATTTGTACACAACACGTGCAGAACATCTCGAACTCCAGCGATGGTTTTTTTCACCCAAATCTGCTTTTCTAGCCTCTCCTGGGTTTATGTCTCAGACAAATTAAAGGCTGGACTCGCGACCAATTTCCAAATTCAATGATCATGGAAAATCTCTCAAATGACTGAACTTACCTTGATGAAACTTGGTACATGTATTCATTAGGACCTAACAGCAATGTTTAGCTTGAGAAAATTTTTTCGAATTTGCCTGCATTTGTGTTTGCCACAGTTATATTGCAATACGGGCTGAAATTCACAGGGATCAAGGAATTTCTTCTAAACTATTGAACAGATATGAACAAAATTTTGAATTTACAGTCCTAACTACCAAACGGTAATGTTTAGCTCATGAAAATTTATTCGATTGTGCCTTTGTTTAGAAGTTTTTTTTTTCATTTCACATCCATTCGTAATTTAAACAGCAATGCGTGCTTAAATACGTGCAATCAAGAAATTTCTTCCAAAACTACCGAATGATTTGAATGAAACTTAGTATTTAAATACCTAACCTCAGCAATGGTGATGTTTAGCTCCCTACAACTTTTTTGTTATACCTTTGTTTGCAAGTTATATGGCTATACGTATACGGATATATGTAAACGGCTCCTTGCATGGTTAAACCTGCCGGTAGAAAAAGCAGGTTGTTCCTCCTATATCTGTATAGAAGTAAAATAGAAAAAATTGCACAAGCTAAACATTACCGTTGGGAGGTTAGGTATTTATATACAAAGTTTCGTTGAAATCTGTTCAGTAGTTTAGAAGAAATTTCTTGATCGCCGTGAATTTAAGTGACAAATTACCCGGCGATACGGGCCAAATATAAGGAAGTGTGAAATCAAGAATGACAGTGAACATAGACATGTAGTGACAAACCAGAGATTTTTTAGAATCAGTTCATTTTTAATTTCCTCATTTACCCAATATTTAAACCAATTTCTTATGTATGATGATGCTGGTATCCAGGATACTTTACTGTTCTACTTATAGGACTCAAAAATGAACTTGAGGGAAAGTCTAAAAAACCTCTCTGCTTTGCCACTATGTCTGAATTTTCCGAAATTGCAACCATGTTATGTTTGATTATACTTCTGTAATATCGAACTCTAATTTTTATTATTATTAAATAATAATTATTTTACTGTCAGTGAAATAAAAAAAACTCGCAAACAAAGGTAAAATCAAAAAATTTTTTTACAAGCTAGCAAATCACTGTTTGGTAGCTAGGAATGTATATTCAAAAATTTGTTCAAATCTGTTCAGTAGTTTGGAAGAAATTCTGTGATCACTGTGAATTTTGGCCTGTACTGCAAGTGCAATATAACTCACAAATGAAGGTAAAATTTAACAATTTTACAAGCTAAAAATCCGCATTAGATTCTGATAAATACATGTTCCAATTTTCATTGAACTGCATTCATTAGTTTGGGACATATTACTTGATAATTGAATTTGGAGATTGGTCATGAGACATAGTGGCAAAGCAGAGAGTTTTTTAGACTGCTTCAAATTCATTTTAGAGTTTATAAAGTATCCTGGTCTCTGGATACCAGCATAATCATACATAAGAAATTGGTTTAAATCTTAGCTAAATGAGGAAATTAAAAATGAACTGATTCTAAAAAATCTCTGGTTTGTCACTATGTCATGAGACCGGCCATGCATTTGCCCGAGACGTCCTATGTTTCTAGTGCTGAAACAGTTAAAACAGCATAAATATATTGGTTCACTAAACGGGGTTCTATTTGTGAAATACACATTTGTTTTTAACCTCTACCTTTGGAAATTGCAGCATACTAAATTTCAAGAAAGAGGCGTATGTTTTTATATCAAATTATACGAGTCTGTGGGGGGCGCTAGCTGCTAGAAATTCACTAGGGAGCCAAAAGGGGCACCAACCTGATTTACCTGAAAAAGTTTGGGAACCACTGATATTGATTATAGATCATCATCTAAAATGCTACTGCCCACTGGGCCACATGATAACCAAAATATTGTTCTACAAAAATAGAACAGTTTCTTGGTTGATGGTTATGAAATAATTAGTAAATTAATTCAAAACACACATTGCAGTCTTGAATTCAGAAACTTAAGAATTCTGAGTCAGAATTATTTTTGGTTTTCAAGTGGAATTCTAGCTAAAATATCTACTATATAGAGGTTTACTCAAGACGAGCACAATTAAGCTGCAGGACTTACATTTCATCAAAAATTGTTGAATTTTTCCTTGATTCCAGTAATAGAATAACACTTATCTTGGGAGTTTTTGTCTTTGCAAACGGACAAAGCCTTTGCAATATTCAAACAGATTTAGTATGTTGTGGCATCATTTACAGCAAAAAAATATTTTTGCTTGGTATAATCAATAATGCTGATGACATTTCACTCGCCAGCAAAACTTTCTGCTCGATGGCTAGGCCGTGCCCCCGGCCCATGTCTTTGAATCCTAACTTAGTATAACTATAAGAGTCCAGCGCCGCAGCACTTTCATCCCAAAACTCGAAAAGGCATATAATTATTTCACAAAGGTTAATTGCAGAAAAATAAATAATCTCAGTTAACAATAAAAGTGCGATGAATAAGGACCAGACAAATAAACCCACGTGTAAACAGAAATTTTGTGCCCCGAATGCACGTTTACCTCCTCTCGCAACCACGTTCTCGCTTCAAATGAACGGCGCGAAGGAAATATGGTTAGAAGTAAACAGTAAACACAGGTGCCGGCTCGTAAGAAAGTAGGAATTTTTAAGTACAATATAGTATATAATGAGATGTATAATAATCGCAAAATGCATTAGTAAAAACATATTAATCATATATTTGTTTTGCTATACCATTTGCTTTCCTTCTTACGCGTATATTTGATTTATTAGTAAATAGTCATTCACGATTAGATGCAATTCAGCGATCCAGCTAGAATGCTTCAGTGTTTGGCAAGCTTGTGGTCATAAACAGGCTGAGTCAGCATGCTTTGCTTAATCAGCATTTTTAAATTTATTGCCTGACAGGCTGACGCTGTCGCTCCCCTCAATAAATTTCAAGCATTATATCAAAGTTACTAGTGTAGGCGATCGAAGTCCCAATGCATCATTCTGTACTTTCGTTATTATACAAATCATCTTGTTCAGCATGGAAAATAAATTGAATACTTAGATATAAGCATTGTTCTCCAAATTCCACAAAAAGAGAATTGTGCATTGCGATATCTACCTACCGTAGTAATGAAAACTTTAGACAGATACCAATCGTTTATCATCGGCGTATATCGGTATATACTTCATTTTATTAAATGGACAGGATACAAGAATGGATGTTAGATGTCTATCTCAAACCTCTGAAGTCCTACTTCATGACTTGCATAAATTTGGCAAGTTAAATGCATATCTTTTCAGCATACAAGCCTGTTAGAAGTTTTTGAGGAGGGAGCGAAATCGTCTGCTACATTGTTGTTGGTGCTCAGTGCCAGCAGATGCGTTCCAGTCGTGCTTGGTTTGTGGACGATGTGGGAGTGTCAGTCAAACTCACAACAAATAAAACTACAAAATAGAACAACCATGTAGTTTGTTCTTTTACGTCGTGAATTTATTGAAAAGCTAGGCGTTTATATTCAAGATGTCTAGCCGGGTAAGAATAATATGTTGATACGAGTTGATCACGTATTTTTCTGCACGAGAGTTTGTCTTGTTTTTCTTGCCTTCAATTAGACATTAATTTAAAGTGAATGTAGATGAAAATGAACATGGTGCCTGACGCCCGTTCTAACCACGCCTATTAGCATTTTGTACTTCATTCACATATAAGGCTGAAAAAATGGTTTGATTGAGATAATACAAGATTTTATTATTTCATTTTCTTCCAAATTTTCAAGTAGTGAGAGTTAAAGAATTTTTTACATCATTTTGAGAAGTTTTGTATATATAAATTAAGTTGATTTTATTTTGAAATATTACTTAACAGCCCCTTCTTTTATTGTTAATTTTAAGAGCACTGATCTCATTATCCTGATTCTTATCAATATTTTCGAAATTCTGTAGGAACGAACATTTCCTCATATGCCGCAACGCCGCTACAGATTTGATTGGTTCATCATTTTGAAAAGTTTAGTATTTATAAATCAATTTGATTTTAGTTTGAAATGATACTCAACAGCCCCTTCTTTTATTGTTAATTTTAAGAGCACTGATCTCATTATTCTGATTCTTATCAATATTTTCGAAATTCTGTAGGAACGAACATTTCCTCATATGCCGCAACGCCGCTACAGATGAAAATATTACTGCACTTATGCACCATAAATGCTTAAAAATTGCACGTATTTTTACATCTCCGGAAAAAATACCCTCATACTGCTACTACTGTCTGAGTGAATGTTAACATTTTAAATTCACGGTAGATGCATGAAATTAAAAGTTTTGACTGAAATCTTCCGGCCATTATGCTTTATCATAACTTTATTTATAAAGAAATAAAATTTGTATCAACAACATTACATTTCTAGATACCCTCCTCCTCAATCGGTACTTAGACAAATGAGTGATACTTTTCCAAAAAAAAATACACTTTTGACTTTGTCTGAATCATCTTAGAATAGAATAGAATAGAAGTGTCGGCACTGAAGAAACAGGCCTATGGCCTCTTGCCGATTCTTGAATTGACCCGGCATAAGGGTGTATCAGTGCTACTTGCAGAAAATGAGTCATTACTAGGACAACATGACGCATTCATTTATTTGAGTGCGTTCACATTGTGAGTTCGCTCATAGTTTACGCAGTTTGAGCTCGTTGAGGGCTGCCCCTGTGCGTCTTTACGATACGGCCAGGCGAGGCTGACCGAGGTTGCGCACCGCGCGTGAGCTGAATGTAATACATCCGTGTGTGGGGGGGGGGGGGGGGGTGGGGGTTACCCACCTTCTCCCCACACCCCTGACCCACCCCTCCCAACACCCCTGACCCACCCCTCCCAACACCCCTGACTCACCCCTGTACACTCAGGGAAATATGAGTGAGAGAGCGACGCACCTTTGTCCTAATAGTGACGCACCTTTGTCCAAATAGTGACGCACCTTTGTCCTAATAGTGACGCATCTTTGTGCAAATAGTGACGCACCTTTGTCCAAATATCGACGCACCTTTGTCCTAATAGCGACGCACCTTTGTCCAAATATCCTTTGTCCTAATAGCGACGCACCCTTGTCCTAATAGCGACGCACATATTGCCTTGTGTGCATCCTCCTGACCCATTTAGGCTCAGGAAGAAGGGCGTATCAGTGCTACGGGTAGATAATATGTCAGTATTTAGACAATACAAATTAATTTATCTTTTTTTCTTTATTCTTTATTGTTTCACACACAGAAGCAACACAGCACGACTCAATAGAAAGAGAAAAATAAACATGCTATTTAGAAATATATAAATGCTTCCAGGTGAAAGGCCTATACAAGCTATAAAAAAGCTTTGCAGGCGTAATAGGTGACGAGTATGAACATAATAGTGGCAACAAGTAAAAAAAATGAAAAAAAAAAATAAAAAAATAAAAATACAAATATTACATTCTAAAGTAAAGGCAGTAAAGTACATAAGTAAATTGTCACAAGAAAAGAAAAACTATAAGATAAACAACGTTAAATTAATATTGAGCAAGAATATGATCACGAAATTTTGTCTTTAAAATGGATTTGGAACAGTTCATTCTGAAGTCATCAGGCAGTTCATTAAAATATTTTACACAATTAAAAACAGCACCATTTTTCTCTATTTCTAAACGGACCGGTGGAAGGTTGAGACGAACGCCTCTGGTATCATGGAAATGAGGAACAAGAGGAGCAAAAAAACTTTCAAAAAGACGCTGATCATGAAAAAGTGTCCTATTCATAAACTGTAAAAGCTTAAATTTGTCTGTAAAAGTAAATTTTGAGAATGGTCACGACTTTTACGTTATTATATAAAGAACATTACACGTAAATGCTTGTGTTGCTGCTATAGATGCTCGTCGAATATTGGATTCACTTCAAAACACTTACTTTGAAATTGATTCCGGATACCAGACTCGTTAACTATCTCAAAATATGTGATGAATTAAAAATTATTCTATGCCTTTAACTTCAAGTCGCAAAGATATTTTGTAAAAATGTTGTCGTATTTTCCTAGCAATTTTTCGTCAGATTTTTATTTTGGATTACTATGCAATTATTCGCTTAGGAATTCCCCTTAACGATTAAATTTTCCTGTCAATTTTTTCGCCTGATTTTTCACTTTAAATTACTATGCAGTTATTCACTTAGGACTTCCTCTTGACGATTCAATTTTGCTGTCAATTTTTCGCCGGATTTTTTATTTTGGATTACTATGCAATTATTCACTTAGGAATGCCCATTTACGATTAAACTTTTCTGTCAAATTTTCACCGGATTTTTCATTTTAAATTACTATGCAATTATTCACTTAGGAATTCCCCTTGACGATTCAATCACCGATGTTTAGAACTAGAATTCCTAGCAATTGCATTGCCAGAGATCGAACTGCAAAAAATTTCGCTAATCTTTTATTGAAAAAACTGCATACGTAGCCTTGCAAAAAAATTGCATTGTGATGGAAGCTACACGCATTGTTGCCTACAACATCTAACCTGGCAATGCTTTAAAATGGAAGGTCATCATAAAGCGACAAAATATCTTAAATAATTTTAATAAATGATCGTTTCAATGATACATTTCTATCTTTTATCAGCAATGATGGAAGTTTCCTGATACATTTGCAGATATTTCTGTCTCACGTTAGTGCCTTTCCTCTATTGCTCTGTGTCAGAGTCATCCATTTACAAACTAAAAACATTATCATTTGAAGTCCTAGTGTCGTAAAAAAAAATGTGTGAGCAGGATTTAAGGTGGGGTTATGAAGAGAATTTTCTTTGCGCCATTGTACGTTGCACCACTCACTCCACCATATTGCACCATCAGTTCAGGATGGGTTTTCTTGCGTTTTGATTAGATTTCACTGAATAATTAATTCGCCCAGAACCCCTTATTAGTTCGCTGATTTATATTCCGTTTCAAAAGCAAAATGCTGGAAGCAGCGCTTGTATTTGGACGAACAAAAGTTATTTTGTTGGCTTTTGTCTACACAGGTATTCAGATCACTTCCACAATTATAACTGAACTTTATAATGTTATTGTAGTGTGAATAATTCGTCTAATGTGTACATGGAATGTTCAGGTAAAATATCATTCCAATACCAGCAGAGAACTGCACATAATATGGAGCACACATCCAAACTAACAAAAATGTAGGCTTCGAAAATCTAGAAAAGCAATTAGGAAGTATATGTAAATTTTAGTACAACAATAAAGTGCACCAATAAAACGTAATTCTATAGTAATTTAATTTCCAAAATAATGGTTGCATAAATCAAATAAACATAATTTTAATTATTAGATGCCCGAAAGACTGTTCTTCATTGTCTAGGAGCTGTTAAAGTTTCTTGCCAGAAAGAAATTCATGAAAATTTTCCTTTCCGAGACACTGTCTTGTTGCGAGAAATGTTCCACTCCGCGACGTTGTCTTCCTCGTGCAAACAACATCTTGAGCTGCGGGCGCGAGCCTAACTTGCTTTATTTGAATATTTCCCAGCGCTTGAATATGGAATTTTGCTCCTCGACTTTTAATTCTCCTCTATGCACGCACGTAAACGAATAAAAGTTTTTCAATTAATGTATTCGTTATCATATAAACTCTTAAGGTGAGGTTCAAATCATGGAGAGATGTTTTGGCTGAAATTTTGTTAATTTTTGAAAATTCGTGATGTTTTCATTCAGTTTTTTTCTCAGGAACCATGTGTTCCCACAAGCCGGTATACCTTGCGATTTAACTTTCATTATACGCGTTACATTTACTTTACATGAGATTGTAAGATAATTTATTTCCATTGCACTTGCACATTACGCGAGACTGCTTCTGTTCATGAGACTGTAATAAAATGTATTTCCATTTTACTTGCATTTAGCACGATACAGTTGCTCCACTGAGAATGCAACATAATTCATTGCTATTATATTTGCATTTTGCACGCTATACAGTTAATTGTTCTACTCAGACTGTAAGATAATCCATTGTCAGTTGCATTATTTGGAGGCAAAGTCACGGAATTCATCTCTGACTTATTTATGATTTAAAATTGGTCAAAAGACATGCAATTTGGATTGTAAACCGTGACTATATTTGCTTCCTTGACTATCCATTTGACTGCACGTTAAAACTCCTAAATTATTTCCTGCATGTATCATCCATAATCTAATTATTTTCATCTCAATGCACATGTCACTTAATCTTATTCACTATTTATCTTCACAATTCTGTAAATAAATGCTGACATTTTCCTCTGAACAAATGCTATCGGAGATCTCGTCTAATTTTTCAGATCATCAACCGCTGGGACCAGCGGCTACACGCGGCGGCCTCGCGGGGCGACGTGGTCGAGATGAGACGAGTGCTCGACTCGGGACGTGTGCATGTCGATTGTACGGACAGGGTGAGACGAGGTCATTAGGGTGAGACGAGGTCATTAGGGTGAGACGAGGTCATTAGGGTGAGACGAGGTCAATAGGGTGAGACGAGGTTATTAGGGTGAGACGAGGTCATTAGGGTGAGACGAGGTCATTTCCCCCGCGGGTGCTGTGCTAGCGACGCTCACTTCACTTGTCAGCGCATTACTTATTTTCTATAAAACGTAGTTTGAGGACAAATCCGCACATTACTTGATCAATCAATCAATAATAAATCAATTAATATAAGTTAGTTAATTACTTTAGTCGTGAACTTCCTTGAGGACAATGGAGCGCGTGTTGAGAAGGCTAGGAATGTGATCGCATGCGCTGTAGTGTGTGTAGGACGTGAGAGTTCGAGACCGCGAGGGCGAGTTTGTTTACATCGGACGGCGCCGCAGGAATGCCGAGGGTTGTTTATCAACCACGGTATGGGCTCTACTTTGATGGCGGCAAACTACCAGCTAGAAAAAGGTTCTTGGGAGCTACCCGGCCGCCACCCGTCACGGTCTGCCGTATACCACGGACGTCGTAAAGTTGTAACACGTCGCTGGCTGTTTCGTAAGGTTTTATATATATACGCCAATACTCAAGAAAGTGACGCGCCTCATCTTAACCAAGTGGCCAAGGTTTTAAATAGTAACTACTTCGCGTAGCTTGGACTCATTAATTCAACTACGAATCCTGTACGAAGCTCTAATACATATAAACTACCAGCAATAATTCGCGAAATTTATGTACGGAAAACATCACCGCAACGGCCGCGTCGGCCGTGAATAAATTTTGCAGTCGTCAGTAACAGGAATCATTAAAAATTTCAGCTAGCTTCCCATTCAGATATTTAAATCGAACCATTGGACTACAAATAGCAGAACTTCTTCCAATTTACTTCATATGAAATGAAAATTAGTCGAATAGATTTAATCTTTAGAAATTTAAGTGCTTTTTAATCTTTAGAAGTTTCAGTGCTTTAGATATACTTCAAAAAAGTTGTTAAAGATCGAACCGCTTGAATTTGGGCATTACGTTCAAAAGTGAACTCTGATTTTTTATATATATCTTGAATCTAATTCATTGTACGTCGTAAAACATACAATATGTGTTACGTAAACATCTCAGATTGTCACAGTGAATATCTTTTGCTAGATTATCCATCTTGCTGATAGAGAACCTCTCAATAACCTGCCTCCAAAAGACGAGCAGCGACCAAGTCGCGCCATAAATAATGCATTGGTTTCCCTCTCACGGGTCAGCGGCCATCATGCCGGTCCATATATACGACCTCAAGCCAGCAGATAAGTTTACCCTCCAGTGACTGCCTGCAATAAGATTCAATGTACGGGCTCCTGACGAGATAAAAATGTGTGATTTGTGAGCACTTTACGACTGCTCTGTGGGCGATAGCTTGCGCTGGACGACTGGCGCTGCGTCGTGAAGCTGGGATTGATCGAAACGATCTACCGCTGTGTAGCTGTGTAACGTATAACTGTGACGATCTACTGCTGTGTAGCTGTGTAATGTATTACTGTGACGATCTACCGCTGTGTAATGTATAACTGTGACGATCTACCGCTGTGTAGCTGTGTAACGTGAAACTGTGAAGATCTACCGCTGTGTAGCTGTGTAATGTATAACTGTGACGATATACCGCTGTGTAGCTGTTTAACGTATAACTGTGGCGATCTACCGCTGTGTAGCTGTGTAACGTATTGCTGTGACGATCTACCGCTGTGTAGCTGTGTAACTTATGTGGGAAATTTGTCCCACCATTAATAATTTTTGTAGTTGTTTGAAAATTTGTTGGCTATGTGTCGTTTTCTGTTCATGTTGCATTCACAGTTTTGTTGTATTCAGTTTAGTTACGTAGTTTAAGTAGGTAGCAGTATCCGCTAGGTTAAGGACTCTTATCTAAGCATTCATACCGTTCAGACGTCCGATCTCGTAACGTGCCTTATCTCTAACGCAGCAAGTTCTCAATTATTCAATTTTGGTCAATATTCACTTCAGCCAGCACTGCAACAGGAGCTACTGCTATTCTAAATGTCTTCCTGGTTACTGTTTCACTATCTTTTTGTTGGTGTAAATGTTCCTTTTTTTCATATTAATTATTTACGCTCTATGTACAATTTTTTTTCTATGGTACTCTAGACAAATCAATATTCAATTCAATTATTAATATCTCAAAATTCGAATTAGCTACGTGGTCCCTGATATTGGCAGAGGAACTAGCTAGTGTCCTTTGCTGTGACCACGATTCATCATCTTTATCTTCAATTTTCCAACGTCAAAATCTCAAACTGTCCTTTTCTATTTTTCCGTCTGGAGTACCTCCCTTTAACTGATTTCATCTATATTTATAATTTGCCTCATTCAAACTGCATTAAGCACTAAGATGCACCAAAATCTTAGGCTCGTCAACTTAGTTATTTGTTGATTATTGTTTGATTCATAATTGGAATTGCTTGCTACATAGCTAGTTTCTGATCAATTAATTGTTTAGTAAGTAGTGTAATTTTCATTTCAGTATCTGGGACTCGTCTGGGCAACACCATTAAGGAACTTGAAATTCGGCATTCAATATACCTTCATTGAACCGCCCGTTCTTCAAAGGTTTTTATACTACAGCATATGAATTTACAAATTCGGCTTCTCATACAACTGGCCCGATCAACGCCAGTTGCACGTTAAATCAATCTGAATAAATATCAGCTGACCATTCTTTATTTATTTGTCCGATTGTGTGAGTCAATCGTAATTACTCACACTTGTTACTGTGAAAGTCTATCGTTTTATATACGTATAGTTCGTCACTTATTGTCTCGTTCAAGACCAATGGTCTTAACTCCATCGCTTTATTTCTTGTTCTGTGTGGCTCGCCTTAACATACCGTACCATTTTTATTAATACTTGGTCAAAACGAGCTGTCTTCTTGCATTGCTTTAAACAAGCTGCCACTGCAGCGTCTGACTCAGAGCGGACTGTCATTGCTTGTAACGCGGCTGGGTTGGCAATGTGTCATGCTATTGCGTCGGCACACTGCGGCTTGCTCCTCGGCACACTGCGCCTTGCTCCTCGGCACACTGCGCCTTGTTCGTTGGCACACTTCGCCTTGTTCGTCGGCACACTGCGCTTTACTCGAGGCTAGGTTTTCTTAAGATGTGTGGTTGATTCTTCTTTATTTTATGAATAAGTGTGCGAACTTGAGCTCGCACGCAACGAATCTTGCTGTTACGTGCTGCTAAACAACAGTTCTAGTGAATATGCATTTGAATAAAGTGTTCAGAAGTACAGGGGGTTGGACAAGATAAAGGAAACGCCTAACATTTGAGATCATACTTTTTGAACACGTTATAAACAATAAAAACTTGAAATATTTTAATGTTTTGCGTTTATTGTTGTAGCTAAATGATATTATAAGCGTTTGCCGCAATTTAAAAAAAAATTGATACCATAACCTTATAAAAATGCCTAACCTCTCCAGATTTCAAATGAGGTCAAATTGTTGATGCCCGTATGGCAAGTGCTAGTGCGACAGAAACTTCCCGAATGCTTGACGTTTCTAGAGGTAATCTCTCAAAAGTAATGACTGCTTTTGAAATAGAACGAAAAACGTCCTCAGCAAAGCACAGGTTTTCTGAAAGTCGTAGTTGTCTGAGCGAGGCAGTTGGTCTCTAAATCAAATTGTTTGGAAAAATTGGAGGATCACGGCTGTAAAAATTACAGCAGACCTCAATGGACACCTACAGAACCCAGTTTCCATAAAAACTTTTCTTCGGGAGCTGCAAAAATCTGAATTCTGTAGAAGCGCTGCAATTAGAAAAACTCTGGTCTCAAATAAAAATGCTTCAAAGCGTTTAGAATGGTGTAAAAACCTTCAGACTTTATTCCTCGAGCAGTGGGAAAATGTGATTTTCTATGAAGAATCATCGTTTTCCTTATTTGCGACCTCAGGCCGAGTGTACGTTAGAGAGAGGGTTAAACTGGGGTCCAATTGAAAGAGGGCATAATAGGGGTTTATATGAAAAAAAGGCTAAATTCTTTTGCAAATTATTCACAATTTGTAAGAATCAATGACCCAACCCCTGTATTAATCATAGTTTCGAAGTAGATAATCCCGTCACGTAACAAACTTTGCGCCGTAGTTATTTATAGAAACCGTCACATCGTAATTTTTGAGCTGCAAAATACGAACTCCTGTCACGCCTGCCATAGCAGCCCTCGAAGGATGCGCGACACACGGCCTGTCCTGAATGCTTATCAAGCCTTGGCCATGCATGCGCAGCATGCATAATTTTGCTGCATATCTTTTGTTTTGATATCTTCTGAAGTTTTTATATATTCTGGCGTTGACTACGTAGAGTCTTGGACCTCGTTTCTAAAGTCTTTAATAAATTTCACTAAATACCGAACGAAAAATGCTTTACTTTCAACTGATTATTGTAGTTAAATATTTTATTATAAAAATAATTTTGTTAGTATATGTCGTAATAGACTCGGTTTATGCCTTAAATTGTTGTTTTTTATTTGCAGACAAATTTGTCTACTGCGTATGATTCTGCTTCATTTAATCAGTTCACAGTGCACATTAATCAGTTTACAATTACATGCGGGAATCTATTGCGCAGGCGACGCAACGAAAGCGTGATGTGAGCAGACCCTTCTATGCATGGTCAAACCCACGGACACCTTACCTTAACCTTATGACCTTATGATGAGTTTAGGACGTCGTAGTCCAAGGTCACGCTGATGCGCCGCCTTCGTCGTCCTCCGTCTCCGAGTCGTCGTCGGATGTAACGTTGGACGTGTTCCGTCTATTTGCCCTCATTTGGGCCAGCTGATGCAAGATGNAGTCGTAGTTTTGGTCCCCTATATCAATAAAACGAGTCGTAGTTTTGGTCCCCTATATCAATAAAACGAGTCGTAGTTTTGGTCCCCTATATCAATAAAACCAGTCGTAGTTTTGGTCCTCTGTATCTATAAAACCAGTCGTAGTTTTGGTCCTCTGTATCAATAAAACCAGTCGTAGTTTTGGTCCTCTGTATCTATAAAACCAGTCGTAGTTTTGGTCCTCTGTATCAATAAAACCAGTCGTAATCACGCGAAGGTTGATGAAAAGATGAGGCCGATGCTGGCACTCCCATATTACTCTCGAAGAAATGGAAGAAATGGCACTGGTTAATAATTTTAGCACGGAATTAAATCATTAATTCCGTGCAATATGATAATTCTACACTTTAAGATATTTTGTATACGATATTGCTTAAATCATTGGAGTCAAAATTCACACAATGAGAAAGTTTTAATGCTGGGACGCATTCTTAACTCAAGTTAAAAAAAATTATAATTTTTTGGAAAAGTTTTCGTATGCAAATGACGTCAAAGAAAGACGAGTTTTCGCTCGCCATGCCATATACAAAGACTTTTCCTACAGAGAATCACTTGTATGGGAGAGTAGGCGTCGTATCCTGCCTCTCTAATGAGAATATATGGCTCAACGTCCCAACTCAGGATTATGAACTCAGATGAGATGAAGCAACGCACGAAAAAATACGATGCTCTTCCTGTGAAGAACAACTCAGAACACGCGGGTTTTTTCAATGCCGTTTCGCCCCTGAAGCTTTACCTACGTAAAGATATCTTTTTTCTTATTTTTTGAATAAGCCTGCTAGACACAAACGCAGTGACATTTCCTAGACAGTCTGTCAAGTGTATATTTAAAGAGAGGTTTAATTTAAACGTTTGGTGCCTATTTTTCTGCCTATGTATCTCATATTTTTTTCTCATTCATGCTCTCACGGCGAGATGTATTCACGTGACTTGTTTCATGGGAAGACAAGGTATGCTTCACGGAGGCGTGAGTATTTGATACAATAAAAAATCTAATTTATAAATGTAAAGGAAAACTTGTTAAAAGTAATATTATACAAAATCAGCGAGTAATTATAATTAATCACGATGATTTCGCTGTATCCATGGTATGAAGTATGCGGAAAGAGTGACAATATCGGTGTCACATGCAATCTTTATTATCAATGACGCTCGTGAGATTAACACGGGGGCGACATATCGTGTATGGAGCGATCGGCAGAAGATTGATGGTTGTCAGAGACATGACAACGCAGCATCAAACGCAAGCCGCGACACGATGCGAATAGATGCTGGGATTTCATGGTTGATATTGACTTGTCTTCAAATAGTTATCAATTTAGAAGTTTTCATATGGAGATTATATTTAACTCTCGCTGAAAAAAACTTCAATTGCGTCAACACGAATTTCGAAGTAGGGGTAACCTGATATCTGGTCGTGTCGTGGTCACACGACTTTCACTCAGAGCTTTGGCTCAATACAGCCGTGCGCTCTTTAACTGTATTCCGTAAACAGTAAACACAATCAGGTCCACACTGAGAATAATCATGGCTGCCTACCTGACTCAGCAGATAAACAAGACTGCGTTCCGTCTTTAGTATCGCCTTTTAATGTTGGAGCTCTGCAAAATTGGTATTAAAAAAAGTTTATCGTGACTTATTACTATATGATGCGCCGGGATGATAAGAAATGTGTAATAACTCGAGAATGAATATGGAGACACCAGCGAAACGCGTTTAAATAATATTCATCAGCATTCTTATAAAGCAGGACTCGACCGGACGTAAATTTTGCGGAGTCAGGAAAAAGTTGCGTTATTTTTGAGCGCATGATGATCCGAGGTGCATTGCGAGCGTGAGACCCAAGCGCCTGTAGACTTTGCCACTGAAGTTGCTTTAGTTAGAGTTGATTGTTTGATGATAAACTTTTCTGTTGATTTCACTTGGTGAAAACACATTGAGTCTGTAATGCCAAGATATTTTGCTTGGGCAGCGATTTTAATTAAAAAAACATTCTGTATCGAATAGTTTTTCGATTAATTACTTTATACAAGAAATATGAAGAAGTATTTCACGTTGCGGTATTACGATTTTTACTTTCAGGGCTTACTGCATACTCTAAATTGTGAACAATTATTAACTGTGGGGAAATGTAGGTTGGCTGCTCACTATGTCAGTATAAAATAAACATGCGCTTAAAAAGTACTTTTTTAAGATAACACTTCTGAAGAATCCAGTGTATCCAATGTTACAGATGTACAATGAATTTCTCATTTTACTTTCGAATATTAAAAAAATTACTTTTTCATTTGCTGCATGGTTAAACTTGACACGTTGACTCCGAAGTAAAACATATGCGTAACACAAAGTGTATTTCTTCAGGACGTGGTAGTAAATAATTCAAGGTTGCCACATGGCCTAAAAAACGGCCAAGTCCGCGAACAAAAAAAGGCCTATAACTCAATATATACTAATATATTTGTAGGCTACGGCGTGAAAATTCCATTTTTCTGCAGTTTTTACAATTTAATTAAGAAGTACCCCTATCATAAATTTTAGCCGGCCAACGCAATTGAATTTTAGCCGGCCAACTAAATCGCGGAAATTTTCCGAAAAAAGACGGCTAGGAACCCTGGACTACACACATGTCCTTTTTCCTATTTCAATTATTTCGACTCTTCTTTTTAAATAGATTTTACCGCACTAGTTCGGATTTATTAACACACTATTCAAATTATTCATATATATTATCTGGTATAGCAGAATGCTTTAGACCAATGAAAAATCAATATAATTTATCAATTTGTGTTTTTCATACTAGTACAAATAATTAAATAATAGTATTCATGATGAAGTAATCGGAGTCCACGTGTTATACATGTATTATTTCAAACATGGTTCTGATGCACGTAAAATGAAGAGACATATTAACTCGGCGTCGAACTATGTATTATGAACCAGCGAAATTAATGAGGAGCTAAATAATTTCTCTGCGAATTTTTAGCAATTTACTATTTGTAGGCTCTGCAGAAAAACATTCAGAAGTTCACACTACGAGTGCTCTCATAAAAGAATCGATATCGTTAATTAATTTGCCCATTTCAGTTTACGTGAGTCTGTTTCATTTTAAGCGGTTGTCCAGTTTCATACAGTTTAAGGCTTTGTTTTTTTTTTGATTGACTGTTTGCATGCTCTATGTTCGTCCATTTTATTTTAAGATATTTCCATGTTTCTTGCAGTTCAGGGCGGTTGATTCTCTTATATTTCATTAACTGTGTACCTCTTGTCGTCTAAGTTGTGTGCCTTTTTCAGTTTACATGGTCTGCTTGTTTTAATTTAGATTATTTATCTGTTTTTGTTTAGATAGTTTCCCTGTTTTAATTTAGATCATTTATCTGTTTTGGTTCAGAAAGTTTGGCTGCTTTATTTTCGATTGTTTGTCAGTTTCAGTTTAGCAGTCGGTCTGTTTTAGTCATGACTGCATACCACTTTAATGCCGTTTCATTTTACGCCGTTTGCCTGTGTTAACGAGGACTGCATACCGTTTTGATGCCGTTTTGTTTTACGTTGTTTGCCTGTTTTAGTCAGGGCTGCATATCTCTTTCATGCCGTTTTATTGTACGCAGCCTGACTATTTTAGTCAAGAAATCATGCCGTTTTATTGTACGCAGCCTGAGTGTTTTAGTTAAGGAATCATGCCGATTTAATACCGTTTTATTGAACGCAGTTTGCCTGTTTTACTCAAGACTGCATGCCGTTTAGGTATACCCTGTTTGCCTATATAAATCAGCGTGTGCCCGACAGGACGGCGGGACGGCGCTGATCGTGTCGTCGCAGTGCGGTCACTCGGACGTCGTGGAGCTGCTGCTGGCGCGCGGCGCAGACCCGAACACGGCGATGCGAGACCGCGCCACGGCGCTCTTCGTCGCCGCGCAGAACGGTCACACGGCCGTCGTCAGGTGGCCTGTAGCTCTTGTTTTAGTTCAGGCTTAGTTCAGTAACTCCTGTTTTAGTTTAGGCTTAGTTCAGTAACTCCTCTTTTAGTTCAGGCTTAGTTCAGTAACTCCTCTTTTAGTTTAGGCTTAGTTCAGTAACTCCTGTTTTAGTTTATTGCTGGACATATGTATAATAATTCGACTAACTCATGATTTGACTTTCCTTCAACATTTCGTGGGAAATTTAAGGTTAGAAGTACAATATTTGTCGTTGGAAAATAACTTCTTTCAATCTTTTTCATTCTTTTGGAGAGAACTCTTGTGCTTTTATTGATTGTTTCAGAGATGGGCGAGCAAGCGGTTATTTTAGGTTAGGTTCTCGGAGTTAAGTCTAAAAGCTACCAAAAATGCTAAAATGCTTGCAGAGATCGAGTCTCTTTCTAGGAGGTTCGAGATGGAAACTAATAAAGATTAAAACAAACTTCCCTGCCATTACTGAGTTAAGGACTATTTATTTAAGGGCTAAATCGGCGTGTAATGGAAAAGGCTCACTACGGGTTTTTATGTTTCTGAGTCACTATTTCGCAGAAAAATATTTAACTGCGCCTTTAAACCAAACAATTTTTATCAAATGATTTCTGATCGAAAAAAGTTTATGGCTTCACTGGGTTGGCAAGCTACATAAGTGAAAAATGGAACAAATTTCATTTTATATACTGAGAGGAAATAAGTTCATTTCCTTTACTTATAAATAAATATATAAATACTTTTCTTTATAAATTCATTTCATTTACTGAGAGGAAATATTTCTCGTTGAAAAACTTTACATGCTGTACCTAACAATAAAATGTTGTCTCCAGATCGTTACTGAGGGGCGGGGCTCGTATTGACGCGCGACGGGCAGATGGGGCGACGTCGCTCTGGATCGCCGCCCAGATGGGCCATGCCCAGGTGGTGAGAGAGCTGCTGGGCCACGGTGCCCAGCCGGACACACCAAGAAAGGTATAACTTCGCTGGTCTCCAAAAAGTTTAAAACGAATATGTGGTAAATTTAATCCCGTTTTCTTTGTTTCTAACTTTTTTATTACGATGTGATATATGGTAAAATTCGACCTGATACTCTTCGTTCAAAGACATGGTCGAGTTGTTGGTTTTGAAATTGAAGACAAAATTTCTTCGCAGTAAGTGAAGCGGGTTCTTGTTTCTTTGAACTGTCCTCAAGTATTGCTGTATGAGCATTAGACTCGAAAATAAAAATATAGGTTGTTGCGAGCTTTACTCAGGAGAATAAAGTTACTGGAGATGGGAAATTTTTAAAATTTTTAATATATGGAAACAACTTTCTGTCAGTACTATTAGATCATAATATGTTATTTATATGAAACTGCATAGCGTGTACAAGTATTTTAACAGGCTTTAAAACGTTTATATGTTTGGCTTATTTTAATCATTTATAGGACGGAGCGACAGCGCTGTTCAAGGCTGCGCACAAAGGCCACGTGGACGTCGTGAAGGCGCTGCTGCTGCACCGGCCCAAACTGGGCCTTCTGAAGGTAGGTCTTTGTTTCGGTGAGGATAAATGGTTTCTTCGTGTGCCCAGATCACATAAATGAATTATTCACGTAAGATGACAATCGAAATAAACAACGAAATCAACGTAATCAACGAATAATCAATCAATCATTCAAATAATCAACGTAAATCGAATACAAAATGAGATAACAGGAATCAAAGTAAGGTTGGTAACAGACACCCAGTGAGGCAATGTTTCGTTTCGTGGTTGGCAGAACGGCGAGTCTGCGCTCCATGCGGCGGCGTTGTATGGCCACATCGAAGTAGCCCGACTGCTGCTCAGAGCCGGCGCCGACCCTACACTGAGAAACGACCAAGGCCTCACAGCAGCTCACATAGCGCTCAGAGCGGGGCACTTGAACGCTGCCAAACTCCTCCAACAACCTCCCCCTTCACCGAAGCGTTCCCCACTCTCTCCGAGAGGTACCCCCACCGGGACTCTAAGCCGCGGGTCATCGCAGCCTGGGTCTCTGGAGACGATAGTAGAGGCAAGTCCTCCTCCACAACGCGCCAATAACTTCCAGTCATGTGAACTGACCGCGCTAATGGACGGTGAGACTCGAGCGAGGATCAATCAAGTTGGATGTTCTTCCCTCTCCGCGAGCAACAATTCCCTCACGGCTCCCTCGCCTTCCCCAAGCGTCGTGAGTGAACCCCCAGCTCCTCTACATCCTCCTCTTCCCCACCACAGGGCCACGTCACACGCAGATCTTAGGTCAATGAAGTCTCTCTTCTGCAAGACTTTCTCCTCCTTCAGGAGAGCGTCGCTGGGCAGGAGGGTCATCAACGCACCTCCATGACACTTGTTGACCTTACCAAGACATCCCATTGAAAGTCATGCTTAACAAATGAACTCTTATGATTACCTCTCCTCCCTACTAAATTCTAGACAATTATTACTATAACACACCAAATGATCCTCATGGATCAAAGAGTTAAGTGAAATTATGGTGTAGACTTCAATTGTGCATTATTTGAGAGTGACAGAAGAAAAAAATATGAAATCTCTTAAGCCACAAGGTAGGCTGTCAAAGCCTGAGACGTCAGCGCACAAACACCTTGCCGTGTAATCTTGGGCTGTTATTTTACACAATCAGTTTTATATCCGTGAAATTAGTTGTCCATCTTTTGGTTCGCAATTGGAACAAACCTCCTTAACTAAGATAGGTAGACTTTCATATCAGATATTTGCTGTAGAACCTCTTCATGATGGATCATTCCACAAGGACTTGTGGATGAAATATCATGTCGCGAAGACCTCTTTAGTAAGAAGGGGACGTCATTAATCCTCGATTGCACAAAATGGAAGATGATTCTTCTTCCTCTTCCGGTAAGATTGACTGTGCTACATTGCTAATAATCTATTGATTAAGTCTTCGAAAAATAACTTGAAATCAAACCTTAAAACAACTAGAGAATTAGATTTTTTCGATTGTCGTTTTGCAATTCTTATCGAAAATATTATGACGCTGGTCTATTAGCGTCCATATACTGGGACAATTTATCTAATGAAATGTGAATTTTATTTAATAAATCTGAACAGTTAAAACTGTTAAATGAATGGTTATTCGAAAGTTGGTATAATGGCATAGTTCAGCTCTCTGTACAGGGATGAACGTAATACTGTGCAGTATGGTTGAGCTGTCAGGTGCTGGATCAAGATAATTCTGTACACGAACAGTTACAGTTGAGCTGTAAAGTGCTGGACGAAAGTAATGCTGTGCAGTGTTCAGGTATAGTAGAACCGTAAAAGGGTGAATGAACGTAATTCTGTACAGTTACAGTAGAGATGTTAGGTGCTGGATGAAAGTAATTCTGTACAATTGCAGTTGAGCTGTTGCCCTATTGAAATTTTGGGGGTGGTTAGCGTTTGAATTATGGATGCCATTAGCTCGCCCAGCGAGTAAATTAATGGCTCTATGTCCGCTTTACGCTCTGCCTCAAGAAAATTTAGGGTATGCTTCAGCCTCCACCCAGCTGCTGTACTCGCGTTAAAGTTGTTCTGGGTTTGCGGGCTACCTGATCACAATCAGCAACTAGTCAGAATCGCCTTACCAAATTCATATTCTCCAGAGAGTATTACAAGAGTTGGCTTGGCCTAGCCTACCAAAGCTGCATGTTGCTGGGGGGCTAGCGTCGTCAACGTGAGAAAGAACCTCTGCTCGAATCTTCTCAAGCTTTCAAACAATCAACTGCATTATAAATTCCTGGAGTGGCAACCAAAAAATATGGCGGGACCAAAATATACGACAGTAACGGGAAATCAAATAAGTTGCTTATAAATTGGATTGCGTTAATTTGAACACGTTCTCCTTCGGATTTCTTGTACGCGATACTCAACACCGACACGACAGCTACGGCTGCTAGAACGTCCATATGCAATCTTTAATAATGAAGTTCTCGGCCGTCGGGATGCTTGTAAATTCCAATTAAGAGCTTATCTGCAAGAGCTACATCTATAGCCGCTCAAGCAGACACATGCCCAAAGCTAAATATTTCTATTATTGGAGAAATCATCAGTTCATGGGCTTGTAGAACAGTAATCTCCAGACAATTCTAAATCTATGAAGTAGTTCCACAAGCATTCAAAATATAAATTTTGAATGCACAAGTGCAATGTCCACAAGTGCAATGGTCATTACAATTAAATTGTTTTAAAGTTGCTCATTGTAGGAGACAAAACAATTCACTTCCTTTCGAAAAGCATTGATCATTCGTCAGTACGTTCTGCGCCACTGTTAGCTGTATGCTGGCGCTCTGCTGGCGTCAGCCCTCAGGCTCAGGCAACGGCTAGTTCTTTGCTTCGATGGGAATGAAACGCATGCATTGAAACGTGTAGCCCGCGTGCATTGAAATGTGTAAGACTGAAAGTCCTTTTGATGTTTGCACTTGAAGCAAGTAAACATTTAAAACATTCCTGTGGGAGCTTGAGCGTTATTTCATGGGTAATTATCGCGTAGATTATGGCTTACGGATCAAAGCACATGCACATATGAGGCTCACATGTGTGAGCACACGCATTGCAAGTTCTCATAAACCTGATTCTTCCATGAGTATTTTGTTACGCGAGCAACATGTTCCTGTTAAATTTAATTCTTTCACTCACATCGCATTGATGGGATTTTTCAGTTAACAACTCGCATAACATTTATTCTTGTGTGACATCCTCTGGTGTATTAAGCGATCTTAAGCGCGGTGTATTAGGTATCTCTGCACACATTTAAAGTAGTCAATAGATTGAGTGAAAGATAATTGGTTTGCGCTATTCTTCTGTGGTATTCATGAAGTGGAAGTATAGCATATTCATGCAATGGAAGTAGTTATAGATTTCTTAATTTACTCGAGTATTTGCAACAATTTATTTTTTCTTACGATGATGTAATTTGTGTGCTCAGAAGTGAGTATAATAATTGAATTTTGATGTATGAATTGTCCAATTACAATTATAGTTGTCATTGGATATTGTCGGAATAACATTGTTGAGTTATTCTGTCGTAATTTAAGAATATACGACACAGCAAACAGAAGCGTCTGCAGTAGTGTCAGGTTGAAAATAGGCGTCCTCAACAGTAGAAGCATAGGTTTGTTTATCAGACGCTAAATGCAATATGCTATATGTCAAGTTAAAGTTAACTTTCCTTTCGTTAACTTTCCGTCGTATTACATAGCAAACGTACGCGTGTCCATTTATCGACGCCATTTATAGAGCGAAAGTTGGTCATGGTTCATGCAATTACTTCGTCTAGCATCATGCGGCAACCTGACCAGCGTCTGACCAGAGGCACCATATGAGGCATCTTTACCAGCTTCTCTTTTTGGTTAACTTGCGCTGACTCGGCTTACCGGACAATTGACTTCTGAAAGAGGTTGCTAAATAGCAGCCGAACACAGTACCAGTAGGTGGCCGATATGCACCTGGTTTACCTCTAAGCCGAGTCCATTGCTTCTGGGGCGACCCAAATTGGAACAAAAACTTTTACTGGGAAGGTGCTCGAGGAACTTAATGCGGTACAAGCATATAAGTTGAGCTGTATGGACGTAATAAGCTGTTCTGGATGTAATCAAGCTGTAAGCTGTTAGGTTCTGATGGACGTTAAGCAGTACAGATAAAGTTGAGTCGTAAGGTGATGAATGAACATAATGCTGTGCAGTTACATTTGAGCAGTAAGGTGCTAATGCTAGCTAGTCACCAAGTGTCCTCTGTATACATTTATAGTCTAGGTCTTATTCTACCATTGCTAGCTGAAAGTTTCCTTGTCTTGGTAAAAAGTTAGATTTATCCAGTATTATGCGTTCCAAATTTAACCTAATATGGCTAATTGAGGCAAGGCATTGCGATTTTTCTGCTAATTTGTTGTCAAAAGTTCAACAATTTATGTTGCGCATGTGAATTGCATTCTTTTTCCTAACTTGCCTCGATCTGCAGATAACTTTTCTATAATGAATAATATTATTTGTCGCTACATATCACATTATTATTTAGTTAGGTTATCATGATAGTATAGACCCCGAGCAGTGATTTCCCAAAAATCACCACGTTACTGAATTTATTTTGCCACATTCATATGTGTTTTCAGAAATGCCAAGATTAATACTGTACACATCACAATATCGAAACTCAAGAAGATATTACGCATCTGTAAAAACGAATAAATTCTCTGCATTGTGGATAATATATCCCCAGTTTAGAGACCACTGACCGAGAGTATTTCATATCATATTGATTTCAGCAAACTATTATTCTATCGGTCTTCAATTTTTGATGCCGAATCACGTCACGCGTCACTCTGAGACGTACGTGTTTGTTTGTTTACCGTTGAGAAAACAGTCATATAGTCTTGCAAAATTTTATTCAAATTCCGATTGGCTCGAAATTGCAATCCTCCGTGGTTTTCAGCCAATTGATATTTTTTGTTTCGTTTATGCATGAAGTTCGGAGTTACTTCCATGATAATAATAATGGTGTCCGCAATGATTAGGCCATGTTGGTCTGTCGCTCAATTAAACTGCACGGACTCCTCTTTGATTTTGACCTGAACTGTCACAGGAAGCTAGCATCGAACCCGCAACTCTCGGTTCCAAACTTGTTTTTCCAGGGCCCATACATTCAAAAAAAGTTAAGAGATCGTACGTTCATCAGCCAATCATTGACGGCTTTTGGAGCAAAATCCACCAATCATAGACAAGATAATTGAGCGTAAGTACTTACGTTCACTTAGCGAGTTTTGAAATTAAGGCCCCAGCACTGCAACCACCAGGCCACCCTGCCCAGTTGATCATGATCAATAATTTCCTAAATAAGAATATGACGGATGCTAATCGCATCTAGAATGTTTAATGTTCGAGAATATGTGGGGGCGAGAACAGGGGCGAGAATATGTGAATTTCTTCATGACAAATGTTCCGTCATAATTTTACGCGATTTATTGTGTGTGTCTGTGAGGTGAACATTCTCTATCCTTCCTTATGCATGTCAGCCTGTCCTAAGGTTGTGAATATCTATCGACGCTGGGCTTAGTTTCAATTCGTCCATTCAAAGCACTTCGATGCCATACTCTATTGTTGTGTAAGCCCCTGCCCTCAAATAGCCTGGTAAGTCATGTCCTATAGAGAGGACGATAAAATACTCTCTAGCTATGAATTATTAATCAATACATCATAAGCTTCTACGCATTGTCCTATAATATTCGTCCTGTTTCCGTCTTCGCAACCATATTCGTCCCAAGATTGGTTGAGTTTCCACCAAGTCCGGAGTTAACGTAAACACAATTTCCAAATTTCCAGGCAAATAGCTCAGCTTCTTCTGTTGAGAATTTTGCTGTACACTATTTACTATTCAGTGATATTCATCATAATCAACACGACCATTTCCTTTGTATTATTCGATTTCTAGGTACGTTGTGCGTCAGCTAATACATTTGAAGTGCAAGCCATAAAATGTAATCGAATGCGGACTTGGTCAAAACTAAATTTTTCGGCTGTCGCTTCAATGAATTTCTGTAAGTTGTTATTCAGAGTTAAGCATAAGTATTCAGATATGTAAATAGGTTTGATTTAATTCAAATTTATACCGTGGTACATTAAAGAATACGTCTATTTTATTATCCTGAAACTAAGATATAAGCATAGTGGTGTTACCGTTGAAGATTATGCAATGTTCGGCTTGTCGCCGATTCTAGGTAGGCGTCAAATTTAAGCATCTAATTGCGATTCTCAAACCTGCACTAGCTAAATATTGCTGTGTTAAAAATCACCTCACCGATGTCAACAAAAAATTCACAGTTTTTCAGGTCGTTTTGGTATTTCAACTTCCAAATTAAGTGATGGTTGAGATGAGTCGCACAAGCATAGACGGTTGTCGGCCATTTTGCGGTCATAGAATTAAGTAGAAATTCCAATTTTTAAAACTGGTACTTGAAGCTCTGAACAATTCAGATTGCATTTAATCGTGCTAAAACTCTTTAAAGTTTCGAAATTTCAAATGGTAGGGACGAATAATTCTTTCTTTGCAGTTAGATCGGTCAAATGTATGATCTTCAATCAATTTAGAATAGAAGTGTCGGCACTGAAGAAATAGGCCGCTGGCCTGTTGCCGATTCTTGAATTTTTCGTGACTTGATTCACAAGGGATCCGGCTTTTGGAACCCTTGGCTTCTTTAACTGACAATTGATTGCGATAGCTGCTGGACTTATTGCCTGGTCCGTAATTTGCCAGGCATTTTAAGACTGAACATATGCTCCTGCATAGCTTCGTCTAGTCTTATTGCCTGGTCCGTAATTTGCTGGGCATTTTAAGACTGAACATATGCTCCTGCATAGCTTCGTCTAGTGACTCTAGTCTGTTCTTGAACGCGATCATACTCTGAGCGTCAACGATGCTATCAGAGAGGCTGTTCCACATGTCGGTGACTCGAAGCGAGAAAAAATATTGTCGCATGGATGTGTAGAATTAACAAATTTCATTTCTTAAAATTCGTCTGTAATTCGTAAAAAATGCGCTAAAATATCCTAATATATATCAAGTGCCAGCTAGGCTCTGACACAAGAAACTCTCAAGTTTTCTCGGATCTATCTTATTTATTGCTTAGATACTCAGATTTCTTAGAGTTTTATTAGAGTCTTGTGAAATCCTAGTTTCTGCTTGTATGGCATGGGAAATATTTGCTATCTACTATAAATTTTTACACAAGAAAAACAAAATACAAGCAAAATTAATTCCAAGTAAACCATGAAAATTTCGCGTCAAATTAATCATGAACTTATAATAGTTGCAGCACTAAGTCAACTCGCCGAAATATTTCGTTAATAAGACAAGTATGAACTGCAAGGGATGAACTAATTCGTTAAACTTCGGGCGGACCACATGAAGCGTACATGGGAAAATGCGATTACATATATATTTGTCAAAGTTTGTGAGTTTGAAGCCATGCACCGCATAAATGAGTTCGGTGCTTGTTCACAGTGGGGGTTCGGCATGGTTGAACTATATTAGTTCAGCCATGGGGGTTCGGCAATGTTTTGATGAGAAGCAGACCAAGTTAACTTTCCTGATGTTCGATTGCTTATGGAGCACGACGCAGGGCTTTATGGATGATGCGGTGGGTATGGCAAATCACCAGCCTCGGAAGTGAAAATCCTGAAGTATATAACCGCTCCAAATTGGGGAGCTTCGACTTGTTTTCCCACGTGCTTCTACTCCTCCTACATACGTGCACAAACAGACTACGACTCTATTCTTTACCGATCAGCCTTGCCGAGCATTCTTGCCAAGGTCTTACAAAATGGCTGCTTACGATTTATCTTAGGAGCACGCAGGGACATCTCCTATTGTCTCATTACAAGCGGAGGCCCTTGTCCGGCCACTCTGTCATTCCGACATGGCGTACTGGGAGCGTAGTTGGCTCTGCGGCTGGTGTAGAGGAAAGCTGATGATAAACTGGCTCTCCTTATCATGCATTATTAGCCACTGTGTTTGATGTAACTGCCAGTCATCTTTGCCCCTTCGGGCCCTCCTGCGGGCATGTACCTGTTCCTACAGTGGACTTTAGTCTTACTTCCGTGTTTGCATATTGGTCTGTAAATCCACAAAAATTTGGTGATTGCATTGAGCGTAGAATATTCTACTGTATTTTGGGCAACGTTAGGCGATGTATACAGAGGTTATCTTGCGATATACTTTGATGGCTCTACCGGTAGTCATTCTGCTCCAGAGTCTGCTGTTTATGCAGTGGACATTCCCTCGTAAATGAAGCTGGGCAGTTCATGGCGCCTGCATCCTGACTGCAGTGTACTAACAATCGAGCTTATCGTAATTTTTAATTCGTTTCTTATTGATCTGAAATGCAATCATCTGACTGGGTTGTTTGTTCAGACTTGCGTCCAGCATTGCTCCTACTAAGTTGGTTCTCATCAGGGAATGCTCCTTGTTAGTTCTGAAAATTCGTAGGCTGCTTTTAAGCCTTAAACTGAGTAATCTTTCAGAGGGTAAAATCACATACTGGTATACTTGGGAACGAACTAGCAGATCGCGCAGCTAATTTGAGACATGGCTTTTATCAAAGCTCCTACCACACTGTAGAGTATTTGGATATCCTTCGTTGTCAGTCTCTGTCTCGGTGAGATGATGATTGTCATCCACTGTTGCTGAGTCTGGAGAGAGTGGACACCTCTTGTAGGTTCGTAGAAATCTGCAGGAATCACTTAGGATTCACGCTAAGTCTCATCGTGTCACTCTTGCGTTCGCTCGCTTTCGTCTGGGGCTTGTGGGAGTTGAAGCCCATCTGCAACGTTTCCAAATCTCCGATTTACCATTGTGCAAAACTTACGGTGTTGATGAAACTATTGACTCATGCTAGATTGCGTCTGTTATAACAATGTATGTCAACTACTAAAGCAAACCCTACAACAGAGTGTCGGTGTTAAGACACTGACAGTGAGCACACTGCATATGACGGTGGGAAATTTACCATACACGAACAGCATTTTGTGACACAGGCCGTGGTCACATTTCCTTCAAGTACTGACCGCCTTGAGACCTTGTGAAGCCCTTTATCAGCCCCAAAAAACACGCTACGGATGATTGAAAACGATGAAGCTTCACCAACTGTGGATTGACGATCATATAGGACTGCCACATCCAAACGGCAAGTGACCTGAGTGATCCATCTACGCATCTTCAAAAGCTGTGTCATCATCTGATGTTCTGTATTTACTATGTGCTAAACCCTTTGGTGAGCGAACATTGAAATGTGCGTAAATTCGAAGTTATGAGCCCGACACAAGAAATTATGCTCTTTTAAGAGGTATATACGAACTCATGAGCATGGGCCTATTTCTTCAGTGCCGACACTTCTATTCTATGACCATTTTCAGAAGTTTGAATTTTGAAACAAAATCACAGTTGAAGAATTCATAAACATAGTGACTACATTAAAACTATTTTCTGGTAATTTTATATGCAAACGGTAGGGTGGTACAGCGGTTAGTAATTACTTTCTACTTTTCGGAATACAACCATGACCGAGATTGTACAGTGAGTTGCGGATCCGTCCTTAACCCGCTAAAAGGTTGAAAATAGATTTGCTTTGGTACTACTCTGTCCCCTGTAATGTCCCTCTCCTATAGTAATGCTATCCAAATTCCAAATATTCAGAGATCTTCTAAGTTCTACAGACAAAATTTGTAGGATTCACTACTGCATTCACGGATGGCTCACATGTGCAGGAACCTGCAGCCTCCACCTGACCACCTCAGCTGCTCGCTAGTCTGGAAAAGTCCTATTTTTGTCTGAAATATCGCGGCTCTAATATCTGTCTCTTATACACATCTAGATGTGTATAAGAGACAGAAGTAATGCTGTGCAGTGTTCAGGTATAGTAGAACCGTAAAAGGGTGAATGAACGTAATTCTGTACAGTTACAGTAGAGATGTTAGGTGCTGGATGAAAGTAATTCTGTACAGTTGCAGTTGAGCTGTTGTCCTATTGAAATTTTTGGGGTGGTTAGCGTCTGAATTATGGATGCCATTAGCTCGCCCAGCGAATAAATTAACGGCTCTATGTCCGCTTTACGCTCTGCCCTAAGAAAATTTAGGGTATGCTTCACCCTCCACTCTTAACTGCTGTTAAAGTTGTTCTGGGTTTGCGGGCCACCTGATCACAATCAGCAACTAGTCAGAATCGCCTTACCGAATTCATATTCTCCAGAGAGTATTACAAGAGTTGGCTTGACCTAGCCTACTAAAGCTGCATGTTGCTGGGGGGCTAGCGTCGTCAACGTGAGNGAAACTCGGCACAGGCGCAGTGTTGGTCACGCTGGTCGTGAGAAGGTCACCTCATCGCTGCTAGGGCAGTATGGTACTCAGAACTACCTTCTAAGCCTGACGGATCTAATGGATTATACTAATGTAGGGAACCGAGCCCAGGCTCCATACGATGAACTGCAATTGTTAGCTCAACTCAGAGGCGGTGACCATCAAGAACGTCATATTTGGGGCAGTCCTGTGTCTCTTGGACTTTGCTGCGTCCACTTCAGTCCAGGCTCTGTTTTTCACGAAGCTCCTCATGCAGATATTATCGACATGTTTGAAGGGAATAAGAATTTTATGGATTCTAGTCGCTCGTCTGATGGATGTCGACAACGATATAGATGTGTATAAGAGACAGGCGGTCATTCATTGCCTGGGACAATACCTGCTAAAATGCAGCATGGTGAACACCCTATGAAAATTATCAGTGCCTAATTCCTTTGTTATTTTCTTCCACACAAAAACCTCTTTGTGAGAGCATGAAGAAAAATTCAAAATGAAGTAAAGAGGCAGTTGAGTTGGAGTTTTCAAGAAAAATCAAGTTGTGCTCAGGCTGGGAGCCTGGGAGGTGTGACTGTTTCACACCCAAAGTCTTGAAATCAAATTTAAAAAAAAATGCCCCCGCCATTCAACATGGTGATTCATTTTGCATGGGCTTGCATGTTCTTAGAAATTGGCATGATAAACTTACTTTCTCTGAGGTTCACACCTCGGGAGCATGAAAAGAGTCTCCTGACCTTAGGTGCCTGCTGCATCCACATTCTTACCCAGAGCTCTCTGCTCTCTAGCCTAGCTTGGGCTTGGCCCAAGCCTCTTCCTCTTATCCCCAACTAATGACAGAGATCAGGCTGGGCGGTGCATAAGCACTCGAAGCCTTTAAACCTAATTATAATTTGGTAATTGATACTTGATAGAGGTGACTCAGGTCTCAGGTGAGAGAGAAATGCAAACGGTGGAACACTCGATGACTCGACACCTGATGATGGAGTGTGAAGCGTATGAGAGACTAAAAGTGAGAGTGAAAGACTGGAAATGATTGGACTCATTGCCAATTTGCCATTGGAATGATACCGGATGAAAGGGGTGAGGATAATGGCATGATGTATGAGAGAACTGAAAATGAATGGATGGCAATTGGCAATGAAGGATGAAGGCAATGATAGTAAAGTGGTGGGCCTGTCACCACTCACCAGCACACTGCACAGAGCTGGGAAGTGGGATAACAACTGCCATGAGGGATAGTGGTAGCTACTAAGCATTTTTTGGAAGGTGTAAACTGTAAAGAAACAAGCAATAAAAAATAAAATAATGGTAAATTGGTAATAACAATAAAATATAAATAAAAACAAAGTACTATAATTATGATCTAATGTTTTGCCAGTTTTGGGAGTTAACCATATTTGTGTGACAAATGTCCAAAACTACGGTACCATGCAATAAGTGGGTCAATGGGACGCTGGGACCTAGCACTGCTGCACTAGCAGGCTAGCAATAACCAACAAAACATTGAAAACAACATACTTATATTAAAAGTATTCTCCCTCTATAGATAGAGGAGTCTATGGAATTCTAAGAATGAAAGTTCACTTATAAAAAAGCTTTCCACCCAAGGTGAAAAGCTTTCCTTCGATACAGTGCTTGGCCAGGTGACTGACTAGCTATAAATGAAAAGGTGGATCAAAACTTCAAAAGTGGACAAACTGTTTCAATTGTATAGTACCTCAGGTTTGCTATAGAATTATTTAGATGTCTCTTGTTTGATGGATATTTTTTATTTTAATTAATGGATTTTTTGAAAAATTTCCCGGCCTTTTGTTTGTAATGATCAAGTTTAAGTTAAGTACATATTTAGTTAACCAGTACTGTAGTACATAAAAGATATTTGGGGGTGGGGGTGGGGCTTATGGCACAACCAATCACAGCTTGAAAGCATCCCCATCAACCAATCACAGCTTGAAAGCATCCCCATCAACCCATCACAGCTTGAAAGCATCCCCATCAACCAATCACAGCTTGAAAGCATCCCCATCAACCCTGTCTCTTATACACATCTAGATGTGTATAAGAGACAGGTGTATAGAGGGTAGAGTCTGGTAGATTTATAGGACATAAAACTAGTAGATCTATTGATAGTGCTGTGCACTGTGCTATCAGCTACCTATCTGTTATGTGACTCTTCAATGTCTAGAAGATCTGCATTCCTGAAGTGTTTTTGTATATTAAAGCCAGTTAAATGGTCAATATTTAGCTCATTACCTTGCTCCATACAAACTTTAAAAGGCTAATGAATAGACTTACCAATAGTTGTTTACCCAAAAATCCATTGGATTTTGGAAAATCCATTGGATTTTTGGCCATTATTGGATTGGCCATTGAATTGGCATTGGCTTATTGGATTGGCCATTATTGAAGGCAATAAGTGCCCTTTCTAGCCATCCATTATGATCCATATACTGTTATTGTTAAAAAAATCAAAAAAATCGCCAACCCTGCTATGTGTACTGGTTAGTTTTATACCTACCCCTCTGGAATTCCACATGGCATGAGTTATTCCTTATCTGTTAGCTCCTACTTTAATTCTTAATTATTTTGATAAGGGCTTTGTCTTATCTTTTTGGTGCCCTTGAACTCTTCAGGGTTCAGGCTCTTGAGTCGATAACAGATAACTGATAAGCTATCAGAGAACCTATGCCTGTGCCCAATGCCCCATTCCTAAGATCCTCCTTGCTCCAATCTAAGCTATTACTGCAAGCCTGTAGTAACAAACTAAAAAATTGGGCATAGGCAAATGTTTATTTGTTTGAAGGCTTTACTTGTTCTGGCAACAAATTCTTAGAACCATCTTTAAGTAATGATAACATTTTGGGCCTAAATGTGTTCTTGACAATTGGTGTGACAAGATTAGGTTTGTAGGCCCAAAATTTTATCAGAATTATTTAAGGATTTTTGCCTAGTAGCCAACACTATCTAAACTTCCATGATTTTTTTTCACAAACACATTTGAAGAGATATTTAAAAAGGAATGTGTTAACATGGTCTTCTGAATACATAGATTTTAATCTGATTTGTTCCCAAAGATTCTTCAGATAGTATTCATGGGTATCTATAGAATTATTCAAATCAATGCTTTTTAATTTATAAATCGTGCACTAGGAGCCTAACACTGCCTTGCTTGGGTTAGTTGATCCTTAAGCCTGAAGAGTATTTATTATCCCTAATTTATCTTATCTTAAATCCTATCATGGCAAATGAAGTGACCAATTTTTAATGAATGTTCTACACAAAAAGATGTTCTCACAGTTACATTTAACAGCCAATTTATTCATTGAGCAATTGAATTCCAGTTACCAAGCAAAAAATTTAGAATTATCAAGATAAGTTTCAATAACTACTACAATTACCTAGCAGCAAAAGTGCTTCATTCTCCCACCATGGCTCTTCTGAAGGTTTGTTTGAGTTTACTGTTTTTTTATTAGCTTTCTTGACCACCAAGTACATTTATTTCTATTATCAATGATTTATAATTTGCCACATTAAGTTGAATGCCTCAAGACCATGTATATATCATTATATCTATATTTTATTAAGAGTAGAATAAGATTTTCTAGCAACAAGAGCTTGTCTATTAAATAGTAAGTAGCAAATGCAGCAAAACTCATTCAAGACTAGTGTACTATGAAATTATTATTTTTTGAAGGATTGCAAGTAATGTGCTATGACAATAATGATGATCAACTTATGTGTCATTGTTGGTAGTGCTTTTAAAATCATTGATTCCCCTTCTGCTGAACCCTGAATGTTTGGGTAATGGATGTAGGGGCCCAAAGCCTACATGGTTAGAGTTAATGGTTGACTTGGGTACGAAATAATTTCTTAAGCTACGTATCTTTTACAAAATTAATCTTCAATTATTTTATAAGCATTTGTCATAAAATGTTCCTGATTATGGTCTTGTTTCAATGCACAATGGTAAACTGAAAACAATGTTGAACAAATGCATACATGAATGAAACCTTCTGCTCATTAACTTCTGCAATATAAAAAGTGCTGGAAGAGCATCAGCTTTTTTGTCTGAGATAGTGTTTTTATTTAACTTCTTGTAAATTGATTCTTGAACATGGTAGGAGGTCTGACTATGCATCAAATGATTGACAGAGGCATGATAACATAGCCTCAAGCACAAAGCATGGACCATCATGGGCTTAATGGGATGAGAATTTAAGTGACCATGTATAGTAACTTAGCCATGTTCAATTTTTTTTGTACTGCCAAATTTGTGAGAGGCTAACAAAATAATAAGTTGAATTAGATGAAGGAGGAAGAGATGAGTTGCACAACAATTTAAGCTCTAAAGAATTGATAATGTCAAGTGTTTATTGATATAGAGATGAAAAATGATTGATGTTGTGCAGTAGCTATGAATCAAGGAATTTTTAACTTAGATGATAAAAATATGTACTGCAAATAACTGTTAACACTCTAATTTCTGGCAGGCTTTTTCCCGTTCTCAATTGACTCTTCTTCGCACATCTCTACAACTGTCACCTGCAGTACGCAACAGCTCAGGACTGTGCTTTGGTAAGCAGCTATGATGTAGTGCAAGACTGCAGGTGCTGTACTAATTCACAGGAAATAAATGTGGGAATTACACCTGTCAATGAGCTAAAGAAAATAGTTGTAATTAAAATTAGATTCATCTGTTGGTAAGATATGATTATGAACTTTTATCTCCTCTGCTGTACACATATCAAGTTGATGCTTTTGTTATAGAAGTGCATAATACCCTGAAAACCATAATATATGTACTCCTGTCCCTGTGAGAAGCAGACATTATTTTATTTGAAAGGTTGGATCAGAATATCATGCGTAATATCATGCATTTACCTATCTCTTAGGTATGAATCATGAAAAGGTTTGTCCTGTACAATGACTTGTTTATTTTCTATGCTGGCCAAAAGTTCTCTAAATTCTGTGAAAGTATGTATCAACTGGGCACTGCACCCAGTGGACAATATAGATCATCTCAAATAGCTACATTTAATTTTGAGGCAAGAGATTTTCTTATCTACTATGAATTAAATGTAGGTATTTCAAGTGGTATAAATCCACTCATCATGACAGATATTTTACATTGCATTATTCTACTCATTACTCCTTAGTTAAATATGTGCAGTACTGACATGAAATACGTACTACTCTATTTGGAACACCAGTACGTAATGCTTATAAAATCCAAATGATGAATTTGCAAGGGTTTGCATGCTGAGTTGAAAATATAATGGAACATTTTTATCCTTTGTTCCATTTTCATAACTCCATTAGTTGTGATATTTAATGCATTACAGATTTCAGTGATGAGCAAAAGGAAATCCAGGCAATGTGCCGTAAGTTTGCTAGAGAGCAAGTCTTGCCCAGAGCTGCGGAGTACGATCGCACCATGGAATACCCGTGGGACTTGCTAAAAAAGGCAAGCATTCAATAACCATTGTCTAATTTCCATTCTATTGACTGAACTAAATTCTAGTTTAAAGTGCAAGTTTTAAATTGGGATGTAAATTTCTTTGCTACATATTGTTTTCAGAGAAATTTATATTGAAAATGAGTAGGTATGTTTTGCACTCTATGTAAATATACATACTGATTACATTTACCTGAAAAAAGAAAGGTTTGAATTCCCTAAAAAATGGTCTAAAACAGCAAATTTGACTCAGTCCACAGATCTACAAATTTTATGTAAAACAGCTTTAGTAAATGTTTGATGTATTAAGCCAACAATGCTCTGCTTATTCACATAATGTTTTTTAAATTTTCATTTTATCTGTTTGTTTTACTTGTCCATCTTTCCCCTAGGGTTGGGAGCTGGGTTTATTGAATTCCCACATTCCCGTCAAGTATGGAGGTCCAGGCTTGACATCCATGGAAGAGAACATCATCTGTGAAGAATTAGCCTATGCCTGTACAGGTTACTCTACACCTATCACTGCCAGCAGCCTTGGGGTCAGTTACGTACTTCATTCAATCAAAACTCATCACATTTTTATTGGTGCCTTAATAGAATAGTAATTGTGAGCTACCTTACATCTCATTCAGTACAGAAATATTTAAACAATATAAAACATTAGCATTTATTTTGTTCCACTCATGTCTGTTATGATATCTGACTATATTTAGTGTATTTAGTGTAAGCAAATTTGGTTGGCACAATAATTGCCACATTACATTTTTTCTTCAGCAAATGCCTGTCCTTCTTGCTGGCAATGAGGATCAGAAGAAAAAATATCTCGGCATGCTGACAGAAGAGTGCCAAATGTGTGTAAGTTGATGGAATCCTAGCCAATATTGAACAAAAAACAGACTGGAAATGAATATTATTGCTGAACGTTTTTTAGCAACTTGAACTCATTAAGCCATAAAAAAGTCAATGAAAAATATGAGGCTCAGTAGTCCTAAGGAATGGGCGCATTAGTTGGTAAAATTATTACTATCTTCTGATGAATCATGAGAGGACGAGCCTCATATGGACTCAGAGACAATTTCTTTAGTTCTGTGTGTGCTATTGAAAATTCTCCCTCAAGCTTTTATTTCCAATCTCAGAATTATTTATTGGGAATAGCAAAAATAAAATGTTTTGTACCAAACAATTTTATATTTTAAAACATTCACTCTTGGATGACATTGTCCCATGTTCGTAATTTCAGATCTAACTTCCTTAATGAAGTGTGAGTATATTCATATTTCCTCTCTAATCATTGATCTATTGCAAAAATGTAATAATTTGAATAGTTCATTGTTTGAAAATTGACTGTATTATTTTTGTGCATACTGGCTGAGGCCTTCTATGGAGAAAATACAGAGAAAACCAAATAAATTGAACAGTTAATGACCCAATAAAAAAATTATCATTTATGTGTATACTGTCCCAGGCCTTCTGTGTGACTGAGCCTGGGTGTGGCTCAGATGTTGCAGCCGTCACCACCCGTGCAGTAAAGAAGGGTGATGAGTACATCTTGAACGGCCAGAAAATGTGGATTACTAACATTGGGCACGCCAAGTGGTTCTTTGTACTCGCAAGAACTAAGTAAGTTCTACCAAAGTGGGAACTTGAACTAAGTCAATGACTTGCCAGTAGGTTATTGTCAAAAATTGTTCAAAGAGCTTTGTCTGCATTCAGAAAGATGTGTAACAAATAGGACTATTTGTAGTAACCAATTTGTTTTTCAAACTCAATTGAAGCAATTGAATCCTTAGATTAATTACCATATTATCTGGCTACAATATTCCACAAATAATTTTCAATAAATATTTCAACTTTACATATATAAAAACAGTTTTATTATTGCCTGCTCCTGTGCACCAACATCACCATTATTGGGGTAAAACTGCCTTATTATTTGGTTCAATTTTGTTCACTATTATATTTGAGCAAATGTTCTTGCTCTTTCATTTTGATTCAAAATTCACAATCTAAACTAATTGTACACATTTAATCAATTAATATGTAGATTCACTGATGAAATTTATTCTCAGTCCAGACCCCAAATCAACAGCATCAGGAAGCATGACTGGGTTCATTGTAGAGCCTGACTGGCCGGGCGTCAACATTGGACGTAAAGAAATAAACATGGGCCAGCGCTGCTCCGATACCAGGGGCGTCACCTTTGAGGACGTTAGGATTCCTAAAGAGAACGTCCTAGGAAGTGTGTAGACCAGTACATCTCAACGAGTTGTGTGTGACCACGAAATATGTCCTAGGCAGTACATTGACTAGTGTCATTTTATTAGTTGTGCGTGACCACAAAATATGTGCTAGGAAATATGTTGACTGATTGACAATGATCATCTTGACGTGTCCAATGTGATCACGACAAACGGGTTATGGAGTACGTTTACCAGTAATATCTAGTGAATTGTTTACCAGTAATATCTAGTGAATTGTTTACCAGTAATATCTAGTGAATTGTTTACCAGTAATATCTAGTGAATTGTTTGCCAGTAATATCTAGTGAATTGTTTCATCCCAAACCACATTTCTATATGCGGTCTATGTGAAGAATCTAGAAATGGTCTATGACCATTTCTATTTATTTTCATGCAATCACTTCTGAATTTGCCTGAAACCGATGAAAATGTACCAGAAGTTGTTTGCTTTGAAGATGCTGTCTTGAATGTTTAGCTGTCTCTTGTTCAGCTGTGTCAACAGATTCGAATATGTTGAAAATTCTACTTTAAATAATTTTCCAGAATTAAAAACATAATCTTTCAAGCAATGACTAAACTTGAAACATTTAAATACGATTTTAGAAGATGCTAAAATAGTGTACAATTTTTCCGATGCCAATTGAATTGATTATGAGTGCAATTTATTTGTCAAAGAATGTTGAGCAATCCTCAAATCGTGTTAAAATGAACGGTATTCCTCCACGAGGTGAGGGCCAGGGCTTCAAGATAGCGATGGGCTCGTTCGACCAGACACGTCCCACCGTAGCTTCTGGGGCGGTGGGACTCGCACAGAGAGCTTTGGACGAGGCCACCAAGTACGCCTTAGAGAGGAAGACTTTTGGTGTCCCTATTGCTGAGCACCAGGTGAGTGAGCTGCCGAGACCAGCCCTTTACTGCTTGTGTTAACTAACAATTTTGATACGAATAACATGGTCAAGACAATGTATCAAGTGGAATGGAGAAAATTTCGGTTGAGGAAATATTAAGCGCGTCTATCGCTGAGCATCAAATTGATGATAGAAAGCATTGCCTGCTATCCTTCGTGCGGGATTTTTATATATTGTAACATAGAGCGGGAAAATTTTGTAACCTCATTCAGCATATGTATTGTCACGTGTCAAAATTAATTTAAATAAAAATGTTAACAGGCTGTGTCGTTCATATTGGCCGATATGGCCATAGAAATTGAGGCTGCACGACTGCTATGGATGAAGTCGGCTTACGAAATAGTGAAGGGAGCGCCCAACACCTACTGCTCCAGCATTGCCAAGGCCTTCTCGTCAGACGTGGCTAATAGGGCAGCCACCAACGCCGTGCAGGTAATGCCGGATGTGGAGTCTTGTAGGGATCAGTGAGCGGTCGTTGATAGGAGGCCAGCTCCCGATGCAAGTTGTGATTAACTAAAATCTATTTAATCTGATCTGGCAATGTAGTATAAAATGATTTTGTATCTCCCATGTAACATCATGCATCCCGCATCTATTATTACGTATCTCCTATTTTTAAATATAATATACTATAGTAGTTAGTAGAGATCAGAGAATGTAAATATATTCAATTGCGTTAATTTGTGCAGGTGTTTGGTGGGGCAGGTTTCAATACTGAGTATCCCGTGGAGAAGCTGATGCGTGACGCTAAGATCTACCAGATCTATGAAGGAACATCTCAGATACAGAGGGTCATCATCGCAAGACACGTCCTTCAGAAAGCCAAGCGGGGTTTGCTATAGTTCAGGCCTCGATTAAACCAATGCTCTACTAGTGCCGTACGGTCAAAACGCGTTGTAGTGCACGTAGCGGTCGTTTTGTCGTTTGCAATTGGAGGGTTCGGCTGTGAAAGCAATCAGTGATTTGCTGATGGAGTTTCAAACTCGTAACTATTTTTGATTGTTTAGCATCTCGTACACGAAATAATGATCACATCTCGACTAAAGGGGCATCAGCCTTGATCATGTGTATCTGTTGCACATACAAAGCCTATTGTTCGCATTTTATTTAAAATAAATGTATTGCAAGACAGCTGCAATGCCTTACTCCGGAATTCAGTTTCTTATACCAAGAAAGCCAAAATTTATACGTAATTTGCCGTGTATGAATTTGTTTTAATTTTGAGCTCAAAACTGTCTCAACATTTGATGGCATAAATGAACTCTGGATATATAATACGGTTTAAAGTAAGTTACTTCAAGTTAGATAAGTCTAATGATCTTGTTCTACGGGTGAATAATCACGAATCTTCTCGCTTTAGTTTTATGTTTAAGCAGCTTCTGAGTAACTCGTTCCTTTCATGTACTTTCGTTTGCTGATTAAGTGATTCTTGCTGTAACTTAGCCTCATTGCGCTGTGATAAGTGCAAGTGATTTGTTGGTGCTATTATTCGTTTGTACGTTTTGATCAATGTTGGGAGTCTTAGTAAGATTGTGATGCCGATGTGCGATTATATATGAAAAGTATCTACTATATATTTATATGTCAATAATTAATAAAATTGAAACAAATTTTATTAACCCAAAACTTCAAAAACTTGATACAAATGATAAGCTGAAGGAAATAATTTATCATGGGAATCAATTCGATTACATCGACAAAAAAAAAAGTTCAACGAGCGACGATCGTTATTCTCTAAAAACATGTTTCATCCATCAATAACTGTAAGAATGAGATTATAATACTTCATCGTGATTCATATTTGAAAAATTCTAGAGAATTCATTTAAATTTATTGCGGTCGAAGAGAAACTGTGGATCGAAGGGTCGCTTGCACACACCAAAATTGCTGAACGTAGCTGCAGGAGAGTTTCTTAATTTGTCGGCGTATCACGTGAAAATCAAGTAATTTCATGTAATAACCAATATGAAACTGTACGCAATCCAGATTTTTGAACAAGCGTCTCCTCCCAAAACTAAAGCATTCTATGGGGTTAACAAAAGTTCGGAGAGTACTAATAGGAACCGATTGATTCCAGCTTCGTCAGTCTGAAATATATTCTAAGTTATTACCAGTCTAGCTCAACAGGATAAATGCCGTCAAGGCAGGCCGTGCAGTGGCCTACGGTTCTGTTCTCTTCAAGCACAATTCCGTCGTTAACGGCAGCGTGCAGTCCCTCCAAACTCAGGTACTTCAGGCTGTCCAAATTCCACTTGGATGCCAGAAGATCCAAAGGCGCTCGGTTGGCTGCGAGCTCCTCACGGGTCGGGATGTTGATGCCCATGTAGCACGGGTGGCGGATGGGTGGAGAGGCGACTCGGAAGTGCACCTGCCATACAAATTTGATTCAAACGCATAAAGTTTTGAAGATTGTGTGGAAGAAAAATATCTGCGAAATGAGGATGTTTCTAGCTTTTGTAACAATCGATGAGCTGTTGTATATACGTGACAGAAGCGTCATAAATCGACCTGAGTCCAAAGACTAGCGGTGCTTGATGAACTTTCCATTTCATGACGACGTGTTAAGAGGATTTAAAGGACTTAAAGACGTTATCGTGTTAAAGTTCCGATAATTTCCAATGACAAGCCAACATCATGACAGTCAAGATATCAATATCTTAGAAAATCTAGCTTCATACCTCAAGAGCGCCGGCGTTTTTGATCATCTCGACTATGGGTTCTATGGTGGTGCCTCGTACGAGGGAGTCGTCCACGAGCACAACGCGCTTGCCTCGCACGAAGTTCTCAGAGTAGAGAGAGAACTTACGCAGCACCGTCCGCTTACGGGTGTTCTGGTCGGACTCAATGAACGAGCGTCCGACGAAGTGACTTCGGTACAGCAAGTCCTGGTAGGGCAACCCGCTCTGCAACATCGAGGTAAATCATCATAAGCTGAAAAATAATGATCGATACACTAAAGATATGAATTATAGGATAAACTGACGAAGAAATAATTACAATGAGGTGCTGTATCTATTATGCGGGTTGTCCTGAATGATTATTAAATGAATATGGCAATAGACGGACTAGAGAGTATTTTTATCTCGCCTATCTACGAGTGAATATTTTATCTGGCACACTCGTAACTTCCAGCTATAAATTCCGTACTTATCTATAAGCTGTAAATTCTAGCGATACAAATTCTATGACAGTAATTCCGATGTTTCCACTCTAAGCTTTGAAAACATTCCAAACCAATTCATTAAAATTCCATAATTCAACATCTACTTACGAAAACTTTAAAAAATGCTGACTCGACTTCGACTCACTTTACTGGCGAAACCTTTAGCAGCCACAGAGGCTGTGGTAGGAACGCAGCATACGAAGTCTGCCTCCACGGGATGTTCGAGTGCCAGGAGCTCGCCTGTCTTGTACCTTACGTCGTACACCGAGTGACCTGTCGATTGATAAACATAACTTTTAATGCATAAAGTTAAAAAATATATCTCAACACTTATCATCTTAGGAACTCACAACCCCGGGTGTAGTAAAAAGTAAGAATTTTCTGATTACAGTTCAACTGGAGGTTGCGGTTTCCCATCGCAAAGGCCTCTAACTCTTCTTCGACATGGGCGTTCTGATCATGGGCTTAAAGTTCGGAACATTTTAGCTTCACAGGAGATGATAATGGAGAAACATAACTTATAAGGCATCGACAGCTTGGAACATTCACTTCATAGCAGTTCAATAACCTCTATCGATTGTCAGTACTGATATTAAACTAAGAAAATTCGCAAAATGTACAAGTGATCTAAAAATTCCCAAAAATTCGGGGCAACTAAGAAAATTAAATACTAGACTCTAGCTCACCTTCGAAGATGGAGTCAGGGCGAGCGAAGTAGACGTATTCAAAAATGCAGAATGCGACGGGTGCAGTGCACTTCTTAGTCGCAGAACAACGTCTCTTGGTCGTGCCATTTGGCGACAACTCGTCGCTGGACGATGAAGAGGAGCTCGTAGAAGACACACTTCGGGCAGTAAGCGGGCTGCTTACCTCTACAATACTGTCATCGGAGGATTGCGAGTCGCCAGTTGAGTCTTCGGCCGACACTGGCAATGATTTCTTATCTTCACTACGCTCGAACTGATCATTTAAATTTCCATCTTTCTCCTGCAACAAAACAGGACTTAGACTTACGCTGGCAACTGCGGGAATGTCTTCTTCTGAGCTATAATCACTGACACTTATGTTTTTGACCATATCCTCTTCCATAGGCATTCCAACGAAGAGGCCTTCACTTGTGCCGTCCCCTGATGAGAGTTTTGGCTCGTTCCCACTTTCGTTCATGGTTTTTGGTTCGTTTGAATTCAAAGAAAGGTTTTTAGGCTCCATTGTAGAATTAACATACAAAACTCGAGCCTTTGCCGAACGACATCCTGTTGCATTTGGACTGCAGCATGGAGGAGCTACTCCCGCATGAGTATCTAAGTTCTGGAGGGATGCTTGCTGATTAACGTCGGAATCTTCGTACTCTAGAGTGATGGTAGCTCGAGGCCGGTAAATTCTTGGACGATGGACAATGTCCAGTCGTTTCAGTCCTTTGGGACTTATCTCAAGTATTTCTCCTGGAAGGATCTGCAAGGAAATGATCATTTTAATGTGAATCGAAGAAAAAAAGTTCGACCAATGTGTATTATGAATTATTTCCTAATGTATGAAGTCACTTATCAATAGTCACTAGTCGATTTAACTACAAAATCAATCATCTTGATATTCTTTGAGTGGCTGCGCAGATAAACGAGTCCTCGTTACACAAGTAAAATTTATTGCAGACATGAAAAAATGAGTCGGGTGGTGCATGATGCAAGTACTAGCCTCTCTGAGATAGCGAGCCCCCACGGGTGGGAAGGCGCAGGATTCTGAGCTCACTATCCAGCCAAGCAGCTTCGACTCCGGCTCTGCGGGGTGCAATTATAAACGTTAAAAATCGTGTAAAAAAAAAACTCTTTCACAAACAAAATGCATTTCATTACTTTCCATGCAACAACGTAAAGGGAATTTATTTTAGCCCATGAACGCTCATTACGTTCCATGCAACAGCGTAAATAGAATTTATTTTAGCCCATGAACGCTCATTACGTTCCATGAAACAACGTAAATGGAATTCATTTTGGCCTATGAACGCTCATTACGTTCCATGCAACAACGTAAATGGAATTCATTTTAGCCTATGAACGCTCATTACGTTACATGCAACAACGTAAATGAAATTCATTTTGGCCTATGAACGCTCATTACGTTCCATGCAACAACGTAAATGAAATTCATTTTAGCCTGTGAACAATTAGTTTCTACACATTTTAAATAGGACTGAAATTTCGTCCTGTTCCGTCATCTCATTCGCATTGGACGTGATTCCTCTTACAAGACTTACATGCACTGCGGCATTACGAAGATTGAGATATCTTCGTCTAGAAACGTACCACTCTCGCTGGACCGGAGTTCACCAACACACAGCGGTCTGTTGCCCAGAGGATCCCTGACTGCGTATATTTTATCTCTGTTCATGAGGGCGAGGCTGTAGGACGTTGGCGTCTGCCTCATGAGGAACCTGATCCTTGTCCTCCAGTCAGGTCCATCCTGTTCTCCGTGTGTGGGGTTCAACGAGATGACCTGAGTGATCAGCTCCGAGTCCGAACGAGTCGTCAGACTCAGACCTCGATCGAATAACTGATGGACATGGATAAGGAACAATTACGGTCAGTAGAAATAGTCGACCAATCAGTCAAAGGAACGAATCTACGGTAATAATAAGCAGAGCTGTAAATGAGATCAATCAAATGTGGAGTATTCGGAAGATTCAACAGAGCTGTCAGAAAGCAGAAAGAAAAAAGAAACCTTTAAATCAAAAGCACGAACTGAAATGCAAACCAAGAGAATTAACTAACAGATGAACTTAGAGAATGAATTCAAAAGCACAGACAAAGACACAAATCTAAGCACAAATAAAGAGATGAACCAAAGCACAGACAAAGAAATTTAATCAATAGCACAAACAGATGAATAATAAGCATTCACAAAGACCATGAATCGTAAGCACGAAAAAATGGTATTTGAAAGCGTGAAAACAGAGGATAATTCGAATCCTGAAGAAAGCGGTGAATTCGAACAATAAACGAGGCGATAAATTAAAAGCACGGTCTTTAAAAGTGAATCTGTAACAAGGTCCAGAAGGAGAACGGAATTATACCGGCACTAACGATGAAACGAGGCAGTATTCTACTATTGCGAACGCCGTGAACAAACTGGCCAAAAATTAAGAACGGAAGACAATTGCTACTTTTTGGCAGATTTCCTGTGTTAAAAGTACTATAGAACGGTCATAAAAATACACACGTTGCTAAATAATAATATTCCCATTTTCATTCAGGTGCGAGTAAAATTTTGAACGTAAATTTTTGTGCACATTAGAGAATTAAGAGGTCACCCTTAAATTTGTTATCGTATTTCTCAGACTTCATTATTGCATTTCACTCTAATCACCTCTAATTAATTATTAAATTACCAATTAATTGATCAATACTCACCAGGTCCTTGAGTGAGTCAGCGTTGATGAGCTGCCCGTTATGGGCGAGTGCAAACGGCCCGTGTTTGTTGTGTCCAACGAACGGTTGGAAATTGCTGACGTCATTGCCGCCCGTTGTGGCGTAGCGGTTGTGCCCGATACCTAAGCGGCCTGGTGGAAGCGTTCGAAAATTATTCCGCATTACTCATAACTTGAACGTGTTAGTAGACATTATATTTTATGAAATAAGCATCGCATGGTAACAGGCGCTGACATTAGACCATGCAGAGGGTGTTGGATTTATTTAGAAATGGCACAAGTGGGTCAAGACATGAGCAAATATTGAATGAAAAAATTTTTTTTACGCTCTTATTTCATTAGGCGAGGCTCTATTGTGAAAAAAAAATATTAAGGAAATGTTAAGTGACGCATCACATCGCAGCACAATGGCAAATGTTACCCGAGGATTTAATGTCTTGGTGCTTGTATGATAAGAGAACAATGTACCGTAAGACATACCTAGTTTTATGCAAGTTTGATTGAAGACCAGGGCATGCATTTAAATTTAATTAATTTAAGACATAGTTGTATACAAATTGAAAATTTTGATTATAATACTGTACAAAACTANCAACATCTTGACCTCTGATGTTTGCGCGGCTCACCCGTGAGCTTGTAGACTTGCTCCTCAGTGAAGACTTTGTTGACGTAGCCCGCGCCCCGGTGCAGCTTGAAGTCTTGGAACGCTTCTCCTGTGGTCGTCACGATCCCAGCGCTCTGCTGGCCCCTGGACAACAACACCAATTTACATATTATCCATGGCTGAAATAAGCCTGGTGTTGAAAATGGATCAATCTAAAACTAAATCGTGTACCGCATGGCAGGTACAAATCTGAATACCTGAACCGCTGCCGTTGAGTTCACATGCATTTTTTTCTTTAGACATGAATCCCGCTACTATCGGTATATAAATATGATACATGTAATAACTAAACAATTCTACTGAAATGAAAACTTCTGAATGGCATAAAAAGTAATTCGAATCCTAAGCCCTCACGCTAAACGGAACGGATTTTTATCAATGCATTTCTCGTTAATTTTTGGCGAAGGTGCTGAAAAGGGATAAATTTTTTTTTCAACTAAATAGCAGTTGCGTGACGTACGAGCGGCTACAAATTGAATGGTTGGTCACGTAATTTTACCGTAACACGGTAATGGACTATTTTTAATCAAACAAGCCGACGCACGCGAGAATATTTCAGGTAGTAAACTATGAATTATTCGTGACGAACGCATCACAAACTTGTGCTCTATTGTAGCCTCCACAGGAACGATGCCTGAGGCAAGAGTTCATTTTTACTCGACCTTTTCCCTGTCCTTTGCTCCTTAGCCCCGTCCCTCCTCATCCGTAGCTGCCTTCAACCAGAAACGCAATCTGGTTATATAGTTACTACGTTTTGCTTTCTCGCAAAGGCCGACTTGTACAGAGAAAGCCATCTTCGATCTACCGAGATGCTAAAGCCTGGATTTGGAGCTTTCGAAAGATGATCCCTATACTTATTCGGCACGAGTTGCGGACTGAATAGAAAAGCACGTGGATCCTTGGAATTAGAAAATTATCATTGGTTTATCGGGCAGTTGAATAGTTCAAATTCATCATTGCCTACGAATTTTTTCCCATCAGAGTGATGGAAAATGCGGCGTAAGATACAATTGCGTCGTAAAGTAAAAGAAATATGGGGAATGGCAAGTCTTCGCATGCGAAAATTAGAATGCAGATTGTTGGAGCAGCCATGTTTGCCTTGTGGCATTCAAATTTAATATCCAATGAGCGTAAGTGTGAATCTTCGACAGCAAATTCTGATAAGCGCACTGGGGGCAATAACAATAATTGGGCAAAGAGTGAATAAACGAGAAAACAGTAATTGACAGTAACTATGAACTACGTTTTGGATTCGCTGTAAACGAAATGCAAGCTCTAGGCAGCATGAGCATATCATGAGAACACCAAGATATACAATAAATGAATGAATGGAGCCACTGATCTTTCCTGTACAGAATGGTCTGGAAACAGCGCTATGGACTGTCCACGGAATACCTGAGCGGGAAAATTTAGACGTAGGTACCACAATGTTACTTGCATTTAAAAGTAAAACAGTTACTGTACCCAATGAATTTCATTTTAGGTTACTAAGCCAAAATTTTGTGAGCAAATTTTTTGAAAATTAGCACTTAAATTAAATTATTATAAAGCTCATAGTTGCGATTCCTTAACAATATCCAAACCATCTACAGCTACTTGAAATTTTACCGAATAATTTTTCACGGAAAAAACCTAATGTGATGATAACCGATGGCAAAATTAAATGTTCAAAAAAAAATTCATCACCAAAATATGCAGCAAGTAAACCCACCTGTGCTGGAGGGAGTGCAGACCCAGAGCAATGGTCTGGGAGACGTAGGGGTCTTGGGGGTCTAGAGGCGCGTCCTCTGCCAGCACGCACCCGAACACGCCGCACTCCTCGCGCAGTTCATCCTCTTCAGCAGACGATTCATCCCACGCCGGCTCGTCGAATTCCATTACTTATGGCTATGTACTATCAATCTATTGAAGATATAGTGCAAGTAAACACCTTCAAGTATTAATTATGTACGCACGAAGTTCTATACGGATATAATTTGATTAAAACTTTATTTATTGAAGCGCTTCTGATCTGCAATGAAATGAAACTTATCAGTCATGGAATATTTGAAGAAATACTAAGCTCCGAACTTTTCCCAGAGCCAAATTAGTAGAGCCGTTTTCATGAATTAAAAAGGAAATGGTGACTCGCACTTCACTTTTTGACTATACTCCCACAAATCCATGATCATTCACTCTGAGAACACCGAGATGGTCGTAAAAGCGCCGCATTAGGGCAGAGTCTTGGCTGCGTAGTTTACAAGCTAATCAGTGAAATCACATAGACCTATACTGGACCTCCTCCAGTCATTTTGCCAGCTGCCTCCAATCCGTGCTGCCATGAGCCCATGACTACGCTGAAATTGTTGAAAGACTTAACGTTCGATGATAATAACAACGGCTTAAAATTTACTAAGCGTTCTAAGTGCACAACGTTTAATCTCAGTAAAACTAGTGGTGACTTGGATGGGTTGGTGCTAAATTAAGTGGCTAACGTCGTACGAACGCAACACATGGGTTCGTCTCGAGAGCATAGCACAGTCACGGATCCAGGAATGAACCCGATACGGTAATCCTTTTCCCTTGTGTAATTTTCGATCAATTAATATTAAAGGAATTTTATAAACATAATTTATGCCTATAATTTGGGAAGTTATTTCGCATTTCATGTGCAATATGATCATAGGAGGTGCACCTTGGCCACGTGTGCAGGAGAGATGGGATGAAGAAAAGCGTAAAGACGAAGGTGGGCTTCAATACCAATAAATTTAAAGATTACAAAATTACGTGTGATAGATGATACTGAATAATATGTTCGGGAATCCACTGTCAGGCAATTTAAATTTACTTGACATAATTCATGTTTAGATGAAAACTGAGGATTTGGCATCGCATTCATCAACACTATTCTCGTCAATAACCTAGGGTCGTAGTCGTCTGTTAAAAATTAAATGTAAATCTAGAAACTAAATTTTTCGGCATAGTGATATGTACATTAGATAGAAACTTTCTTTTTTATCTGAAATTGTAATCAATAATTATATTTACACTTCTTTAAAGTTCCACCGATTCACATTTTATCAACCGAAGTGATTATGAATTAAAAGAACGAATGATTTCGAGACTGATTCGTTTGCGCCACAACAGAAGGCTGTTTCTCGGTGCACAACATCGGCAAACACACAAAGGAAGAATTACTTCTAGTCAATCAAAAGCTTTTAGTTCTTAAGTTACCATGCACACTCACGCATCCGAAGTTCAGGAAGTTGAGTCCAAAACTGCACTGTTCAATTCAAGCTCTGACCACGCCGGGTTCCAGACGGAGACTGAAGATGTTTATCTCGAGGATCAGGTTAAAAAACACGACCATCCTATTACCGCCCCACCATTTTAGCCCATAGCGCAGCTATAGGCTTACTGTGCGGCCTACGACGATGCTTGGCCTAAGGACAAACGTCTGTTAGAAAAAAATTCGAGGACCAAGCCTTGCCGGGTGCGGCAGAACCTGTTCCACAAATGCCGTCCATACTCACGTTGTGTGTCTACAAGAGCTAAGTTTTCGTCAGGTTAAGCGTACAAATGGTTCCTTCGAAAGAGCGATTAGCAGGAAAGGCCATTTGAAACGAACAAATAGCTGCATTAAAGGAAAGTTTATAAAAGCGTTAGTATCATTCCTACAATTTATACACGAGGTAATGTGTATTCGTTATGCGCATCAAAAGTGTCTCTCAACTAAATGTTTCGATTTTAGATTAAAAATTTGAGTCGAATACCCATTACAATATCGGAAAGAGCTCGAAAATGAACATGCAATGCATCGGTAAGTTTATCCAATAAAACGTAATGCATACATTCTAAAATTAGACCACCAGTGCAATTTTATTCATTTTCAATCATAAAAAACTGCGTTAACAGGACAGATATAAAACTGAACAGTTTCGTGAAGTCCCCGGCTTAAAAATATTAAATTTGAAAGTCTATTTCAAGACAAATGTTCACCCCCATGAGAGGCTCTTTTCATACGCAAGATGAATGCACATTTCATCGTGGGTAAATTGTAGGAAAGATACCAAGGCTTTTACAAATTTAAATTTATTGCAGCATTCATCGTACTTTCATTTCACTTTTTAAAACCTAAACTTTCATCCAGTTTCTCGATGCAAGTCCACTGGCGCCATTTTTTGATATGGATAAGACTAAATATATCAATCATGATAAAAATTAACGTAATATTGGTTTTAAATATAGTTTTACAAACGCATTGCTTGTTATTGAGAAGAATAAAGATATATTCTGGATTGAATCTATGTCTTAAAATAGACGCGTTAACATTTACTTAGTAACTTTGTGTAATGGGGCTCGTATTTGCAAAAAGTGATCCAAGTCAGTTGCATTAATAATGGAACTAAAAAATATCGGAAAATAAAATTTATTTATTGGCTTTTCGTCATTGCGGACCTGATGAAGTTGCAGATAAGTTGATTGTTAAAGCTTTTTCAACTTGCGTATTCAAGTCATTACATCATCACTCTGTTTATCAAATGCAAAATTGAACAGAACTCACCCGTAAATCGGACAAAAACACCCGTAAATATAAACAAATTTCACCCGTTCATACGACACTTTCCCAAAATTCTTGAAAAATAAGAAAAACGGTCTATTTTCACCAGCATTTTTAAAAAATCGCCCGTTAAAAGATTTTTTGTACCCGAAATTTAAAAAATGCAGGTATTCTAAATTGATGACATTCTTTGCCTACATTTTTGTACTAGGTAAATTTTATCTATACATAAAGCCCAGTTTCGTATCACAAACATTGGTATTCGTTCAAAGGAAAAGTTAGGAAAAATTAATTACGAAGTAACCTCAAGTTTGATCAATTTTTATTTAAAAAATCGCGCTGTAATTTAATCACAGACGAAATCAGATATCTGGAACGATGCATCTGACAATCAGGGAACCCGAACGAATTTTGAGTCTTGCGTCTGCCGCCCACGTGGCAGCGGGAATAAAATTATGCTTATCAATGCATGAAAAAATATACCGTGAAAAATTTTTACTAATGAAAGAATTAAAACGATAAGAATGTGAAATATTCTCGTATTTCGTGAAAAAAAAATACTCGAAGGAATTTGAAATATTAATTTTAAATCCTTCAGGCAATACGGATGTTTAACTAATCGTAATTAATTTGATAGAATTTTAGTTCCCAAGTTCAGATTCCTATAACTTAGTAGTGTGAACATATTTAAGGAATCATCACAATGAATAATTTACGCAATTCAATTTCCTTTGGAGTTTACAAAGTTAAATGTAGAATGTAAACATTATACCTGTGTTTCCAACAGGGATGTCCTTGCAAAGGAGAAGCACGCTGGAGCCATTCAGTTAATACCTAATTAATGAGAGCGGAGGGCCGCGTGTGCGGACAACCCGCATGGTGTAGTTCCGTTTGTCCGTTTGTTTCAGTTCCTGCTTCTGGAAACTGACAACGGAAAAATCCGGGTCACCTGCCGAAGAACACCACTGCCCTGATGTAATGGACCATCATGATTCCTGCCTTCCAGAACGTAGCCTTCAACACTTCAAGCCGTCCGTATCTAGGCCGTGGGTCGAACCAGCCCTCTGTAGAACGGCCAATTGTCGAAGGACGATAAATTTTTCACGGCTGATTGGTGGATGTCCGGAGAGATCCAAGATGTTCGATCCAGGGCTTATTGGTACACAGAATTGGTGGTGCACGGCTGCGCTCCCGGCCTAAACATCACTGATATTTGGCTGGGAATTTATAATAAAAGTTTTTTTTTCGAATCTGTACAGTTGTATTCTAGATATTAGGCTCACTACGAATTTTGGAACGTTTAAACGTAGAATTCGCTAACAAAGGCGAAATCGAAAAAATAACGACTTAAACATCACTGTTAGGTGGCTAGGAATGCACATTGAAAGGTTCGTTAAAATCTGTACTTTAGGTTAGAGGATATATTGGGCTCAGTTCGAATTTTGGCCCTTATGGACGTAAAACTGAAAACCGTAGGCGACATCGAGAAAATTGTCACGACCTAAACATTACCATTAGGTACTATTAGTATAGTATAGTAGTATAGTATGCTCGGCATTAACTAAATAGGCCTGGATAGGCCTGTCGCCGATTCTTGTACTTTTCTTGACTAGACTGGCCTTTCAGACGGTAGATTTAAAATCGCTTCTAGATATCAGTTGTTCCGTAGGGTACGAGGCATTTTAAGACTGAACATATGCTCATGCATGGCCTTGTCTTTCCTCATAGGACTTGCCTTTCAAGCCCGGAACTATCCTTGTTGCGCGTCTTTGAACACTCTCTACTAAATTTTTTCCTTTTGTAGAATTTTGTACAATTTTTGTAGAAGCGTCCGGGAGGTGAATTTTCGAAGCTGGATATCTTACGGAAGTATTTATATGCGCTGCATGTGCTTAGTATATGGTTCTTCGAGTATGGACTATTTGTAAAATATTGTTAGTTTTGGACATGAAGGAACTTGCTAAATAATTTTTTAGCAGACTGGTGTTATTTATTTGGTACGCCAATTTTTATATACGTTATAACTCTACATTTGAGAGAGATGCCAGAGTTTACATGGAATCAAAAATTAAACAAGGAATGTCGAAAATTTCAGCATAATCTTTTGACATGAAACCATTAAATGTTAGGGGAAAAAATTTCAGTTCATCACTTTAGGGTAATTCCGGCTGTTTTGATTATGAGTCAGTAGTGTTGAGTAGTGCGCGTGCTGGAAGGTTGGGTGTATTGTGCTCCCAGTTTGACACTTGAACCATGGCTGATAATTTGGACGAAACCAACGGGGAAGAGAATGGTTCGGTTCCTGAGATTGAACTAATCATTAAAGTGAGTACAGTTCATTTATTTTTTGATAAATGCAACGTTAAACTTACATTTTGTAATAAATTTCGAAGGAGTTGTTACTATCTTAAGTTTTTCGTGAACCGCGCCATGAGCTGCAACCGTTCGCGCTTTCCGAACTGCCCCCCATTCCCAAGACGGCGTGGCGAATTCGGTTACTTTCAATAACACATGATTTACCACCACCAGAAATTAGGCGTTTGCCAAAAAATTAGATAAAGCTGCTAAAACTACCATTTTTGATCTGTAAAAATCTTTCTGTGAATCCTGATGGCTATTTTAGTATTTACCTGAATGATTGGAAAAGTCCTCTGTTGGTTCAAGTTTCAACCTACTGAAGTATATTTTGATGATCTTGTGGCCAATGATTATCATGTATATATATGTTCTGCAAATGCATCTAGGATTCAGCTGTGAGCAATATTCACTTTTTGAGCTGCTATTGAATTTTTAAGGCTGCTAGTTGCCAATGACGGAAAACCCCTGATTTGGGGGGCGCAAAGCCCCCCGGTTTTACCCCGCGCCTAACCAATGGATAATAACTTAAGTGTCAGACGTCATGTGTTTTCTTGCTAACTGCATTTGTGGTGCACTTCTTCAAACATAGCTCAAGCCCTCTCACAGAGTTGTGATCATAATTATTTTTCATGTTTCACATAATGATTTTTCCCCAGCCAATCTTGCACATAGTTCTGCAGCTCACTAATGGGAATAGACATCCCTATTTTCTATATCCCTTTGATGCAATTTAAAATAGTGCACTAAATTTCTCTAATTGAAAAAGCTAACAAGTTATAACAAAGTTTGAGCAAAAGATGAAAATTTTGACCAAAATACTCCATGTACTACACAATAATATATTCATTTAAAAACTATTTCTGATAAACTGTAGGGTAATAGAGGACCATTTGTGGGCTAAGATAGGACCACTTGTATGGTTAAACAGGATCATTTAGTGGTCCCGTCTTACCCCATGTCCAGTCCTTTTTTACCCCATTTTAGAATACATGTCAGGCAGTGATGGTAGCAGGTAGGAATGCCTAGTATGTCTAAAATGTTGCCTATTACTTGAGGTTACCTGCCTACATCCACAAACCTGGCCAAAAAATTTTTTGTCATTAGACTGAGCTTATTTTCCAAACAGGGTTATATAACTATTTTGTGACCCTTCTTTACATAGGTTTTCATTAAAAATTAGCCAGAAATTCATAATTTACAGAAGAGGGTTGCCACAAACATTGAAATGACAGGCAATGATTGTTCTAACATATTCTTTTGTCAAATTGAATTCAGTGCAATTAGAATGCACGCCATGGGCTGGTCCTTTCTTACCCCATGAAGGCTGCGATCCTGTCTTACCCCATTTGACTATATACATCATTTGGCTTAATCTGAAAAATCAATTTGGCTCATTTGTTCTATTGCCCCAAAAATTATGTAATTTGGCCCTAAATCTTTATTATAAATGAGGCTGTGAAGCGGCTATTAGATCTTCAACCCAACACTATCCTTGACAAAGAATCACTCCCTGTCTTTGCCGGACTTACATTGTACTGAATGAAGACTTGGCCTCTATGGTAAATTCAATCCAGTGGAGTGTTTTTTAAGAAAGTTCCACTATCCTGGGGCAGCTGGTGCAGGTTTGGATTATGGATTCATGAGACATCTGTCCACTTCCAATGGAGTTCATATTTTATGATCGCAGAGCACATCACAAAGAAAAAATTTAACGAAAACGGAAGAACTGATGTAAATGTACAAGTGAAGGCATTGAACAATAGCAGTGGTAGAGGCTGGGGAACATCAATTAGAGGAGGCATCACATTTGAACATCACGAGGTTGTCACGGACGCAGGCTCCTGCTCTCTGTAGCTTTAGTAGCATCTCTGCAACATTAGGATCCAGATCCATCCTTCCATCAGCAAAAACTGATTCCCCAACTGCAGCCAGGGTGCTGTTGTTGCTGTCAAACCCTGGCTTTTCTTTTATTTGAATTTTATTAGAGTCGTGGACCATTGGGGGGAAAAAATTCCATGGTCAAATAGGTGTTGGGGTAGATCTAATGTATCATGAATTTGGTCCTTAATGATAATGTATTTGATAACGTGGCAATTTATTGGATTTTTTTATTTTTAATTTAATTTATTAATTTATTGCATTGGCAGCTCAGTATCATTTTCAGCCAGTCGCATTAGAAATGACGGGCACATATGGTGAAACAACTGGTCCTTTAATATCACAGATTGGCCGTCGCATTACGGAATTGTCCGGCGAACGTAGAGAGACTCTATGGTTGGAGCAAAGGTTGGGTTTGGCTGTGCAGCGAGGCAATGCAGCTAGCATCCTAACAACAGTCAGAGAAAAGTTTGACGTGGGCCTGCTCCTCGCTCACGTCACAGCTCAGTGACCCTCGGAGTCGGTGTAGGCCACCATCAGAGGCGTTAAGGTTCGGGCCCTGATCATTGACATGAAACCATTCCCTGTTTTTATTTAATAAAATTAATTCCCTTTTTGTTGGAATGGTGAGTGTGGGAGGCCTTTATAAAAAAAAATTATTGGATCCCTCTACATACAACACGTTTCAAATATTGTGATATTTGATAAAGTTGAGTAAAATAAGTGGCACATAAAAAGCAAGATAAAATAATGAATGTTTGAATGCTTTTGAACATGTCCCAGTAAAAACCAGTGAAAATTAAGCTTCTCAGTCTTCACTCAAAAAATGAAATTCTGATTGTAAATAATATACTACCTCTACTATTATATCATTATTCCCTGCTATAGAAGATAAACAATTTTTATGTCACATTTTATTAACATCATAGAGTGAATTGAATCAAAATGCTTTGAGATTATGATTTACTGTTAATTAAATAAAACAAGTGCATAGATTTTATTTTTAGTAAGGTTTGAAGTCCAATGATATGGAGGTTGCCAATAAATAGTTATGCCTGATAATACAATATTAAAATTGAAGAGATGATGAATTTGATGATTACAGTGCCCAAGCCTATATTTTGGAAGCATCAATACAGGTGCTGTGGATTAATCCTAAATAATATATAAATGACATTAGCATCATGAAAAACCAATTGTAAAAGATATTTGTATTATTGAATGTGTTTGCCATTCATATCATGGTTCACATATTATAAAATTAAAACTTCATCAGAACTGGTTTAATGGCTGTACAGAAGTCTCCAGCTATCATGCACCTCACCTGCTATGGCTTTTTTTCATTGCCGCTTTTCATTCAAAATTAATGAGAAAGATCATTTGTGGATTTTTTACTGGTTTGCAGGTTTCTGATGAAGTTAATTGGCAGGTTTTCAAAAAAAATCTTCATCTGAAATTATATGAATATTCAAGAATTTACTGCAAGCATTAACCAACAATAAAGTATTGTTATAAATAATAAAGAGGTCTTAACTTATATCACTTCCAAAGATGTATATAAATTGTTTGGACATGCAGGCCCATTTATTATCTGATGATGACATGCTGGTGTTGACTAAGTCTGGCTGGAGAGAAGAGAAAGATGACACTGACAGAGTTCATGCTCTCAAAGAAGGCTTTGGCTTGACAGGTGAATGCTTTGACATTAATGCAACCAATAGCTAAACAACTTCTGCAAATGGCCAAAGAGATTGACATTGATGTGATTTATGCAATTTAGTTATAAAATCAAAATAAAATCAATGAAATGGTAATATTATTCAGTATTACTATTTGTACTGTTCTTGAAGTATTTTTCATGTTTCAAGCAGTTATAAACCCGTGGGAAGGGTTTATAACTGCTTGAAACATTGGAAGCATAACATACAATTACAATTATACGGTACTTGAATAAGTACCATCAGTCAATGAGCTTCCCTGGGGAACCAGGTCTGCAATCGAATAACTGTGATAGGTGAGGCCTGATTGTATTCCAGCATGTGGGTGTAGAGGCATCATATTAGACCATTGCATTACTCAGCCATGCAGGTCATAATCACATAATGATACTCAAAAAACACAGTTGTCAGTTTACCATCAAGAAGGCTAAATTATGTATTTATGTCCAATTTTAAAAAAGGTATAAATTTTATAAGGCAACCTAGAGCCTAACACTGTCATTGTAAAAACTGCAAAAGACTACGATGAATTCAATTTAATGAAATGGTCATCTGACCTAAAGGGCAAGTTGAAGCAAAATATGTAGGTATGCTTTTTTTAGTATTAATTTCTTGTTTCCTCCACCAATCATAAAAATTATTTTTGATATCCTTTCCCTCACTTAGGCTCAACATGCAGACCAAATATCTTTTTGCATTCTCCACCACAGTAGCTTCTTCCAACAAACCCATGTATATTGCAAGTAACTCTTCAACTCTTCACTTTAACTCCTCACAACGAATACTTCCTTCCTAAATACACATAAAACTGTCAGTTCCACCTTCTACCAATTCAGTGTGGAATTATAGGTGGGGAATAAGTAAACGGGTGTAGGTAATATGTCAGAATAAAACATTAATTTGTACATGTTGTGTCCTAACTTGTTCGAACATGAAGGCCGGGTGGTTAGTAAAATGGTAGCCATACATTACAGATTGAGTACTTTTTAACTGTCTCCTTCTGTGCAAGTTTCCACAATCTTCCTATGATGTTAGTGTGACATTCTTTCCAATAATTTACGTATGATGAAAACAAACTTTTGCAATTCGGTAATTCTAAATTACCCGGTAAGTTTGATTACTTGTAAAAGTTAATTTTTAACAGAATCTGCAATTCAATTGCACTGAGGAAATGGTAATTTTATTGCAAATGTTGTATGCAAGCACGAGACCCATCCTAACCCTGACCTACAGAACCCTGACCCGCATTATCCTCTCCGCCCCCTCCTTCCACACCCCCAAGTTCCTTCATCCATCTACCGCGCCATGCTCAGCTTTCTCTCTCGCTTGTAATGCTGTACTTATCTGCATGCGTATTTACTATGATTATTT